GGGGAGGCTGCAATGGTCATTAAGGGTGAAAAATGGTCATAAGTTGCTTGCTTGAGTACCGTTGTAACTTCAAACGGTTACTAAATGAATAGTTGTAAGTCAAGGACGACCTGTAATATGTGATGAGCACATCATTTTTTGTGTCTCGTTAAATCCAAAAGATGCCATTGCTTGCTTACCTAGCTGGTGTATAATATACAGGTAGACTTAACGACACTGAAAAAAGGGACTTATGGCCATTTTACATCCTTATGACCCTTATAGCATCCCTACGGTCATGTGATCAAAATTCAGACCCTTGGCTATTGGCTCATATTTATGATGGTCACAGTGTCCCGGGGGGGGTCACATGATTCATTTTGCGACCTTCTGACAAGCAAAGCCAATGGGGGAATTCAGATTCACTTAACAACTGTGTTACTAATTTAACTACTTCAGCGATTCGCTTAACAAAAGTGGCAAGAAAGTTCCGTTAAAGGGGGCAAAATTCACTTAAGAAATTAATCCTTGCTTAGCAAGATAAATTTTGGGCTCGTAAGTTGAGGACTACCTGTAGTTTTGTGAGCAAAGGAAGGATATTGTGATTCTAAGCTGTTCACAACTCCATTTGAAGCCTCTTTAATTTCAATGCACACCAGCAGTTTCAAAGCAAAGAATACGAGTGACTTCGAGGAAAAGGAAAAGGAAAAAAAATGGGCTCCAAGATCACCACAGATGGGGACTGCAGCCAAGAAATTAAAAGACGCTTGCTCCTGGGGAGGAAAGCCATGGCAAATCTAGATAGCTTACTAAAAAGCAGAGACATCACCCTGCCAACAAAATGTGTATAGTCAAGGCTATGGTTTTCCCAGTTGCAATGGATGGCTGTGGACCATAAGGAAGGCTGAGTGCCAAAGAATTGAGGCTTTTGAACTCTGGTGCTGGAGAAGACTCCTGCGAGTCCCTTGGACTGCAAGGAGATCCAACCGGTCAGTCCTAGAGGAGATCAACCCTGACTGCTCTTGAGAAGGCCAGGTCCTGAAGATGAAACTCAAATATTTTGGCCACCTAATGAGAAGGAAGGACTCCCTGGAGAAGAGCCTAATGCTGGGAACCATGGAGGGCAAAAGAAGAAGGGGACGGCAGAGAAGGAGGTGGCTGGATGGAGTCACTGAAGCAGTCGGCGTGAACTTAAATGGACTCCAGTGGATGGTAGAGAACAGGAAGGCCTGGAGGAACGTTGTCCATGGGGTCGCGATGGGTCGGACACGACTTCGCAACTAACAACAACAGAAGAAAAGTGGGAGGGGGAGAGTAGGTTCAAACCATCCTCCTCCCAAACCCAAAATACCTCAACAGGCGGTGGATGTGTTGAAGTTGCATCAGCAAGGGGTTAAAAATGCTTTGCTGTGCAAGTTGCCACCAAGTCTGTTCTTAACCACCAGGTTACCAAAATAACAAAACACCAGCTTTGTTTTGTTTTTCACTCTGAATGTTGGTTTTTTTTGTCTCCTAACCGTGTTGAGGGTGGGCTGTTTGAATCTGTGGAGATGCTCGGGGCTTGGATTGTGGGGCTGGGCCATCCAGAGTGCCCTTCAGATTGGGGTAATAGTCCATAAATCCTGCCCTATCAGTCAATCACTTAATCAATTTATAATTTCACATGGCTAAGCTACAGCGAGGTGGCTTTTAAATGCAAAAGAGCAGGCAGCGAGAAAGCAAATTATCTGGCTTGGAGGGTTTTTCACAAGACAGTTGCTTTTCCTGTAATTATCTGAGAAGCATTAATTGACAGTCTATTTAAGAGGGAGGGAGGGTGGGAGGGAGGAAATGGAGAAGGGAGGGAGGCGGAAGGAAGGAAATAGAGAACAGAGGGAGGGAGGGAGGAAGAAGAAATGAGAGGGATGGAGGAAGAGAAATAGAGAGTGGGGAGGGAGAGAGAAGAGAAGGAAGGAAAAAGCAAGAAAGGAAGCAAGCAGGCAAGCAAGCAAGCAAGCAAGAAAGAGCAGAGAGGAAGGGAGGAAGAAAGGGAGGAGAAAAGTGGGAGGGAGGGAAGGAGAAAGAAAGAAAGAGAAAAAAGAAAGAGGGAAGGAAGGAAAGAAAGACAGAAAGAAAGAAAGAGGGAAGGAAGGAAGGAAGGAAAGAAAGAAAGAAAGAAAGAAAGAAAGAAAGAAAGAAAGAAAGAAAGAAAGAAAGAAAGAGGGAAGGAAGTAAGAAAGAAAGAAAAAAGAAAGAAAAAGAATTAATAAAGGAAGGGAGGTAGGGAGGAAGAAGGGAGGAGAAAGGAGAAGTAGAGGGAAGGGAGGGAGGGAAGGAGACAAAAGAGAAGAAGAGGAGAGGAGAATATAAAAAGAAATGGCATATTGGATTAAGAATGACACCTATCTCTGTCCTCGGACTGAAAATCAACTGTAGTAGGTTGTTTAGGTTTCTTATAAGGCTTATAAGGAACATTAATTCTGGATTTTAGCATCCTATACATCCACGAAGCAGAAATAAAAACAACAGTCATATGCCTTTTTCAAACATCCTTTTAAAATGTGGATTGATATGTTTTGATCTGAAGCAGCTACTGATATAAATTTACTGATGTAAATTGACCTGGTGGGGGGAGGTTTAAACAATATCAGATTCTGAGTGATCAACTAGCTTTTTGTACAGGCAGTCCTTGATTTACCACCATAATTGAGCTACTATTATGGTCGAAAATCATAATGGTCATTAAGTGAGTCACCTTGTGACCGTGTCCAAGTTTTATGACCTTTTTTTGTGTGGTAGTCATTAAATGAAGGTCGTGGTTGTTAAGTGAACCCACTGTTTGCTAGGAGGTATTTTTTTTGCTGGAAAAAGGTAGTTTATGTCAGTTTCCAGCAAAAATGTACATAAATCAGTCACATGACTTATTGCGGGAAGCTGCAAACCGCCATTGACGGCTCATTACCGAGTGCCCAAGATATGGTCATGTGACCACAATGGGGGGCGGGGAGGCATCAGAACTTCGAACCCCATTCATAAAATTAGGCTCCATTATAACTTCAAACGGTCACTATGCAATCTGTCATTTTCAGGGAATTGTGCTATGCAATCTGTCATTTTCAGGGAATTGCACAGCAAATATCCTAATGAAGTCAGAAACCCCCGACCCGAACTTTTACTTTTATATAAATAATTATATTTATCTGTATCTATATGATACAGAGAAGATATATCAGGAACAGAGAAACATCATGAGGTAAATTGAACAGTGTACAGAACAGTGAAGAAAAAAGGCGGGAAAAAAGGGAAACGCCCCCTTTATACTCACAGCAACCAATCACAGCATAGATTGCCTCATGGATGAGTCAGCACTTTCTAACTCCTCAACGACACATGTGTGTTGTAGTCTATTGTACCTTTTACTGTCCCAACTACTAAATTTAATATCCTTACCCATCATAAGTCGAGGACTACCTGCAACCGAAAATTGTTGCTATCTTTTTCAGAAAATAATTTCACCTATTCTTTTGGGCTGGGAAAAATCACTCTAATTATTTATTTATTTATTTATTTATTTATTATATTTCTATACCGCCTTTCTGCCGTAGGACTCAAGGCGATGTACAGTCAAGAAAAATATTGACACACAAACATCATAAAATTGCTAATTAAAATTGTTACTTAGTTTGATCAATTAAATAAAACCCAGAATTAGATAACATTTAAAAAATCATTCGCATGTTTGTATGCTTAGCCCTGCCTGTTGGAACAATTAAAAGAGGGAAGCATGTGAAAACTGCAAAACACGTCCGTTTTATTTGAGCAAGGCACTCCCAGGTGGTCTCAAACGAAGCCAGATATTTAAATCCTATTTTTCCTCCACCCTCCCCCTCAAAAGAAAATAAAAGCCTTTTTAGCGACCACTTATTTTTCCTGCCCATTGTTAGCCTGACGTGCAATTCGTCACAATCCCTGTTCTGTTGAAATGGCATCGTTTTGCCATCCCAACTCCCCAATTGCTTGTAAACCACGGTTTATTGACTATTACCTTGCTGCACGACAGTTTATTATGGTGGAATTTCCTTTAATGGTTCCAAAAAGCCATTTCGCTAAAATACACTTTGTCTTGTCGCCTCCCTCCGATTAGCCTGCACTCAGGCATATTAATTCCAGCACCTTGCAAATTATTTGCGGTTGCACATAGGAGGCGGCGTTACTATACATTTGCGAGTTCTTTTATTGCCTTTACAGCTGGCTTAGCAGAACCCATGTACACAGGTAGTCCTCGACTTACGACCACAATTGACCCTCAACATTTCTGCTGCTAAGCGAGAATCTTGTGAAGTGAATTTTGTCCCATTTGATGGCATGTCTTGTGGTTAAGTGAATCACCGCAGTTGTTAAGTTAGTAACACAGTTGTTAAGGGAATCTGGCTTCCCCACTAACTTCCTTAGGCACAGGGCTTTGCACAGAAATAGGTGCTGTGTGTTTCTTTTAAATCCAGCCTGTGAACCCCCTTAGTTTTCCAGTATGAATAAAGAAAGAACAAAAAAAAGCATAATCTCTCAGTTAAGATTTTAAAGAAAACAACAGAGTATCCCTATTTCCATAATACAATTCTCTGTGATCATAGCTTTAATGGTTATAAGCCTTTTTTGTGTGGTAATCTTTAAGCAAATGTGGCGGTCGTTAAGCGAACTCATTGCTCACTAGGGTGCGTTTTTGCCCAAAATCAAAAGCAAGAGCCGTGTTTTGGCAAAACCGCCATAAAACTGAGTCTCGTGACTGCAGAATGCTACCAATGACTGCAATTGGGACTTTGAATGGTTGCTAAGCAACTGGTCATAAGTTGAGGGCTATCTGTAAGAGGAATATTAATTTCGGAATGGATTTTCGGCCAGAGAATGTTGCAGTCCAGCCATCTTTGAAATCTTTAGTTGATGCACAAGAATATATATTTTTTGGCATCAACTAAAAGTATATATATTTTGCAATGAAGGGAAGGTGATGATGGAGAAAGAGGAAAGAGAACAAGGAACACAGATGCTTTTGATAGACTTTATTAACAACAGTTTATGCCTCTTCCAAGTAAAAATTTGGTCTGAATAAAAATTAAAATATAACTCTGCATATATAGACCTTCCCCTTTATTTACATGAAATCATATCGGATAGATTTGTGTCTCTCTATTTACAGATATAGAATCCTGTACAAAGAGTTTTTTAAAAAATCCAGTTTTAACTGCACATTTTTGTTACGTGGTAAAATGAACAACTTGCTTTTCTTTTGCTTTTTTTTTAAACCAGACCATCCCTTCATGCTTATTATTTTTTTTTAAAAAGCCAGAAAATTTAAACCCAACCAATTCTTCAACATGTCAGCAATCATGCTTTTCAAAGGGGTTTTCAAAGGTATTTTAAACAAAGATCTACAACCAGAGTAAAAGTTCAATTCTAGACAAGAGACAGAGAGAAAAAAAATAATGCATCTTTGCATTAAATTTTAATAAGTCACTGCCTCACTCCAACTATACCATGTGAAGTTTTAAATCCCATTAAATCATGGTAGCCACTGCTAAGAATTCTGGGAATTGAAGTTCACATCCCTGTAAAGGTAAAGGTTCCCCTCGCACATATGTGCTAGTCGTTCCCGACTCTAGGGGGCGGTGCTCATCTACGTTTGAAAGCCAAAGAGCCAGCGCTGTCCGAAGACGTCTCCATGGTCATGTGGCCGGCATGACTGAACACCAAAGGCGCATGGAACGCTGTGACCTTCCCACCAAAGGTGGTCCCTATTTTTCTACTTGCATTTTTTCCCTGCTTTCGAACTGCTAGGTTGGCAGAAGCTGGGACAAATAACGGGAGCTCACCCTGTTACGTGCCACTAGGGATTCGAACCGCTGAGCTGCCGACCTTTCGATCGACAAGCTCAGCGTCTTAGCCACTGAGCCACCGCATCCCTCACATCCCTGAAGGATGTTCAAATAGGACAAAGCTCTCTTTTCTTACAACTTGCTTCCCTCTCTATATAAAGTTAACACTCCTATCAAAACCCTAAAAACACAAACTGTATTTAGACCCTTAATTTCCCCTTCAAATTGATTTTTAGAGTATCCTTAAAACTCCAGCCTGATTGCTTTCAAATGTTGCTGGTGCTCCATTACTGGAGTCTTTCAAAAAGAGACTGAAAAAAAAAATTCTGAAATGGGCCAGGGCCTTCTACTCGAGCAGGGGGTTGGACTAGAAGACCTCCAAAGTCCCTTCCAACTCTATTACCTCCTCATGGGCCCACTTCAATTTTTTAAAGGCAGAAACTTCAAAATGGACAAACATTGCAGGATGTCAGGGACGTCTGATGAAAACTTGGTTGAAGCAGTAAATTATTTCTGGATACATTGAGTGAAAATGTCAACGTTGGTTTTTTGGGCTAGGATGACTAATGACCTCAGGCACGAGTTAACCTTGCAAGCTTTGGTGAATTCCAAACTTTGCTTTTATTTAGAGCTGGTTGAGTGCCTGATTCACTTCTTGATCATACAGGGGTGCCCAGCACCTTAAAATATTTATGGCTTCAGCTCAAGATCTTCATTTGGTTCATTTTGTGAGCACTTCTATGCATACACAGAGGCTCCATGTTTCTAAATACCAAGCGTTGAGGGAAAAAAAAGGAATTGCAGCCAGGGCCTTAAAAAACCAGTAAGAAAGCAGAGACAGAAAATCTGCAGAGGGTAGTTGTCAGTTGGCATACTGGGCATAAAAAGCCAGCTTCACTCGTTCGATCTGGTGGCACAGTTTGATGGCTGGGCCAAGCTTCAGTTCCATGCACTCCTGGACCGTCGGTAGTGTCAGAAGGAGAAGGGCTTGTCCATCAATATCCTGCAAAAAAAGGAGGAATAAAGAGAGATAAAGTATATTTTTAGTTAAGGAGGCTTCCTCGGTTGAAGCTTCAAAACACTGGATTGTGGGGCTTTTATACAGATTGATCCAGGGATGAAACATCCCTGGGTGTCTATTAATTGAACATAGGATTTGGCTCAAAAAAAAAGAAAGGAAATTAATGGGAAACTGAAGGTTTAAAAAAAGGTAAAGGAATCCTGCGGATTTTATTTTGCATAGTCGGTGCCAACTATAGTGGAGGTGTGCATCTCCGTTTCAAGGCCATTGAGCCAATGCTGTCCAAAGATATTTCCACGGTCATGTGGCCAGCATGACATCATGGAGCGTTGTTACCTTTCCACTGAAGTGGTACCTATTGATCTACTATTGATCTATAGATCAATAGATGCCTTCCGCCGTGCCCTTAAAACTTTCTTTTTTCAGCAAGCCGGGCTGGCTTAATATATTTTTTTTAAAATTTTTAATTGGTTTGTTATTTTAAATTGGGGCCAAATTAATATATATCTTTTTAATTGCTTTTAATGTTTGTATTGTATGTTTTTATCTGGCTATACACCGCCCTGAGTCCCTCGGGAGAAGGTGTGGTATATAAATTCGAAATAAAATAAAAAATAAAATAAATAGAAGACCTCTGAGGTTCCCTCCCACCCTATTTGTCTATGACTTATGCTAATGCAATTATGATCCTGTATCAGGAAGTGCTACAGTAGAAAGAAAGAAAGAAGGAAAGAAAGAAAGAAAGAAAGAAAGAAAGGAAGGAAGGAAGGAAGGAAGGAAGGAAGGAAGGAAGGAAGGAAGAAAAAAGAAGGAAGGAAGGAAGAGAAAAAGAAAGGAAGGAAGAAATAAAGATAAAGGAAAAGAAAGAAAGGAAAAGAAAGAAAAAAGAAAGAAAGAGAAAGGAAGGAAGAAAAGTAAAGTTGTGGGTGCTTCATCATAGGAGGTTTTTAAGAAGAGACTGGACAGTCACTTGTCTGAAATCGTATAGGGTCTCCTGCTTGAGCAAGGGGTTTGACTAGAAGACCATGAAGGTCCCTTCCAGCTCTAATCTGATTGATGGATGAAAGGAAGGGAGGAAGGAAGGAAAGAAGGAATGAAGGAAGAAAAAAGAAAGAAAGAGAGAGAGAAAAAGAAAGAAAGAAAGAAGGAAAGAAAAAGGAAGGAAGGAGGAAAGGAAGAAAAAGAAAGAGAAAGAAAGGAAGAAAGGAAGAAAAAGAAAGAAAGAAATGAAGAAAGAAAAAGGAAGAGGAAGGAAGAAAGAAAGAAAGAGAAAGAGAAAAAGAAAGAAAGAGAAAGAAAAAGAAAGAGGGGAAAGAAAGAAAAAAGAAAGAGAGAAAAAGAAAGAAAGAAAGAGAAAGAAAAAGGAAGGAGGAAAGGAAGAAAAAGAAAGAAAGAGAAAAAGACAGAGAGAAAGGAAGAAAAAGAAAGAAAGAAATGGGGAAAGAAAGAAAGAAAAAGAAAGAAAGAGAAAGGAAGGAAGAAAGAAAAAGAAAGAAAGAAAAAGAGGGAAAGAAAGAAAGAGAAAGAAAGAAAGAAGAAAGAAAGAAAAAGAAAGAACCTGTTCCTGAAAGATTTTGGCAAGGGGAGCGCAGTCGGTCAGCCGGAGGAATTGCACCACATCGGTCACCGTCCATTCCAAGGGGTTGCTCTCTAGGATGAGTTTCTCTTCCACAGCCTGCTTGATCTGCAACAAAGCAAAATTGGGATCACAATTAGGACTGTTCTCAGTGATCGATTCTGGCTCCTTTCCTAGTCAGGATGTCCTCTGATAAGTTTTATAATACGTCTGAAGTAATTAATATACAGTTAATCCTCGACTTACAACAAGTTTGTTTAGAAACCATTTGAAGTTACAACGGCACTGAAAAAATTGATTTATGGCCGTTTTTCACTATTAACGACTGTTACCCCATCCCCATGGTCACGTGATCAAAATTCAGAAGCTTGGCAACCGTCTCAGATTTATGACAGTTGCAATGTCCTGGGGACATGTGATAACCTTTTATGACCTTCTCACGAGCAAAGTCAATGGGGAAGCCAGATTTGCTTAACAACCATTTTACTAACTCAACAACTGCAGTGATTCCCTTAACAACTGTGGCAAGAAAGGTGGTAAAATGGGGGTGGGGGGGGCAAAACTCACTTAACAAATGTTTCACTTAGCAACAGAATTGTTGGGCTCAATTGTGGTTGTAAGGCAGCAATTCCCTTAACAACTATGGCAAATATGGTCATTAAATGGGGAAAAATTTACTCTAACAACTATCTCGCTTAGCAACAGAAATTTTCGACTCAACTGGAGTCAAGGACCACCTGTACTATTGGAAACCGTATTTCTTTAGGATGGATTAAGAATCTTTCCCTGTTTGCATTTATTTGAACTCTGTTCCTTTCTTTCTTTTATATGTTTTGTACCTGTTTTGGCTTGTATTTTTTTAAAAGTTCAATACTTGAAAATGCCTGGAGTCCCAGAATTCCTTAGCCAGCCTTGCTTAGGTTCTTTCCTAAATAAGCATAAGTGTGCTCCCTTGTGGAAACTGGCTTGGATAGACCACGTAAAGATGGATGTGCCCTCAAGCCCTGTTGTGGCCTGCCAGCGGCCAACGGAGCTGGTGGCAGACTCGGACATGAGGAGGTTGGGGAGGAACATGGGCCAGTCCTGGAGTCTGGGGAAGGCTCTGCGTCGGAGGCAGAGAGGGAGCCAGGGCCGTCCGACAGTTATCAACTACCTTCGGAGTCGGAGATAAGTGGGGCTGAAGAACAGCTGGAGCCTGTTCCCAATGTGCGCATGCGCAGAGCTGCCAGGAGAAGGGAACAGTTAAGGAACAAGGGCCGACTCAGGAGTAAGGGCACAGGTGGACAGTGAATGGCCCCTCCCATAGGGAATAAAAGAGGAGCGACAGGGGAGTGGAGTTTGCAGGAGACAATTAGTTCATTCCTGCATTCTTGCCAAGTATTGCAGTGTCTGAAAGATATCGGCCTGGCCACTCTCCAAGCCTGATAAAGGTCGGTAATTGTGAACTATCTTAAAAGCCTGCGGAAGAAGGGCAAAAGGGGAGTGGTGTTTGAAGGAGACAATTAGTTCGTTAGTGTGAAGATTTGCTTATCTGAAAGACTCTTTGACCAGTATTTCCTTGTACAGGGTTGCCTCTGGAAGCTATCGGCCTGGCAACTATCCAAGGATTGATAAGGTCTGTGTTTGCAATTCACCCTTGAAAGACTGTTTGCTGGGACTTTGCTGGATGTGAATGCCAGGAATTCACATTAGCCAAAAAAAAAAAGAAGGGTGGGGGGGAGGTTTCTGGACCAAGCCCAACCAAGTTGGTTTCCCCCTGAAAAAATCCCCACAAAGCAAATGAACAAGGCCTACAAGACAGAAAGCCAATGATTTCCAAGGGGCTGTTTTGGAGTGGTTCAAATGTTGGACGACCCATCAAAAAGCAAGGTATGGCTATCCAGCCACTTACCTGCCTGGTTCTCTCACTTTTGGCATGCAGGAAGGAAAGTGCCTTCTGGGCTTGCCTGTCCCTCTCGGGCCGAGCCACATGGATGGAGCCTCTGCTGCTGCGTAACTTCATTGTGGTCATTGGTATGGCCAAAGGTATGTCCTCCGAGGAGACATCTGTTAGATCATCCTGCAATTCTGGACTGGTTTCCTCGCTCCACGCGGTGTCTGCTTCTTCCTCGTCACTCTCCTGCCACGGAATTGAATTGGTATTTGACCAGGCTGAGCCCGAGGGAGGGGTCAAATGCGTTATCAGTCTTGAGTCTCTTTGTGCCCACAAGAGATCTAAATCCAGCCCCCCTTGAATTCCCGTGACTCTTATCTACTATCAATTTGCTTTGACCATTAGTAGTTCAGATTCTTGACTGGTGCGGTGGCCTAGAGGTTGTGCTCTCGCCTTACAATCAAGGAAGCCATGTGTTTGATCCTAGGTAGAGGCAGATATTTTTCTCTCTGGGCACAATGAGAATATATCTGCTGCAAACTCAGCACTGGCAACAGGAAGGGCATCCGGCCAGTAAAGTTCCATTCAGTTGCCCCAACTCCACCCCACAAGGGATTACGGGGTCATTAAACGACAAAGAAGATTAGCAGGTAGTTCAGATTCTTGTAAAGAGCTTAAGCTTGCAATAAATTCTTATGTTCATTTGAACTGCCTGGCTTTCCTGATTTCCGCGTTTGATACTCCCAAATTAAACAAAGGACTCCCAGCAGAAAAGCACATTAAGAGAAACCAGCACACTATCACCTTCTCTTCTACCGACAACGTGATAATTAATAATAAATAGCTGTTAATAAGGAGAATGAAAGGTAATTGGATGAAACTAATTACCCGATAAAAACCCAGAGGGCAACACCAAGTGTTTCTTGTGAGAGCACCGTTTTGTACTAATTTCCATTAAATCAAATAGATAGCTAGATGCTGAAGAGAGATTATTCCATTAAACAGGAGCCAAGGTAGAGAAACTGCCTTTCCTTATAATCACTGCTTTTCAAATTTGGCCATTTTAAGACGCGTGGACTTCCAATTCCCAGAATTCTGGGAGTTGAAGCCCATGCGTCTTAAAGTTGTCTAGTTTGCAAAACATGGCTCTGGACAGCTGTAGTGTAATATATATGCATATAAATGGCTCTGTGTGTGTATGTGTGTTTGTTCCAGCATAACTCTGGAATGCCTCGAGCAATTTCAACCAAACTTGGTACACAGATGCCTTACACTCCGGAAACAAATACTGTGGGGGTAAGACACCCCTAACACCTCTCGGGGTGTGTGTTCTGTTAAGATACAGCCTGTTGTGCTTTAAAATGGCTTCTACTGTACTGCCTTAAAATGGCTTCTACTGTGCAGCACAGTGGAGTTGCCATGGTAACGGCTTCACAGTACTCCACAAGGGGGCTCCCTCTGGTAAGGGTGAAAATCCAACATTAGAAATTACATTTGGTCAAACATTTTTAACTAATTTAATTCTCGCCAAAATCAGGGCTCAGCTGCTCTTCCTGTCTAATACAGGATTGGGATAAATAAATACTCGGGCAACGCCAGGTTATCAGCTAGTCCAGGGGTCTGCAACCTTAAACACTCAAAGAGCCATTTGGACCTGTTTCCCAGAGAAAATAAAACACTGGGAGCCACAAAGCCTGGGTGGGCGTGGCCAACTCAACATCACTCACTTCCACCAGTCACATGACCCCCTAGCCACACCTACCCAGCCAGTCATTAGGGCAGAGAACCAGTTGTTAAAAAACACCGGGAACCACAAAACCCTTTTGACATCTCTCCCTCCCTACCCACTCTCCCACTCTCCCACCCTCTTTCTCTGTATCTCTCTATGTCTCTCTCTCTCTCTCTCCCCCTCTCTCTGTATCTCTCTGTCTCTGCCCCGGCCACTTCTCCATCACCTGCTGTCGCCCTTACCTTCTCAGGCCAGGCGAGGAGTGACTGGGAGGGGAGGGCAAGGGGCAGGGCCAGCCAGTGGTGGGATCACCCGACAGGGAGCCACAGCAGAGGGCCCAAAGAGCCACATGCGGCTCTGGAGCTGCAGGTTGCTGACACTTGAGCTAATCTAATATAAAAAAGAGACTGTAGAAAGAGCGCAGAGAAGAGCAACAAAAATGATTCAGGGACTGGAGGCTAAAACATATAAGGAACGGTTGCTGGAACTTGATATGTCTAGTTTAATGAAAAGGAGGAAGGGCTAAGGCTGACATGATAGCAGTCTTCCACATCTATGGGGTTTCCACAAAGAAGATTGGGTCCACCTATTCTCCAAAGCACCTGAAGGCAGAACAAGAAGCAATGGATGGAAACTAACCAAGGAGAACCTAGAACTAAGGAGAAATTTCCTGAGAGTGTCAACAATGAACCAATGGAACAACTTGCCTCCAGAAGTTGTGAATGCTCCAACACTGGAGGTTTTTTAGAAGACAATGGACAAATGTCTGAAAAGGTACAGGGTTTCCTGCCTGAGCAGGGAGTTGGACTAGAATATTCTGTCCCCGTACCACGCACACACACCCACAGATGGCCCGGAGTTAATAAGCCACACGACAAAACTCTTTGATGATAAAGCTGGCAGCAATTCAGTGGCTAGCTGCCAATTCAGACTTTACTCATACAAAACAAAGATTAATCCAAATGCAGTCCGATAAAGCAGGCAAAGTCCAGTAAAGCAGAGATCATGGAGTATTTCCAGTTTTTGCTCGTCACAAACTGAACCAGCCACCACACCCACATTTATACCCTGTGGGGTGTGGTCCAGTGACTCAGCTAATCTCTGGCATGCCTTCCCCTCTGCTGTGCATGCTTCTCCCTGCGCCTCTGCCGAGGGTCCAGCCAGCACTTATCTCCTTCATCGCTGTCCACTTGTGGCTGCGGGGATGTGCTTGGCTCTGAGCCTATCTTTTGGCCTTCAGTGTCCTCCGGAGGCATTGCCAGAGAGGAGGGTACTGGAGAGGGAGGTCTTGCCAACTCCTCCCCCTCACTCTCAGAGTCTGCATCTGTCGATAGCCCAGGCTCAGGTAACGGAGCCACAACAAGAAGACCTCCAAGGTCCCTTCCTGTTATTCTATTTGGTTATCTTTCTGACTTATTCCAGCTCATGTGCAGATAACGTTCACAAGGGAAGCCAAATCTCACCTCTGTCGATCCTGCTCCATTCAGATCCGCTGTGGAGAGACACCTTTTCTTTGGTGTAAAACCTGGTTTCCGCATTTTACTGTAATCCGACCAGATCTTGTGTCTGCTCTCCAGGCTGTAAGGGTTTTCTTCACTGGGAGAAGGCTTAATGACTTTCCTCCTTTTTCCATAATAGTATGCTGGAGAGGAAAAAGTCTGGTTAAAAAATAATAATCAAACCATCGAATTCTATAGGTAGTCCTCCACTTACGACCATTCGTTTAGCGACCGTTTGAAGTTGCAACAGCCCTGAAAGAAAGGACTTATAACCAGGACTTTTCACACTTACGCTGTTGTAGCACCCCCGTGGTCACATGATCAAAATTTGAATGCTTGGCAACTGGTTCATATTTATGACGGTTGCAGTGTCTCAGTGTTTTGTGATCCCCTTTGCGACCATCTGACAAGCGGATAGGATAGGATAGGATAGGATAGGATAGGATAGGATAGGATAGGATAGGATAGAGAGTGGAGTGGAGTAGGGAATGGAATGGAATGGAATAGGAATAGCAGTAGAGTGGAGTGGAGTGGAGTGGAGTGGAGTGGAGTAGAACAGAACAGAACAGACAGAACAGAACAGAACAGAACAGAACAGAACAGAATTGGAAGGGATTTTGGAGGTTTTCTAGTCCAACCCCCTGCTTAGAGAGGAAACCCTATATCAGTGATGGCTAACCTTTTTGTCATCACGTGCCAAAAGTGGGGGGAGTGCAGGGGGGGTCGCTCGCACGCGTGCCCGCACCCATAATTCTATGCGCCCCACTCCCCCACGCATGCATGTGCGACCCCCCCTCCCGCGCTCCCCCCACTTTTGGCATGTGATGGCAAGGTAGGTCCATTTTTTGCTCTCCCCAGGCTCCACAGCTTTTCTAGGAGGCTCGGGAGGGATAAAATTGCCTTCCCACTCCCCTGGAAGCCCTCCGGAGACCGGAAACAGCCTTTTTCCTGACTTCTGGTGGGCCCAAAAGGCCCAAAAATCAGCTGGCCGGTGCGCGCATGCATGCTGGAGCTGAGCTCACATGCCCACCGATATGTCTCCGCATGCTACCTGTGGCACGCGTGCCATAGGTTCGCCATCACGGCCCTATACCATTTCAGACAAATGGCTGCCCAATCTTTTCTTAGGTCAATGGGGAAGCCCGATTCACTCTAACAAATGTGTTATAATTAACTGCGGTGGTTCATCTTAATTGTGGCAAGAAAGATTCTAATATGGGGGAAATCTCACTTAAGAACTGTCTCACTTAGCAACAGAAATGTTGGACTCAACTGTGGTCATAAGTCCAGGACTACCTGTCTTTCTTTCCTCAGCCAGAATCCAAAGAATTCTGATGGCTTCCCCAACGTTGTTCTCCAGAGTCAATCCTAGATTGTTAGTGATGGGCTTCCATCAGCAAATGCCAACACCAAATTTGATTTATTTGCAGCATTCTAGATTATCCCAATCATAATACTCCAGGCAATGCAGGAGAAACAAAATCCACAGAAACTAAAACCAAACCAAGTTTTGTCCCACAGCTGCCATGCGCACTTACCATATTTTGTTTTGGTGTGACTGGAACAGTTTTCGGGGCAATTTTCGGCAACCGGAACAGGGCCAAATAAATTGGGGCAGCATTCCAGTTTCGCGCATACCTTCCGGCAGAAATTGGAGACTTGGTCAGAAGTACGAACTATCTTGACCATTGCCCTGTACGTTTTACCTCGGTATCTGTCATGGAAAGTTGCAACAACACGACAAACATTACATTATAAATCAAGATTTTGGGACCAAGACTTTTTAGCTCAGTTGGATGTTATATCCTCGCAAAGACAGCTCACAGGGATACAACCGAGTGTCAACTTGCAAAGCATCCCTGACCTGCTTTCAAGTTGCCATAGGCAAGAGGGATGGAAAATGAATACTGCAGTGAGGCAGCACGTCAGTCAAAACAAAAGCACATTCCAGCCATATCTCTGTCAAGGCCATCTCCGTGGTTACCCACAGTGGCTGGAGGGGAGTGATCTCTACAACCCGTGAAATTGCTTCGTTGGAGGGGAGCAATTTTAACGAAGCCACATTGAGGTAGTTTTTTTTTAAAAAAACCCTATCCAAACATATTAGCTTGAAGAATTTAAGATATGATAGTTTACCAAGCGTTGTATCTGTCTGGAACAGCGGAAATTCCCCGAGTAAAATTAATTTTTCTTTCCTAATTAAATGTGACATAACTGAAGTTGTAGAAAACTTGGAGATGAAAAATCTCCAAAGGACCGCTTTACAAAAAAACCTTGGAAAGAATGCATCAAAACTCTTGTTCTGAGCATAGAAGCTGTAACAGGTAGCCCTTGACTTACAACAACAAGGGTTGTTGTAAATTTCTGTTGTTAAGTGAATCACTGCAGTTGCGAAGTCAAGTAACCCAGCTCTTAAATGAATCTGGCTTCCTCGTTAACTTTGCTCGTCAGAAGGTCGCAAAAGAGTAAAAACCCAGTTGCCAAGCATTCAAATTTTAATCATATGATCGTGGGGAAGAAGCAATGGTCGCAAGTGTGAAAAATGGTACTCACTTAACAACTGCAGTGGTTCATTTAACAACTGTGGCAAGAAAGGTCGTAAATGGAGACAAAATAAATGTTTCACTTACCGTACTTTTCGGAGTATAAGATGCACTCCCCCACCCCCAAAAGAGGGTGGAAATGTCAGTGCAGAATATAGACAGAATATGGCATTTTTGGCCTCCCGAAACCCCGCCCTGTACGACCCGTTTTTGCCAAAAACAGTCCCATTTATGGCAAAAACGGGACACGCAGAGAGTTTGGGAGGCCTGCAGAGTGTTCCTGGGGGCCAGAGAGGCAAAAATGGAACACGTGGGAGGTTTGGGAGGCCAAAAACGGGTCCATTTTTCGCCAAAACGGGACACGCAGCGGGTTTGGTAGGCCTGCAGAGTGCTCCTGGGGGCTGGGGAGGGCAAAAATCAGACATGTGGAGGCCAAAAACTATTTTTCTTCTTGTTTTCCTCTTCAAAATCATGGTGCGTCTTATACTCCGGTGCGTCTTATAGTTCGAAAAATACGGTAAATTTAGGGCTCAATTGTGTTCATAAGTCGGGGACTGCCTGTCGTTCCTTCTATCTTTTTCAGCTAAAGTAATTTTTTGCCAACCTCCTTTCTTCCCTGGTCCACCATTATGGATATATTCTTAAATAACAAACAGCCTCTAGGTTTCTCTTCCTTTTAGAAACAGTCCTTACTTTGCTTTGAGGTTTTCTTCCTGAAAATTCCACCCGGGGTCGACAAGTTGCAACTCTCGCAAAATGCTCCTGGGTTTGTAGGCAGAGTTGATCACCATGCGAAGAATCTGAGCAGAGCAAAAACACTGGGTGTGAAGTTGTGAAAGAGAGCATCAAGAACTCCACAGCTCAAGGTTAATACCAGCCCTATGAGGTAGGCCAGGTTAGGAAACAGCCACCACATACACACAAAAAAAACCCCCACTAGGAACTGAATAACAAAACGGAATAACAGAATCAGAGTTGGAAGGGAACTTGGAGACCTTCTAGTGTAGTCTAGCCTCCAGTGTTGGAGCAGCCACAACCTCTGGAGGCAAGTTGTTCCACTGATTAATTGTTCTAATTGTCAGGAAATTCCTCCTTAGTTCTAGGTTGCTTCTCTCCTTGATTAGTTTCCACCCATTGCTTCTTCTCCTGCCTTCAGGTGCTGTTCTGTCCCCGTCCCACACACAGACACCAACAGACGTCCAAGAGTTAAAAACCAAACCAGCCGACAAAATCCTTATGATAACGGAACTTGGCAGCAACCTGCCAAGAGTTTATTACTCACGAAGGGAAGAGATAACTTCTCTCCGCTTCTGGTACATCAAAGTAAAATGTTCAATAATTACAGAGTAACTTAAGTCCAAATATAATCCAGCAAAGCCTATAGCAAAAGTCCAGCAATGCAGAATGGCGTGGAAGCTTTCAGCTTTGTTCGTCACAAGGCTTGACTGGCCACCACGCTCCCTTTTATACCCTGTGGGGTGTGGTCCAGTGACTCAGCCTAATCTCTGGCACGCCTCTTTTGTTGCGTGCGCTTATCTCTCCGACGCTGGCATGGATCCAGCCAAGACTCATCCCCGTCACTGTCCGACTGCGCCTGCGCAGGGATACCTGGCTCCTGGCCAATCTCTTCTCCGTCGGGAGACACCTGAGGCATTGCCAGAGAGGAGGGTCCTGGAGAGGGAGGCCTTGCCAACTCCTCTCCTTCCCTTTCGGAGCCTTCTTCCTCCAATAAGACGGGCTCGGGGGTCAGAGCCACAACAGGTGCTTTGGAGAATAGGTGGATCCCTTCTTCTTTGTGGAAGCCCCTTAGGTATTGGAACACTGCTATCATGTCACTATTTGCATGATAGCAATATTGACAAACTATTGATATTAATAGAATCTTGAAAACCTGACAGCTTATTATTTGCTCTCAGACAAACTCAGACTTGCCTCCAGAAGTTGTAAATGCTCCAACACTGGAGTTTTTAAGAAGAGACTGGACAAACATTTGTCTGAAATGGTATAGGGCTCTGTGGGCACGTCAGCTGTCACCCCAGTTCAGCTCTGTCACACATGTGCGTGCGCCTCCTGCCGGCCAGCTGGTCATTGGGTCTCTGCCGTGCATGCGTGGGGGGGCATGTGCATGGCGCATGCGCCACGCACGCACTGCATTTTGGGGGTTCGGGCACTCGGTCTGGAAAAGGTTAGCCATCACTGGTAAAGGGTTTCCTGCTCAAGCAGGGGTTGGACTACAAGACCTCTAAGGTCCCTTCCAACTCTGTTTATTATTTTAAATATTGCTAATGGCAGTTGCATAGATCTTCAAAGTTCATCTCGGTAGTCGTCTGCAGCTGTGGTAATTGAGTTCAGGATTTCTGCTGTGTTCCCCCCTCTTGTCTATCATTCTGTGCTTTTTGTCTAACAGACTGTTAATCTCAGATCCTCCTCCACTCCTTTCTAGCACTGATGATATTACCTAGTTGGGTAATGAAATGTCTGCAAACAAACAAACAACCTCAGAGAGCACCAAGGACCCCACAGTCCTCCTCCTTCTCCTCTTCCTCTTCCTCTCCACAAACCACACTCCCTTCTAGCACTGATGATGCTGCCTAGTTGGGTCATGAAACGTCTGCAAGGAAAACAACCCAGCTCAGAGAGCACCAAGGACCCAGTCATTCAACCCTGAGCTGTAGCTATTTTCTTCCATTGATACTGGCTTCAATTTGGACTCTTTATATAGCAGGGGGTTGGTTTGGATGGCCTCCTAGACCCCTTCCCACTTTGCCAGGTGTTGTGGCCCGCCAGCTGCCAGCAGAGCTGGCGGCAGACTCAGACGATGAGGATGTTGGGGAGGAACTTGGGCCAGTTCTGGAGTCCAGGGAAAGCTCTGACGGATGCTCTGCGTCGGACACAGAGATAAAGCCAGGGCTGTCCGACATTTCCTAGCCACTGGAGAGGCAGCTGCCTTTGGAGGCTGATATGAGTGAGGAGGAAGAACAGCTGGGGCCTGTTCCATATGCACGTATGCGCAGAGCAGCTAGGAGACCTGAACAACGGAGGACAAGGAGTCGACTCGGGAAGCAAAGCACACATGGACGCTGAATGGCCCCTCCCTGGCTGGGGAATAAATCGAAGGAAAGGGGAATGGTTGTCGTAGGAGACAACCGTTCGTATTTCTGAAGATTTTGCTCATTGTGTTTGGTGTCACAAAGACTGCTTGCCAGAACTTAATTTGCAGCCTTTCGGCTGGGAGCTCACGGCCTGGCAATTATCACAAGGAACTGATAAGGTCTGTTAGTGCAGTTAACTCCTTGAAGGACTCTTGCCGGGACTTTTCGGTGGGTGAATGCAATTAATTCACAAGAGGTAAATAAAGAAGGGTTTTTCGTGTCTTAGTTTCTGCTAAGGCTGGATCAGAACACCAGGATCCTCCCATTCCTAGCAGGGCACAGGATACATCTCATAATCCTTACCTCTTTAAGAACCAGGACGCATTTCCCTGGCCCAACAGACTGTGGCAGTTCTGCCAATCTGCCTTTGTTGAGATGTGGGCCTGAGAAACAGCGGTGGTTGATGAAGAGCACGGGGCAGTTGTATCTCCCGTTGATGGTCCCTGCAGAGAAGAAACCAGAAACCAATTCCATCTTCTTCCAGCATCCCATCTGGGCCACATTTCCTCTCTATCCTCCTCCTTTCCACCACCTTGGGACATAAGCAACGACTGTGTTTATGGAGTTCATCTATTCTTTCCACTTTCAACCAATACGGGGACCTGGGTGTATGGGAATTATAATCCCGCATTGATTTGGATGATGCAGGTAGTCCTTGACTTATGGCCACCATTCAGTCCGACATTTCTGTTGCTGAGTGAGACAGTTGTTAAAACGAGTTTTTGTCCCGTTACGACCTTTGTCGCCACCGTGCTGATGTGAGTCACTGCAGTTGTTAAATTAGTCACACGGTTGTGAAGTGAATTTGGCTTTTGCTTGTCAGAAGGTCACAAAAGGGAATCATATGACCCCAGGACACTGCAACCGTCATAAATATGAGTCAGTTGCCAAGCGTCTGAATTTTTAATCATAGGAACATGGGGAGGCTGCAATGGTCATAAGTATGAAAAATAGTCGCAAGCCACTTTTTTCAATGCCGTTGGGATGACCCGGGGCGTGGCACGGAGGCAACATAGCCAGAGAACCGGTATGAGTCCCTTTATTGGCACCAACTTTGCCCCCAATGTCCCGTTTACTCTCCGGCCTGGAGAAAAACTCTCCCACAAACCTGTAGCAGCTTCTGGCTGCAGATACTCCAGTCCAAATGCTGTAAGCAGAATGATTACAATCCATCACTCCAGCAGGGCAAGATAATGAGTCCCAGAAGCCGGCAATAATTCCAGCAAGACAAGATAAGCACACTAATTCAGTCAGTAGGAATGCCAGGAATGCAGGCCACAACTCTCAACACTAGATGAATTCAGTGTTTGTTCCCCTCCCAACTGCCTCTCCTTTAAACTCCATCCCCAGGTGTGCCTTGTGAAGGGAATCGGGGCCCTCTCCTTCCTCGTAAGCCACGCAACTCATGTTGCTCTCTTCTGTGTTCTTCCCTGCGCACCCTAGGATGAGGAGGGGGTGGGCCTTGGTCTTCATCTGAACCCCCCTCTCCCTTGTTCTACCTCTTCCCTGCTCTGCCCAGCCTGATTTTACCCTTCCCCAGTTTCCTCCACAGCCACTCTCTCTCACAGCCACTCCCGCTCTCTGTCAACTGTTTGTCTTCCGTCTCAGATTCAGACTCTGACGGGGGCATGACAGCCCTTGTAACTTTGAATGGTCATTAAATGAACTGTCATAAGTGCAAAACTACTTGCATTGCACCGGGAGTAGCAATTCAAAAATCTTTATTTATGATGAGCGCGGGAATGCAATGTTTTTTCAAAGTTAGCAACTTTAAGATGGATGGACTTCAACTCCCAGAATTCCTCAGCTAGTCAGACTGGCTGAGTATTTCTGGGAGCTGAAGTCCACCTATGTTAAAGGTCTTGATTTATTTTCTTACTCCTTTAAAGTGGTGATATTTCAGATCTAAATTAGAAAAACGATTGTCTTTTTCCCTCAAACTCACCCATCATGTCCGTCTGGGGAATGCAGTGAGGATTCTGAATTTTCACAATAGGCACTCCCGCTGGTAACCTAACAGAGGACCAAAAAGCAACAACAAGCCATTCAGATTACAAAACTACAGTCCTCATTTTTCAACTGACCCGTTTAGTGACTGTTCACAGGTATTGATCGTTAAGGTAACTCTACGATCTATCCTTGCATTTATGGCCTTGGCAGGTCTGTAAAGCAAAGAGAACCCGAAGTAAGATCGTAACCACCGTCACTTAGTGTTCGGGTGGCCGGTTCCAACTGTGGTCACTAAAGGAGGACTAGTGATACTTGAATGATGGGGGGGAAGGAGAGGGGGTTGTCCAGAGAGGTTAAAAAAGTTGGCAGCCATAACCATGTAATCAAAGCTGAAGGCCACGTATCTTAAAATTGCTGAGAAACACTGAATGGGTAGATGAATAAGTACATATTGATTTATTGAGCTACAGGTAGTCCTCCACTTACGGCCACAGTTATGAACAGAATTTCCAATACTAACTTAGCCCACCGTTCATTGATTTTGTGGTACCTGATTTTATGACCTTTTCTGGGCCTCAGTGGCTAAGGGAATTATTGCAGTCGTTAAATGAAACACATGGTTGTTAAGCAAATCCCAGTTGAGTTTGCTTGACAGGCGCCAGCTGGGAAGGTTGCAAATGGCAATCACGTGAATCCAGGATGCCGCAATCGTCATAAATATAAAGGTACTCCTCGACTTATGACCACAATTGAGTGGCCAAAATTTCTGTTGTTAAGTGAGACTTTAACTTTGTTGAGTTATGTCCCATTTTTATGACCTTTTGTGCCATCGTTGTTAAGTGAATCACTGCAACTGATAAGTTACCAATATGGTTATTAAGTGAATCTGGCTTTCTTGTTGACTTTGCTTGTCAGAAGGTCGTAAAAGGGGGATCAGACGACTCCGGGACACTGCAACCGACATAAATATGAACCAGTTGCCAAGTGGCTGAATTTTGATCATGTGACCATGGGTGGGGCTGCAACGGTCATAAGTGTGAAAAATTGGTCATAAATCACTTTTTTCAGTGCGGTTGTAACATCGATCGATCTCTAAATGAATGGTTGTAAATTGAGGACTACCTATATATCAATTTACCCCTTGCAATATAGTCAAACACCTTCTATCTTACATCAATTTTATTTACGTGATAAAACTGTGCTGTAATTGACATTTTAAGGGTGTACTCACTGCTTTTCCGGTTGGACGATTGCAATCTTTCTCTTCCTTTGCGCTGGAAAACGAGGACAAGGACAAGGACAAAGGTTAATCTGGCAATGCCTGTTTGCAAATGTACAGGGTGTGATTCCCAGCAGGAAAAATTAAAGATGATCTCATCCTTTTTTAAATTTACAGGTTAGTCCTCGATTTACGACCGCAATCGAGCCCAACATGTCTGTTGTTAAATGAGACATTTGTGAAGTGAGCTTTTGCCCCTTTTTAACGACCTTTCATGCCAGAGTCGTTTTTTTAAAAAAATAATTTTTATTAAACACTTTTGTTATTTTTTTTGAAAACAAAAAATAATCTTTTACAATTTTTTCTTTTCAACAATTTCGCATCGGTAGACATTTCTTACGTATCCATTTTTTCTCCCTTATTTCAATTTATCCTTTATATATATAATTCTAATATTGATTTATTTACATATATACATATAAGTAACAGTATACACAATTTCGTTTCTACAATCTGCATCTTTTCTGTTTCCTCTTATTTGTTATTACCTTTCCACTCCTATATCTTCCTCATTTGCTCTTTCCTTAACTTTTATCCCTCTCCTCTAACCACTCATACCTTTTCTCCCACACTGTATAATATTCTGTTTCCTCTTTTTCTTGTATTTCCTTTGTAAGTTTGTCCATTTCTGCACATTCTAAAACTTTTCTAATCAAATGACCTCTCGTTGGTATATTGTTATTTTTCCAATTTTGTGCATATATTAATTATTCTTGCTGCTGTTATGGTATGTATAATTAAATATCGTAATTTTTTTTCATAAGTCCCTGGGAGCATTCCTAATAAAAATATTTCTGGCTTCATCTCTATATGTTGTTTGGTTAGTTCTTCTAATTTTAGTCTGATTTTACTCCAATATTGTTTTTCTTTGGGGTTAGGGCTAGGGTTGCCAGAGTCATTAAATGCATCTCTGCAGTTGATAAATCAGTAACCTGGTTGTTAAGTGAATCTGGCTTCCCTACTGATTTTGCTTGTCCTAGAACCGTGATGGTGAACCTATGGCATGCGTGCCACAGATGGAACGCAGAGACCTCTCTGCGGGCACACGACCCATCGCCCCAGCTCAACTCCACTGGCATGTGCGCATGCCTTCCGCCGACTAACTAATTTTTGGGTCTCTGCTGCACATGTGTGGGGGCGGGATGCATGCTAGAGACACGCGTGCATGCATGGGGGGCGGGGGAGAGTGCGGGGGTCACGTATGCATGCACAGGTGGGCGGAGCGCGCGGTGGGGGGTCATGTACGTATTGCATTATGGGTTATAAGCAGGAGTGAAATGCTCCCGGTTCGGACCGGATCGCCCGATCCGGTAGCGATGGAGGCGGGTGGTTCGGAGAACCGGTAGCAAAAATCCCTGCTCCCTCACATGCCCAGCTGAGCCGCACAATCATCAGAGGCTTTTTTTTTTTTTACTTTTAAAAGCATTTTTTCTTCTGCCAAAAAAATGCTTTTAAAAATAAAAAATAAAGCCTCTGATGATCGCGCGGCTCAGCTGGGATCATCAAAGGCTTTTAAAAGAAAAAAACCCTTTTTTTCTTTTAAATGCCTCTGACGATCCAAGCTGAGTTGCCTGATCGGCAGAGGCTTTTAAAAGAAAAAAAGTGTCTGCCGATCAGGCACCTCAGCTGGGATCGTCAGAGCCTTTTGAAAGCATTTTTTAATAACTTCTTCGCCGAAGAGGTTGTAGAAAAAATGGTTTTAAAAGTAAAAAAAAAAAAATTGGCCACGCCCACCCAGTCACCCTCACCACCAAACCACGCCCACAGAACCGGTAGTAACAAATTTTAGATTCCACCACTGGGTATAAGTGCAGGGAGGCCTAATAGGCGTGCCCCCCGTGGCCCATTTTTGCTCCCAGGAGGCTGCAGGGAGGCCTGCTAGGCCCAAAACGGGTCGCAGGGGTCACGCGGGTGAGGGGGTGGGGGGCCCGTGCGCATTGCTTTCAGCACGCGACAACAAAAAGGTTAGCCACCACTGTCCTAGAAGGTCGTAAAAGCCAGATTCACTTAACAACCGGGTTACTGATTTATCGACGGCAGAGATTGGGACGCAGCAAACGGTCATAAATAGGGAACCGGCAGCCAAGCACCTGAATTTTCATCGTGTGACCGTGGGGAGTCTGCAACAGTTGTTAAGTGTGGAAAAACGGCCATCAATCACTTTAATCAGTGCTGCTTGTCACTTCAAACAGGCACTAAACAGGCAGGTTGTAAGTCGAGGACTGCCTGCATAGTCTTAGAAGAGAGAAAACCCTTCCGAAGACAATGCATTCATTTTTGAACAGAAGTGCACAAAATCACCCACTAATAATAAGGTTAGCCACTTAACCATTACAGCCATCGGGATATTCATTACAAGAAATTGCTATTACATTCCAGTCATCTGTGCTGAGATATAAACTTTCAACAATTGTTACTACTTCATTAAAGCATTATGCTAAAGGACCCCACAGCAGCCTTCAGCTCTTTGCTCACTGCGAGTTTACGGGATCTTGTACTTAATATAAATAACTAAAAACAATAGCCGTATTCTTCCGTTTCAGAAGAACGTAATCTGGGATTAAATTTTGCAAGCCTGATTGATTTCAGCGTTTCTTATTCCATGGACTGCATTATAAGGAATCAAGACCCGGGGTAATTTTTAATTTCGTCGTGCTCTCCAAATTAGGTTCCTTGTTGATTTAAAAATCAAATTTGCTCTCGAAATAAAACAACGGCAAAACAGAACCGGGCAGTTTCTCAATCGAACCTGTGAATGTTAATGCAGAATTATAGAATAACAAGAGTTGGAAGGGACTTCAGAGGCCATCTAGTCCAACCCCCTGCTCAAATAGGAGACTTTATACCATTTTAGACAAATGGCTGTCCGATCTCTTAAGGCCGAATTATAGGTTATGTGGCTGGTGCAAAATCTTCCCACCTTTTCATTCTCCAGGGGGGAAAAAAACCCACATTTCCCTTCTTAAGGGTTAGTTCATGGCATTAAACTATTCCTTGGTTTGGCTTTGTGAATTCAACCGCATCTTGGCTTCGAAACCATTCACCATAATTTGCCCGATAAGCTCATTCATACATCAATATCAAATTGTGATGTGCTTGCCTGAACACTCTATTTTTTTAGTCTTATTTTTTTAAAAAATCATGTTAAAATTCTGCTTTACAGACATTTCCCCCATTCTAGTCCCTCCCTTATGGGCAAAACTCTATGGGGCCCTCCAGATCAGGGGTTAAATCCAGAAGGTTCCGACAGGTTCTGGAGAACCGGTAGCGGAAATTTTGAGTAGTTCGGAGAACCGGCAAATACCACCTCTGGCTGGCCCCAGAGTGGGTTGGGAATGGAGGTTTTGCAATATCCTTCCCCCAGGAGTGGGGAGGGAATGGGGATTTTGCAGTATCCTTCCTCTGGAGTGGGGTGGGAATGGAGATTTTGCAGTATCCTTCTCCTGGATTGGGGTGGGAATGGGGATTTTGCAATATCCTTCCCCTGGAGTGGGGAGGGAATGGAGATTTTGCAGTATCCTTCCCCTGGAATGGGGTCGGAATGGAGATTTTGCAGTATCCTTCCCATGGAGTGGGGTGGGAATGGGGATTTTGCAATATCCTTCTCCTGTAGTGGGGTGGGAATGAGGATTTTGCAGTATCCTTCTCCTGCAATGGGGTGGGAATGGGGATTTTGCAGTATTCTTCCCCTGCCACGCCTACCAAGCCACGCCCACAGAACCGGTAGTAAAAAAAATTGCATTTCACCACTGCTCCAGATGTTCCTGAACTGCAGTTCCTAGAAGACGCAGCCAGCGTGGTTAATACAGCCCGTCCTCGACTTACGACACAACGGAGCTCCAAATTTCTGTTGCTAAGTGGGACAGTTGTCAACCCTTGACTTTTGATTGTTTTTCACACGCCTGTTACAGCATCCCCATGATCACGTGATCAAAATTCAAACGCTTGGCAACTGACTCATATTTATGACTGTCTTAATGTCCTGGAGTCCTCTTTTACGACCTTCTGACAAGCAAAGTCAATGGGGAAGCCAGTTTCACTTAACAACCGCATTGCTAACTTAACAACCTTAGGGATTCACTTATCGACTGTGGCAAGGAAGGTCGTAAAATGGGGGCAAAATTCACTTAACAACTGTCTCGCTTAGCAATCGAAATTTGGGGCTCCATTACGGTCGTAAGCCGAGGACTACCCGTAGTCCTGGAAAAGGCCAAATAACTGAATGATTATTGCAAAACTTAGCAATCGAAATTTACTCTACCGGGTACCTACCGGGGTATTTATGCGGTGTCAAGAGCTTATAACCATTTGCTTCGCACCAGCCCACAGGGAAGATGTCCATCGATTCCACATCGACTATATATTCGGAAGCAGGTGCATGAGGTAGACCTATTGATGCATTAGAATGCATTAGAAACGCCAGAAAAGCAGCAGTGTGGTGGCAAAAAGAAAAGAACAAGCACAGATGCATACACGCGGGGAGAAGAATGCGTCCTCTCCAGTTTTAAATGTGCTTCATTAATTTCTGAGTCACATGGTTGAGTTGAGTGGCCATAGAAATGGAATGAATGAATGAATGCATGATCTACTACAGCAGTGAGGGCTAACCCTTTTGCCATCGAGTGCCAAAAGTGGGGAGAAAGTGGGGGGAGGGTTGCGCACGCACATGCCCACACCCATAATTCTATGTGCCCTGCCCCACGCACATGCGCGTGCCCCCTCTGCACTCCCCCCACTTTTGGCATGTGATGGCACGGTAGGCCACAGGACTTCCGGTGGGACTGGAAGTTGGGAAATGGGCCATTTCCGGCCTCTGGAGAGCCTCCAGAGAGTTGGGGAAGGCCGTTTTCGCCCTCTCCAGGCTCCTAGAAAGGCTCTGGAGCCTGGGGAGAGCGAAAAACGAGCCTTCCTCACCTCCCCACCCCGGAGGCTCTCCAGAGGCCGGAAACTCTGTTCGCCATCACAGTTTTTCAAACCCAGCAACTCGGAAGAGGTGAGGACGTCAACTCCCAGAATTCCTCCTATCAGCATGTTGGTTGGGGAATTCCAGGAATTGAAGTACACACCGCTTCCAAGTTGTCAGGCTTCACAAGCACCCATCTAACACAATAAACAGAAACCAGAACGCTGAATTTTTAAAAAAGCAACTTGAATTTGCTCCAAAGGGAATACATGCTTAGTGTTTTGTTTAAAAGGGAATATATATGTTTAAAAGTCGCCTTATCAAGGAGTTAGGTAGTATATAAATTTAATAAAAAATTAAATGTATAAATATATCTAGTGGCTTATTGGAGCTCATTGGAGAATGAATAAATAAAATGTACAGAAAGAAGCTATGCATGCCTGTATGAAGAAAGGAAAGAAGGAAGGAAGGAAGGAAGGAAGGAAGGAAAGAGAGAGAGAGAAGAAAGAAAGAAAGAAAGAAAGAAAGAAAGAAAGAAAGAAAGAAAAGATAGTTAGTTAGTTTCAGGAGGTCAGCAGGAGTCAAGTAGGGTAGGATTTGCCTTGTAGGCAGTTTTGTAACGTACCTTCAAAAGACAGCCACATTAGTCGGCCTTTTATGGAAGTGACAGATGCCACGCAGATTGCGGCCGGATTCTGGGGTTCACTGCTTCAAGCATCATGTTTTTCATAAAAGCTCGGTTACAGGAAGCCTGAATGGGATAAACAGAAAACAAAAATAGAACATAAAACAACAGGGTTAGAAGGGACCTGCGTGGTCATCTGGGACCTGGGAAGGAAAGAAAAGAGGGAGAGAGGGAGGCAGGGAGGGTGGGAGGAAATAGGGGAGGGAGGAGGAAGGAAGAGAAGAAATAGAGGAAAGGAGGAAGGAAGGAAAGAAAGAGAGGAGGAAGGAGGAAGAAAGAGGAGAAATAGAGGAGGAAGGAAGGAAGGAAAGAAATAGGGGAGGGAGGAGGAAGGAAAAGGAGAAACAGAGGGAGGGAGGGAGGAAAGAAAGAAAGAAAGAAATAGGGGAGGGGGGAGGAAGGAAGAGGAGAAAGGGAGGGAGGGAGGAAGGAACGAAGGAAGGAGTGCTGTGACCCCAACCTCTTTGACCTTAACTTTCTACAAAAGTGATTTTTCTTTGGGTAAGAATACATACAACGAAGGTGTAGGACAGAGGTGGGATTCACTTACCTTCCCTACCAGTTCACAAATGTGAGCACGCATGCACATGCTCTGGCTACGCTCACACGCACCGACTCTGCGCATGAGCAACAGTCGGCATTATGTCCAGGCGGGTGGGCGGAGCCTCCCGCAGTCGCCGCTACCTGTTTGCACGAACCGGACAGAACCGGCTGAATCCCACCACTGGTGTAGGATCATTAACGGCAATGGGCACAGGATGAGAAAGATCACGATGCAGTGAAAAGAAAACCAGATCTTACATTTCTGAAGCAGCCCTCAGGAGCTGCCTCCACTCCGCACTGCTTCTGGTAATCCGCCCAGTCAAAATCCAGATTAGAATAACCTGCAGGAAATCCCAGGAAACAAACAAAAAAATATTTTCTCTCATTTTGTTCGGGTGAAGACAGAAGTGGACAGCCCGATGGTACCCCACCCTCAAGAATAACACAACTATCTGAGAAAATTTACCTCAGCCCGCTCAAATGTTGGTTAGAGTCCTTCGCTAACTAGAGTTTACAGGAATCGGATGAGCTGTGCCAATATACACAATTCAGAAGCTTTTAAACATCACCCAACCCATATGATTGTTGTTGTTGTTGTTTGTAATGGGTCGGTGGATGGCAGCCAGCATTGTACTGTGGCGGCAAAAAGCTAAATGCGATGTTAAGCGGCATCAACATAAATGTAAATCAAGGCGAAATCTCCCTCAATTCTAGTTGGAGTTTTTGGGAGCTGCATCGGTTGAACTATTACTGTACGTTTTCTCTTTCTTTCAATTTGTGTTTTGAGGATCTATTTAACTGTCAATCAGTTGCCTCATGATGATTGGTCCAAAGTCACCCAGCCAGCTTTCATGGCTAAGGCAGAGCTAGAACTTACTTCTCCTAGCTTCTAGCCCAGGGGTCTGCAACCTTAAACACTCAAAGAGCCATTTGGACCAGTTTCCCACAGAAAAGAAAACACCGGGAGCCACAAAAACCCTTTCCGTGCCTGACTATTTCTTGAGCAGCCACAAAACTAGCATCTGTAGTTGAATTAAACGTTCTGTTTTCTTCTGAAACTTTTCTTTTCTTGGACTTATCCATGGTTGGCCTACCAGAGGTTGAAAAGCTCACCCGTGCCGGCGGGTGTCGCACATTGGCAGTTGTGACGCATATTTTGAGTGACAGGGAGCCACAGCAGAGGGGTGAAAGAGCCACATGCAGCTCCAGAGCCGCAGGTTGATGACCCCTGTTCTAGCCTGATGCCTTCACCACTAGACCAAACCCACTCTGAGTTATACTTCTGCCTAATTATGCTTTAATTCTGCACCTCTTAGGAACCTCTTAGGAAAATGCTGGGCACTCTCTATCCACAAAAAGATGGCTCTGTTGTGGCCCACCGGTGGCCAGCAGAGGTCAGGCAGTGAGGAGGTTGGGGAGGAACTTGGGCCAGTCCTGGGGGCTGGGGAAAGCTCAGAGGAGGGCTCTGCATCGGAGGCAGAGAGGGGGCCGAGGCCATCTGATAGTTTTGTGCAGCCTCCAGAATCTGACAGCAGCGAGGCAGAAGAACAGCGAGAGCCTGTTCCCAGTGTGTGCATGCGCAGAGCTGCCAGACAACAAGAACAATTAAGAAACAAGGTGGACTTGGGAGTAAGGCTTGGAGATGTTTGGCCCCTCCCATAAGACATAAAAGAAGAGCGAATGGGACATGCGCTTTTGCAGGAAGCAATTAGTTCATCTGACTGATTCAAGATTGGAAACTTCTGTTTGTGACTCTGTGCCAAGTTTGGCCTTGCTCTGCGTCTGGAAATTAGCTCTCTGGCAGCGTTCCACGTGAGATAGGTGGGTGTTGATAACCTTTCTCTGAAAGACTGTTTATCAAGCCTTGCGGACTGTAAATGAAAGTAATTTACAGTCGTATAAATAAAAGAGGTTTTGCGGGACTAAGATTGTGGATTATCCTTTCTAAGGAAGCTTAGGTCAGAACAGGCTCAGCCTTGACCAGACAAAAAAACTGTAAAAGCATCACACGTTCTTCATTGTTTGCTGAGGGTTTATATATTCCTGTGTACTGCAAAGCAGACAAATTTGTCCATTTTGGGTGGGGAAAGGGACGTGTCTCCTTCACAGTCTGTTTCCTCGCCCGCTGAATTGAAATCTCCCTCTTGAATTTCTGCATGGCCTGCCTCCAATTTGGGCCTATGCATCCCCTGCTTTCACATATTAAATATTTAATCGCTTCGGAAATTGCACTCGTTGGAATGAAGCCCGCAGCAAAAAGCAAGGTGCCCCACACAAATACACAACACCAATGCAGAAATTTGCCAGTCTCCAAGCAAAGAGAGAGAAATCCGCCCCACAGCTGTGAACGCTTAAAGAAAAAGAAGCCTATAACTCTAGCTGACGACAATATAAATAGTGTCAACGGAGTGCTTTCATATGGTGGGAAATTAATGGATATTAATTTGCTGGCTGGCATCAAATAAAACACATCTTTTTTTTTCTCCTTAGGGAATCTAAACAGCTCTTCTAACCATACATTAATGTGTACATTAAAAGCAATGTGTACGTCACTCCCCAATTATTAATCTATTTTAGCCGTGTCTTGGAACAAGAAGAAGAAATTCCCTTAGAAGCTAGAAGCCTTATCAGGAGTTTGCTGATCCAATGTGGCAACATCGATGGTTTTTATATTCGTCTAAAGATTAAGCTTTGCAGACAAGAAGCCAAGGACTGTGAAATGGTACAGGTTTCCTGCCTGAGCAGGGGGTTGGACTAGAAGACCTCCAAGGTCCCTTCCAACTCTGCTATTCTATTCTAGTCTATTCTAGTCTAGTCTAGTCTAGTCTAGTCTACTCTAGTCTAGTCTCTCTGTCACTCCTCTGCCATTTTAGCTTTATAACAGCCCTCTGAGATACATAAAGCTCAAGAAAGTAAGAAACCTGGACAAAGTTACTCAGGGAGGATCGTGGCTGGCTCCAGCGAGGCAGAGGAACAGGGGGAGCCTGTTCCCAGTGCACGCATGGGCAGAGCTGCCAGAAGGCAAGAACAGCTAAAACAAAAGGGACAACTCAGGAGTAAGGCTTGGAGATGATTGGCCCCTCCCATAAGCCTTAAAAGAGGAGCAAAGGCACGTGGGCCTTTGCAGGAAGCAACGTTGTTAATTCTGTTCAGTTTAAAGTCGGAAGCTCTGTTTGATTCTGGACTCCGTGTGGCTTTGCCAATTAGGTCTTTGGCAGCGTGTCAAGGGAGATAAAGGTGGGTGATTGTCAGCCTTATCTCGAAGGACTCTTTACAACTATTTGGGACTCATCTGTGAATGAACAGAATTCACAGCTGTTAAAATAAAACAGGTTTTTGGGACTACTTGTGTGTTTTACTGACTCAGGAAGCTTAGATCAGAACAGGAAGGAGGGAAGGAAGGAAGGAAGGAAGGAAGGAAGGAAGGAAGGAAGGAAGGAAGGAAGGAAGATTATAATGAGAAGGAGGGAGGATCTGAGGGAAGTCCTGCCTTAGCACTTGGCCACCACCAGAGGTGCCCCCAAAACGAGTGATGTCGAGCTGGCCATGCCCACCCCGTCCACTCCCCCAAGGTCAAACACAACCCTGATGCGGTCCTCAATGACATCGAGTTTGACACTCCTGCCCTACATACCATTCTGGATAAATGGTCATTCAATCTCTTCTTAAAAGCCTCCACAATTTCTGGTGGCAAGTCGTTCCACTGATTATGCAAACCACCCAAATCCAGGCACCATTCTGCAATGCCGAGACAAACCTTTGGGAGGGGTGAGATGGACTCCATTTTTAAGGCACCACTGCACTGGCAGGAGGCCCAAGGAATCGGCGTGGCAAAGCATCGACGTGTTGCATGGTTCGGGACGGAGATCGTCCAGAGTGACTTGCACGAAATGGTGGTTGAAAACCTATAGGGAAGCAAGTGGAGAAGATTGTTTGTTTGCTTATTTATTTGTTTATTTGTAGCCCTCTTTTATTATTTTTGGAAATAATTCAAGGCTGAAACTATATCCAACGTATTTTCCTTCTCCTATTTTCCTCACAACAACCTCCTTGTGAGGTGGGTTGGGCTGAGGGAGAAGGATTGGCCCAAAGTCACCCAGCTGCTTTTTTTCCCTAAGGCAGGACTAGAACTCACAGCTTCCTGGAGATTGGCCCAAAGTCATCTAGCCGGCTTTCGTATCTAAGGCGGGACTAGAACTCACAGTCTCCTGGTGATTGGCCCAAAGTCACCCAGCTGCCTTTCGTGCCTAAGGCAGGACTAGAACTCATAGCCTCCTAGAGGTTGGCCCAAAGTCATCTAGCCGGCTTTTGTGCCTAAGGCAGGACTAGAACTCACAGTCTCCTGGTGATTGGCCCAAAGTCTCACCCAGCTGCCTTTCGTGCCTAAGGCAGGACTAGAACTCACAGCCTCCTAGAGGTTGGCCCAAAGTCATCTAGCCGGCTTTCGTGCCTAAGGCGGGACTAGAACTCACAGTCTCCTGGTGATTGGCCCAAAGTCACCCAGCTGACTTTCCTGCCTAAGGCAGGACTAGAACTCACAACCTCCTGGTGATTGGCCCAAAGTCACCCAGCTGCCTTTCGTGCCTAAGGCAGGACTAGAACTCACCGTCTCCTGGTGATTGTCCCAAAGTCACCCAGCTGCCTTTTGTGCCTAAGGCAGGACTAGAACTCACAGCCCCCTGGTGATTGGTTTAGTCACCCAGCTGGTTTATGGTGAGGGCGGGACATGAACTCACGGACTCCTGCTTTCTAAACTGGTGCCTTAACCACTAGACCAAACTGACTCTCATCTCTATTTATTTATATCCCATCTGTATTATTATTATTTTATAAATCTCCAGGCAGTGAACACCACACAACCCTTCCTTCTCCTATTTTTCCCTCAGCAATCCTGTGAGGTGAGTTGGGCTGAGAGAAAGTAATTGGCCCAAAGTCACCCAGCCAGATTTAATTCATAAGACATAATGGAGCCTCGAATTTCCATCTTAAGTCATGACTGTCATAAGTCGAGGCCCTCCCATTTCCAGACCCTATTTTACGACCCTTTTTTTTGGTGGTAGTCATTAAGCAAACGCTGCAGTCATTAAGTGAATACGGAGGTTGTTAAATGAATTAATGTATTCCTATGAGTATTTTTGGCCCGTGACAAAAAACATTGCAATTCGCAGTCACGTAACCAAGGCAACCGTCTGTAAAAGTCATAAACATGAGTGAAGTTGCCAAATGCAAAAATTTTGATCAGGTAAGCTGCAACGGTCGTAAGTGTGAAAAATGGCCACGAGTGCCTTTTTTCAGTGCTGTTGTAACGTCAGACGGTCGTTATATGAATCGTTGTAAGTCGAGGACTGCCTGTATTGAGGTTGCATGAGAAAGGAAAATTTCCAGAATTTCCTCCAAACTCCACCATGCTACTCAAGAGATACTTTTAGGGTCTCTAGAGGTAAACTCAGAGCAGGGGTCACAACAAAAGGTCAAATCATGGATGGATGGATGGAACAAATCTATGTTGCCTCTGGAGCAACCAACTGGTGGTCCGTGAGAAAATTTTGGTGGTCTGCAGAAAAATTATTTGCATTTTTTAAAAATATTGCACAAAATCAGGGGTCCTCAAACTATGCCCCCTGGGCCGGATATGTACAATGAACGTTTGTGTTGCTGCAGAGAGTCTCCCCCTTCGGGGTCTTTTTGTGTGGGTCGGAGGGGGGCAGAAATTCTGACTTGGGGTCTGCTTCAGCCTCCTGGTTGAGGGGCTTTGGGCAAAGGATGGAGGGAAGTGCCACTGGTGGCGAAGAGCCGGAGGGCCTCGTTCCAGTGGGACAGCATCATGGCCTGGAACTGGCTGACCATCTCTGCCCGCTGAGCCTCCAGGTGCCAATACCTGGCCTTGCACTCCCGCAGGTCTTCCCTCTGCTTGGAAAGCCTATGCTCCTAGTCCTCAGTGAGGTGCTTCTGCTGAGCCTCCTTCTCAGTCAGATCCAATTTGAACTGAGCCAACTCTTTCTCGTGGTGGCTGCTTAGCTCCAACAACTGCTTCCTGTTGGGTCCCTAAGGAGCCTGGACAGGCAGGCGGGGAGTGGCTGGGAGAGGAAGGGCAAGTAGAGGCTGGCGAGGCGCCCCTTGACATGAGTGACATTGAGTTGGCCATCAAATTGGCCACACCAGCCCAGTCACATGACCACGTAGCCACGCCCACCCAGCCAGTCATTAGGCAGATTGTATTAGTGGTCCGTGGGATTTAAAATTATGAATTTAGTGGTCCTTGACGTCCGAAAGGTTGGGGACCCCTGCTCTGGAGCATCCCTGGTAGACCTCAAACCCTCATGCTTTCCCTTGGCTGTGGACAATCTGGCTTTAATTCTCAATCTCATTTTGGATTCCTCACCTTAGTTATAGTAGCCGGGCAAATCGTGGCTGGTTCTCGCGGATCCACTGCTTCCAACTTCATCCCCGCCGTGAACATGTGGTTCCTCAAATCGGCGTGATCCTGGGAAAAACAAGCGGTGAACTTGGCATCGCAGCTGAGACTTTGGTCCATCCTGCTAGGGACAGCCTACTCAGGTGGTCTTCGACTTACGACCGCCATGGAGCACAAAATTTCCACTGCTAAGCAAGACAGGGGTGAAGAGAGTTTTGTCCTATTTTACGACTTTACTTGCCACATCGGTTAGGGCAGGGGCCAGCAACCTTAAATACTCAAAGAACCACCGGAAGTCCCCCATTCAATTCTGGAGCCGACCGGAAGTCCGGTTCCCCCACCATAGAGTCTCTTCCTAGCGTGGCATCCTTTTTCCTCTGCCTGTCCTAACCAAAAGCCCTATCAATTGTGGCGCCAACCGACGACAGGGAGCCGCAGCAGAGGGATGAAAAAGCCACATGCGGCTCCAGAGCCACGGGTTGCTGACCCCTGAGTTAAGGGAATCGTCACGGTGGTTAAATCAATATTTTTCGGTCACTAAGTGAATCTGGTTTCCCCTCGTTCGGAAGCAAGACTGAGAAGTGGCGATCATGTGGCCCTGGGAAGCTGCAACCATCCTAAATACATGTCAGCTTCCAAGCATCCGAGCTTTGCTCACGTAACCATGGGAGATGCTGCAATGGTCATGTGAAAACGGGTCGTAAGTTGCAACTTCGGAGGGTCACTGAACAAACGGTTGTAACTCGAGGACTATCAACGCTAAGCTTCATTTATTAGCATTTTGCTCCATTTTTCCTAGGGTTCCTGCATGTATTGCTACGTGAGGAAGCCCAGGTGAGATGATGGGGAAGAGATGCAACCTTAGGGAACTGTCAGGTAGGAAAAGGCATAGGACATTCGTCGCTATCCTGCACGTGCAAACAATATAGACAGTGGTGGGATTCAGCCGGTTCGGGCCGGTTCAAGCGAACTGGTAGTTAAATTGCTGGCTGGCTCCGCCTCTCCCAGGAGTCTCCATGCACCCCATTTTGGCTCCCAGGTAAGTGCAGGGAGGCCTCCTAGGCACAAAATGGGTGCGGGAGGGATGTGGTGCCCCACCCCCGGTCGCTGTTTTTGCTCCCGGGAGGCTGCAGGGAGGCCTACTAGGCCCAAAACGGGGCACGAGGTGGGGCGTGCCCCCCCACAGCCCATTTTTGCTCCCAGGGGGGTGTAGGAGGCAGAGTGCTGCTTGTCATACCCCCTGGCCACGCCCATCCAGCCGGTTATTAGGGCAGAGAACCGGTTGTTAAATTATTCGAATTCCACCACTGGATATATAGACTATTGTTCATTTACTGAACTGATCAAATACTCAATATTAATTAGAGCAAAACTGTCCAACCTTTAAGATCCGTGGACTTCAACTCCCAGAATTCCCCAGCCAGCATGGGGAATTCTGGGAGTTGAAGAACCAGTTGTTAAATTATTTGAATCCCACCACTGATATATAGACTACTGTTCATTTACTGAACTGATTAAATACTCAATATTAATTAGAGCAGAACTGTCCAACCTTGGCAGTTTCAAGACCTGTGGACTTCAATTCCCAGGATTCAACTGGACTTCAACTCCCATGCTGGCTGGGAATTCTGGGAGTTGAAGTCCACAGGTCTTAAAGGTGCCAAGGTTGGACCCTCTGTACGTGTTTGTGGGTGTAAGAGAGAGAGAGAAAGAGAAAAAGAGGGAGGAAGAGAGAGGAAGAAAGAGAGAGATTAAAAGAAAGCTTTAAAAAGGAATATCTACCATTCCCGATGCTAAATTCCCCCTTGCTTGATTCAAATCTAAAAAAAGAAGGATGGTAGGGCAGCGAGTCAAATGGTTCAAAGAAGAAATAAGGGTTTATTAAGAAGAAATCAGGGTTTACTAAGGTTTACCTTAAACACTTCCATGGGAAGGGAACATTTTTCTGCCTTGGTCAGAGTCGTGTTTAGGACTGTCCGCCATTCAGACGCAGTCTTCAGCAAAGAGATTTCTGCAGTAAAAAAAACACACTGGGAATTCCCGCTGGCTGATTAAACCAGCTGGATACATTTAATGATCCTGCATACGGGTAATCCTCGACTTAATGACCACAACTGAGCCCAAAATCTGTCGCTAAGGGAGACACCTGTTAAGTGAGTTTTGCCCCATTTTATGACCTTCCTTGCCAGCGTTGTGTGAAGCACATCACTGCAGTTGCTAATTTGGTTGTTAATTGAATCTGGCCTCCTCAAACCTTGCTTGTCAGAAGGTTGCAAAAGGTGATCCCATGATCCCTGGGACATTACAATCGTCATAAGTATGAGTGAGTTGCTGAGCATCTGAATTTTGATCACGTGACTACGGGAGAATGCTGCAACGGTCATAAATGTGAAAAACGGTCATAAGTCACTTTTCTCAGTGCTGGCATATCTTCGAATGGTCACTAAAACATCTTCTTTTAACGATCCCATAATCCCTTGCAGGGTGGAGTCTGGGCAACTGAGAATGGAGCTGAGTGTTTACTGGCCGGATGCCTTTCCTGTCTCCAATGCGGAGTTTTGTTCAGCAGATATATTCTCATTGTGCCCAGAGAGAGAAATATCTGCCTCTACCTAGGATCAAACTCACAGCCTCCTGATTGTGAGGCGAGAGCTCCGCCTCTAGGTCACCACACCACTCATCGAATGGTCACTAAATGAATTGTTGTAAGTTGAGTATTAAACCTTTATATTTGCAACTTTTCATAAACGTCTGGCTATAAAGTGTCCTTTGAACTGAACCAAGTCTGTGGAGTTTAAGTTGAGGATTCCTTGTAGTATTTTAAGCAAAACGAACTCTTTTCACAGAGAAAAGTAAATTTAGATATATTTTTCCTCCTAGCTGTTCTCGTTAGCTCTGTTTAGGACGTCCGTCTTCCATGCCACGTCCAGAAAGAACCACGATGGGAAGGTGAAAAGGGTTATTTGAATTGAGGAAGCCTAGCTCATCTCTATAGAGGAAGAGAAAGTTAATTTAATTGTTAATGAAGACAAAAAGCTCAGATGCTCTGGCACTTTGCCCTAAACGAGCTTTTATTGTATCATGATGGCCTTTTCGCAGCAGCTCCAATGCAGCTCATTTTGAACTCTGGGGCTGGAGAAGACTCCTGCGAGTCCCTTGGACTGCAAGGTGATCCAACCTGTCAGTCCTAGAGGAGATCAACCCTGACTGCTCTTTAGAAGGCCAGATCCTGAAGAGGAAACGCAAATCCTTTGGCCACCTAATGAGAAGGAAGGACTCCCTGGAGAAGAGCCTCATGCTGGGAACGATGGAGGGCAAAAGAAGAAGGGGACGGCAGAGAACGAGGTGGCAGGATGGAGTCACTGAAGCAGTCAGTGTGAGCTTAAATGGACTCCAGAGGATGGGGTTGTGAAGGGTCGGACATGACTTTGCAACTAACAACAACAAATATTCTGGTTGGTTTCAAAGCAGTGTTTTCTCAACCACTGGTAATTTTAAAAACTGTGGACTTCAACTCCTCGAATTTCCCAGCCAGCCAGCCAGCCAGCCTTGCCTGATGTCAAAAACAGGCAAAAAGGAAACTTGACAAAGCAAAGTCGCCACACTTTAAAATCCATATTGTTAAGACATAAGACAGCTGCTTAAAATAGGATTAGGGGAAGTAAAGGCTCCCTTGAATCAAGTTCATCTCTTTATGATTATTATTTTAAGTAAGACTTTATTAAAAGTTTCAAAAGAAGATTGATGATCGCGCAGAGATATTCATCTGTTTCTCCCAGGAAAATTATAGCCCTAGGGGGGTGCTTACTCCTACATATAGCCTGCTAAATTTAATCCTGCTTAGCTTTTCAAGATCAGCCAAAGATGTCTAGATGTTTTTTTTGCCTTAAATGAAGACTGCTTTGAGCTAAGGTGGTTCCTGTTGACTTTGAGACACATCAAGTTGGTTTTATTTGCAACAGTAGCCTTTTTCTAGGGTGGGGTGGGGTGGGGTGATCTGTGTGTGTCTGTATGTGTGTGTGTGTGTTTGCATTCCCACTTTAGCCTGAGATTTCCCTGGCCTCCTGTCCAAAGACTACCCACTTCTGACTTTGTTTAGCTTTTCTCAAGATGAACCAAATGACATTAACACCTTGGATGGATGGATGGATGGATGGATGGATGGATGGATGGATGCACGGATTTATGAATGGATGAATGGATAGATGGATGTTTGGTTCGTTGGAAGTATGGATGCATGTTGGTGCATTTACGCATGGATTTATGCATGGGTGAAAGGATGGATGCATGTTGGTTAGATGGATGGGTGGATGGATGGATGGATGGAGGGGTTCATGGATGGATGGATGGATGGATGGATTTATGCATGGATGGATGGAGGAGTTCATGGATGGATGGATGGAAGGATGAATGGATTTATGCATGGATGGACGGAAGGGTGGATGGATGCATGGATTTATGCACGGATGGATGGATGGATGGATGGATTTATGCATGGATGGATGAATGGATGGACAGAAGGATGCATGGATTTATGCATGGGTGGATGGATGCATGTTGGTTAGGTGGATGGGTGGATGGGTGGATGGATAGATGGAGGGGTTCATGGATGGATGGATGAATGGATTTATGCATGGATGGATGGTTGAACGGTTGGTTAGATGGATGGATCAATGGATGGAAGTATGGATGCATGTTGGTTAGATGGGTTGATGGATGGTTGGCTAGATGGATGAGATGAAGGGGTTCGTGGATGAATGGATGGATTTATGAATGGATGGATGAATGGATGGAAGGATGGATGGATGCATGGATTTATTCATGGATGGATGGTGGAATAATTGGTTAGTTGGATAGATGGATGGATGGATACATGGACAAATGATAAGTGAATAGATAATAATTTCTGGTACCTGCAGGTGGTTCCAGCTGGTATTTATTCTCTTGACACCAGCCCACCGGTCGAAGTCTACAATCCAAGTAAAACAGCCACAGGTCATAAGAGTCAGTTTCCTCCAATCCTGCATAGCGAAGGCGCAATCTTCCACCGACATTCTCAACCACGCTCACTATCCAGAACTGAAAGGGACTCTGGCCATCCTGCAGCTCTATTAAGGAGTCCAGGGTAATGAGGTCTACAGCGTTTTTCCCTCGCAGGGGCTGTTTGAACAGAAGCAAAACGCCATATTTTAAACTTCACGGAACATGACTTGTGCTTGTCAGAAGGTCGCAAAAGGAGATCGCGTGACCCCGGGATACTGCAACCGTCGTAAATATGAACCAGTTGCCGAGTTGTCAGAATTTTGATCCCGTGACGGTAAGGATGTTGCCATGGTTGTTAAGTCTGAAAAAGGGTCATAAGCCACTTTTTTTCAGCGCCGGTGTAACTCCAAACGGTCATTAAATGAACTGTTGTAAGTCGAGGACTACCCCTATCCCGTCCCTTATTTTCTGCTGAGCAGAGCTACAGTAAAGAGCACCATAAAACACAGCAGCCCTTGAGAACAGAAATTAAGTCAATACCTACGCCTTCTAGTAAATTTGCAGGCACAGTTCGTGAGCCCGTCAAATCACGTATGAGGAACTCCGTCCAGTCCGAATATTTCTCTTTGATAGCTTAAAAATAGAAGAGGAAGATGGGATTACTTGAAGGACATGATCACTAATCTCTTTCTTTATGTGCCGTATTTTTCAGAGCATAAAACGCACTTTTTCCCCCCCTAAAAGAGGCTGAAAAATTTGGGTGCGCCTTATACTTCGAATGTAGCTCTGCCCCCCCACCAGCCCCCCCCCCTCGGCCTCCGCGCATCCTCATCTTGGCTGCAGAGATTGACACTGACAGTGGCTTGCGTTTTTGGGCTCAGCGCCTCGCATTTTCAGCCTCCAAATGCTCCGTTTGAGAGCCGTTCAAGGCTGCGGGGATCGCCAAAGCACATTGCCGCCAATCGCTGCCTCTGCGCATTGTGTTTTTGGCTTCTGCGCATCGCATTTTAGGCCTCCGCCCGCCCCATTTTTGGCCTCTGCGCATCGCGTTTTCGGGTGGTGATCGGCAGCAATATGCTTTTTGTGCACGCTCACAATCAGCGAACTAATGTGCTGAAACTGACCAGGCTAAGGACAGTAGCCAGATGAATACCTGGTAGGCAGAAATAATTTTTTTCCTATTTTCCTCACCAAAAATTTAAGGTGCGTCTTATACTTATACTCTGAAAAATACGGTAATTGAATGTAAGGAGATCCCCAGGAGGGAGGGGCTGCATCCCAGAAGAGGAAGAGGCAACTCAGCTTAGATATTATGTGTGAGAGAAAGCGGGTGAGGACAGTCTCTCCCTAACAGTTCCCAGAGTACATTGGAGATGCAGATCGTAGAGTCTTTCAATTTGGCAAGATTTTGTTTGCAGGTGTGATAACAGTAAAGGGCCGAGCTTGGGAAGAATCACAACGTGTCATTCTTGATTTTGGGGCCTGTCCCTTCCGAAACAGATTCGAGGCAATGACTTCTCATAATCTGGATTCTGGGAATCTGTTATTATATCCACAAATAGCGTTTGCATTTTGAACAATGCTACCACGATGACTCGTGAAGTGTTGGTTAATTTTCAATTTATGATGTACTGGGACATCCAGAGTCTTCTTTTTCAAGTATACTACTGCTAAGCCAAATTTCTCTTATACTGTATTATGCTAAGGCCTTCCTTCCTTCCCACCCTCCCTCTTCATACCTTCTCTGCCTTTTTTCCTTCCTTCCTTCCCCCATCTTCCTTCCTTCTCTGCCTTTTTTCCTTCTTTCCTACCCTCCCTCCCTCTTCCTTCCTTCTGTTTTTTCTCCCTTCCTTCCTTCTTCCTTCTCTGCCTTTTTTCCTTCCTTCCCACCCTCCCTCTTCCTTCCTTCTCTTTTTCTTCCTTCCTTCCTTCTTCCTTCTGTGCTTTTTCCTTCCTTCCTTCTCTCCCTCCCTCCATCTTCCCTGTCTTTTTCCTTCCTTCCCACTTCCTTCTGCCTTTTTTCCTTTCTTCCTTCTCTCCCTCTCTCCATCTTCCTTCCCTGCCTTTTTTCCTTCCTTCTTTCCCTGCCTTTTTTCCTTCCTTCCCTTCCTCTTCTCTACCTTTTTTCCTTCCTTACTTCTCTCCATCCCTCCATCTTCCTTCCCTGGCTTTTTTCCTTCCTTCCTTCCTTCTTCCTCTGCCTTTTTTCCTTCCTTCCTTCTCTTCCTCTTCTGCCTTTTTTCCTTCCTTCCTTCCTTCCTTCTCTCCCTCCCTCCATCTTCCTTCCCTGCCTTTTTTCCTTCCTTCCTCTTCCCTTCCTTCCTCTGCCTTTTTTCTTCCTTCCTTCTCTCTTCCTTCTCTCCCTCCCTCCATCTTCCTTCCCTGCCTTTTTTCCTTCCTTCCTTCCCTCTTCCTTCTCTGTCTTTTTTCCTTCCTTCCTTCCTTCCCTGCCTTTTTTCCTTTCTTCCTCCATCCCTCCCTCCCTTTCCTTCCTTCCTTCTTCCCTCCCTCCCTCCTTTTACGACCTCTGTTTTGGCACCTGGGCATTGCAACGTTTTCTACGAGGAAGCTCACAGCCCCAACATTTGGGGTATCTTCTAAATACCCTTCTTAGTTGCTCTCTCAAAACTGCCATTTCTCCAGCTTCATCCCAACATAATCCAATCGATTTCCTTAACCCAGTGGATTGCAGAATAAATCTCTCCATTCGCCAAGGGGAGGGTGGAGAAAGAGGCAGTTTTCATCCAATTACACAAGCCAAACACAACTCAATAGTTTAACTGTAACAGCGGCCATAGAAAACAGAAAAAGGGACTCAGCTCAAAATGCAAAACACACACACAGAGCCCAAAGGCCACCACACCAAGTCTCAAAGTTGCTTGGAGAAATTGATAAAATTATCTGCATTTAAACCCATTAACAAAACCTCTTAGCTCTTTCTTTTTTTTAACTAACTTGCATGTCGCTGAAAAACCCCTGTATTAGCACAAAATTGGTACTCATTTAATCTTCCATAAATTTCACCTCTGGCATTTCAGCGCACTCAAAATATTATTTAGAAGTAGTTATGGGCCATTAGCTTGCTTCTTGCCGCCTGAAGCCAATTGTACATTTTCTTGCCAGTGTTTGCTTCATCCACAGGTTATTTGGAAGTTGCTAGGATACCGGGAGATTTTCTCCAAAGAAAATAAAATAAAAATGGAGCTTTAGATCTGCCGAACATTTCAAAACTCAGGCAGGTCTACAACTTGCTATCATGAGGTAAAAACCACACGTTTCAAATGGGAGATGCAAGTCTAATAAAACACAACGGGGTGGAAACAAAATAAAAGACGGAAATGAATGGACTGAGGTAAAAAAGATGTACTTTTATATTGCCTGGATAGAACAGTGAGAAATCTTGACTATTTTTAAACTTAAAAAGTCTTCCCTCGTCAGTGGATTCTAGATATGTCTGGCTACAGCACCCAGAATTCCAAAGCTCTCCATCATCAGGACTAGAAACTTAATAAATGAATCCCACGGACAAACGGAAGGTTCTGTACGATTGGCTTCCTCCTTTGTGGCATTCCTCCTAATGTAGGTAGCCACATTCTTGGCAAAGGGACAATATTCATTTATTTATTTATTGGTCTGGGTTAAATATGTTTCCAGGAATGGAAAAAAACAGTCCGCCTTGAGCGGTGCCAATAGACACATGTTCAGACAGATGTTAAAAAACTACAAGAATAATTGGGGGCCAGCAGGCCTGCAGAAAAACTCTGAAAAAGGAATTTTTTTCTGGGATCAAAAGAAGAATATTTGACAAGACAAGGAAGGGAAGGGAAGGGGAAGGAAGGGACTTTTTACTTTTAAAAGTAAAAAAAAAAAGCCTCTGATGATCGTGTGGCTCAGCTGGGATTGTCAGAGCCTTTTAAAAGCATTTTTTCCACAACCTCGAGGTTGTAGAAAAAATGTTTTTAAAAGCCTCTGACGATTCCAGCTGAGTTGCCTGATCATCAGAGGCTTTTAAAAGCATTTTTTCTACAACCTCTTCAGCCGAAAAAATGCTTTTAAAAGTAAAAAAGAAGCCTCTGATGATCGTGCAGCTCAGCTGGGATCGTCAGAGCCTTTTAAAAGTAGAAAAAATGTTTTATTTTTTTTACTTTTAAAAGCATTTTTTCGGCCGAAGAAAAAATGTTTTTAAAAATAAAAAAAAAAGCCTCTGATGATCGCGCGGCTCAGCTGGGCATGGGGGGGGGCAGGGATTTTTGCTACTGGTTCTCCGAACCACCCGCCACCATCGCTACTGGATCGGGCGATCCGATCCGAACCGGGAGCATTTCACCCCTGCTCCACAGATCTTCAGAGACCTACACCCCCTTGTCAAGCCAAGCCTTGTAAACACACCCAGCTCCGCCAAACATTTCTGCAACTGCATCAAAGGGAGGGCACCACGTCCATACGGGAGGTGCCTCACACAAACTGAGACCCGCAACACAGCTTCGGACTCACCGTCCGGGGGCATCAACACTTTCCCATTCTGCGTGCACCAGCCCACAGGGTGGAGGTCAGCGGTCATCACATCACACCAGAAGTCAGCGCGGCGGTCATCTTCGTAACCACAGTAACGCAGCAACAGCAGCTGGCCACATGTGGTGATGGTAGTAGCCACCCAGTAAGCGTCCGCGTTGTGCTTGTTGGCCACTTCAAGTTTCATACCAGGCTGCAAACTGCTTTGAAGGCTGATTTCCACCTGGAGAATGGAAACATAGGGGTAAATGTCATTTTGGAAGGTAGCAAAGGGAGGAGAAGGGTCAGCAATCTGTAGTATGGATTAAGCTAATCTGAGTAACTACATTCCAAAGCCATACAGGTGGTCCTTGATTTACAACCCCAACTGAGCTCAACATTTCTTTTTCTTTTAATTTTTATTTATACATTTTCTTTAATATACAATATTCAATAAACAGTGTATTGTCTGGGTCATTTTACATGAACGTAATAATAATATTCTTTACTTGTATATAATAATATTCTTTCCACTTCTAATTTCTATTCTTATTATCTAACCATTGATAAAGCAAATCCCAACAGAAAAAAATATTCTGTCTCCTTTGTCCTTTATCTTTAATGTTAACCTATCCATTTCCGCACACTCTAATATTTTTTTTTATTATATTTTCATCTGAAGGAGTTGCCTTATTTTTCCAATGTTGCGCAAATACAAATTCTTGCTGCCGTCAAAACGTGTAAAATTAAATACACGTTCCCTTTGTTGTATTTTTCTGGCAAAATACCTAACAAAAATATTTCTGGCTTTAAATCTATGTGTTGTTTTATCATTTTTTCTAACCATGTATGTATTTCTGTCCAAATTTTTTTTGCACCACCACCACCACCACATATGATAATAAGTTCCTGGTATCTGGTTGCATTTCCAGCATTTGGTGGACATGTTTTTAAACCTCTTTGCTAGCTTTGCCAGTGGCAAATGCCACCTGTAGAACATTTTATACAGGTTTTCCTTGTATGTAGTTGCCACTGAGCTCAACATCCCTGTTGCTAAGCAAGACGGTTCATAAGTGAGTCTTGCCTCCTGTTACGACCTTTCTTGCCACAGTTGTTAAGCGAGTCACTGCAGTTGTTGAGTGAGTAACACGGTTGTTAAGCGAATCTGGCTTCCCCGTTGACTTTGCTTGTCAGAAGATCGCAAAAGATTATCGCGTGACCTGCAACTGTCATAAATAGATGCCAGCTCATGTGATAAACAGTCATAATTTTTGTTATGGTGCCATTATTAATTTCAAAGCCAGATTTGAGGCAGCTGGTAAAGTCAGATTCATTTAAGGACCGTGTGATTAATTTAACAATTGCAGTGGTTCACTTAGCAACTGCGGCAAAAAAAAGAAAAGTCGCAAAATGGGGAAAAATTCATTTAACAATCTAGCAACAGAAATTTGGGATCCAACTGTGATCGTAAGTCCAGGACTGCTGTACAGATGTAATTACATAAAGATCATTACAATGAAATAGTTACCCTTTATTGAAACTACACACAGACATACATGCAGGGGAAGCTATTATGTGTATATCTACTGTTGTTCCTTTCTATTTTTTTTTCTTTCACTCTTCTTTTCCAGTGGTTATAAAGACAAAATAATTAGTTATTCTAGTCACCATTGTGTACCCTTTACTGAATAACCACGGCTGCACCGTTTTCATCTATTTTAAAGTTTTACTGTAATCAGTAATAGAAAATACATTTACAAAGCTTTTTTTAAAAAAAATAAAAACAGATGAAGACTTGTCAGGATCACAAAAAACCAAAGCTATAACCAATTTGTTCAAAAATACCACACGAGTCTTCATTTTCTTTCTACTAATAAGGTCTCGTTATTGTTCAAATATGTTCTTCTATTTTTATTAATAAAAGTTTGAGTTTTAGAAACCGCCACGATCAATTCCCCGTGACGCCAGCTACATGCCTTTCAACTCTCTGTTTGGCCAAACTAAAGATTCCCAGGCTAAACTTCGCTAAGCATTTTTTCACTAATTTGCAGACTTAAGTTGAATATGTGTGCCTCTTTATCTTTCTCTGTCTTAATTTCACAGCTGAGCAGTTGCAGGAAAAAAATTGGCTTCTATCCAGCCAATTTAAGCTTATTTTTTTTCTAGGTCCTTAACTGAGCTCCTCTACTTCTTTTCCCATTTCCTGCCCATTTAAACCAAGACTAGAAACTCTGTACAATTTCAAATATCAGTACCCAGCAGCCAATGATCAGAGATAATGGGAATTGTAATCCGCATCGGGTAGCACATGGATTCCTGAATTCCACAGAAATTTCTTTTAAGTACTGGTAAACAGAATTGTGAAGGGACGTGGTGGCTCAGTGGCTAAGACGCTGAGCTTGTCGATTGAAAGGTCGGCAGTTCAGCGGTTCGAATCCCTGGTGACGCGTAACGGAGTGAGCTCCCATTACTTGTCCCAGCTTCTGCCAACCTAGCAGTTCGAAAGCATGTAAAAAATGCAAGTAGGAAAATAGGGACCACCGTTGGTGGGAAGTTAACAGCGTTCCGTGCGCCTTTGGTGTTTAGTCATGCCAGCCACATGACTATGGAGACGTCTTCGGACAGCGCTGGCTCTTTGGCTTTGAAATGGAGATGAGCACCGCCCCCTAGAGTTGGGAACGACTAGCACATATGTGCGAGGGGAACCTTTACCTTAAACAGAATTGTGCTGTTTGTCAGATACTGGACCCCCGTTTCTAAAATCTCAATGAGGACTAGAAACCCTACCGTTCTGGCAATGCGCTTACGTGCTTAAATAAGGAGTGTGGAGCTGCTGTAGATTCTGTCTCTTCCAGGTATTCATCCCAACTGAAGCCAGCCTCTTCAGGGTTGGAGCTTTCATCTGCTTTTAAACGATAATTAGGATTATAATTTTAAAAAATATTTATTTTATGATTTGAATGCTGCGTAAGCTGTCCCGAGTCGTTTTGAAACAAGATGGGTGGCAAATTAAATACAATCCTAAAAATAAAATCATAAAAATAAAAAAATAAAATAAACATCATTGGCATTGACAACATCCTCATCAGTCAATTGCAAAAGGCAGCTTTACTCAGAACAGCTTACAAAGGACATGATAGTTGCGAAAAAATGCCAAATCCAGACTAAACATCTGGCTTACTCTGCGACCGACCAAAATAATAATATAAGAAACAAACAAATGAGCAATTTTACAGAAAACGTGTCTATGCTGATGCTTTATATAAGCTTACATTTGTGTTTGTAGGTACAATGTGTACCTACCTTTAAAGCGCTCCATGGCGTAGGACTCGGGTACCTTCGAGACTGACTTTTGCCACAAACAGCCTCCCACCGGCCAGTTCGCTCCCACAGAGAGGGTCTCCTCCGGGTGCCATCTGCCAAGTTATGTCGGCTGGCGACACCCAGGGGGAGGGCCTTCTCTATGGGAGCCCCTGCCCTGTGGAATGAACTGCCCCCGGAAATGCGCAAGATCTCCGACCTCCGTGTATTTCGCTGTGCCCTCAAGACCCTGCTCTTCCGCCAAGCCGGGCTATCAATTTAATGATTTTTAAATATGGTTTTAAATTTGGGGGGTTTTAAATTTCAGCCGAATTATGAAATAATTTTAATTATTTTTAACTGATGTTTGTCTTTGTGTTTTTTAATAGGCTGTACACCGCCCTGAGTCCTTCGGGAGAAGGGCAGTATAGAAATAAAATTATTTATTTATTTATTTATTTATTTTATTTATTTTATTCATGTTGCATATCATTGATTCCATGATGCATACACTAAATAATACCAAAATTGTTATCACTACGTTTGAATAACTCAAACCTTTAAAGATAACACAGAAAAATAAGTTGGTATTAATAACAAATGTTTATGAACATTAAATCCTTAGATGTTTCTGGAATTGGGTATGTCTAATTTAAAGAAAAGAAGGACCAGGGGAAATACGATAGCAGTGTTCCAATATTTCAGGGGTTGCCACAAAGAGGAGGTCAAACTATTCTCCAAAGCACTTGAGGGCAGGGCAAGAAGCAATGGATGAAGACTAATCAAGGAGAGAAGCAATCAAGAACTGAGGAGGAATTTCCCGACAGAACAATTAATCAATGGAACGACTTGCCTCAAGAAGTTGTGGCAGCTCCAACACTGGAAGGTTTTAAGAAGAGAGTGGACAGCCATTTGTCTGAAAATGGTATAGGCTTTCCTGCCTGAGCAGGGGGTGGACTACAAGACCTCCAAGGTCCCTTCCAACTCTGTTATTCTCTTAGATACTATATACTGTAAGTGTTTATAATTGCCGTGCAAAGAGATGGTAGTAATAAATTATTAGGTCTGGATGAGCAGATCTGAAACTTTTGCAGACCCAGACAATATTTACACCAGTTTTTCTCAATCTTGGGCATTTGTGTAGAGGTAGGTCAAAGGTCACGGTGCCAAGCTTTTTAGAAGCACACTGCTATAGCTCATGCGCTGTGGGTCTTTTCTGCTTCTATGATCTCATTTTGGCTCTGATCTAGATGATCTCATCTCACCTTCAGAGGATGGCATCTTGAGAGGGGGGTGAATAATTTCTACTAATTAGGATGCTGTTGCTGTCCTGCCTTTTACCTGCCTGTGTAAAAATGTATAAAAATAAAGCTCTCTGGAAAAGCGAGAGAGACATCTGAGAGGCATCTTGGAACAGAGCAAAAGCCTGGACCTCTGATTTACAACACATTTGAAGGTGTGTGAACTTCAACTCCCAGAATTCCCCAGCTAAGCTGGGGAATTCTGGGAGTTGAAGTCCACACATCTTCAGGTTCCTGAGGTTGAGAAGCGCTGAATTAGATACAGATATCAGGGTGGATAAAAATCAATGATTTTTTTAAAAAAATCAGATTTGTTTGATTTAAATCGATTTTTTTGATTTTTATCGAATTTATTTTAATAAAAAACTTCTGGGGTAAAAATCTATCTTAAGATAGTTTTCTATTTAAGATACATAAATAATTTAGTTTATTCCGCATGAAATGGAGCTTAGTTATGTAGCATGAGGCTGTATATTCTGCAACACTGGGACTATCGGTGAGTCAACAGTGGGTCAAAGGAGTAGCAGAGATGACAGTTGCTCTTTAAAAATTATGATTTAAATCGAGTTGATTTAAATCAAGCCTTTTTACTAGTGATTTAAATCATGATTTAAATTGTGATTTAAATCAACTCGATTTAAATCAAATCCACCCTGACAGATATACATTCAATATCACGGATAATCTTGTCCTTTCTTTCCTTCTTCTTCTGAACGCAACTTTTCTTGGAATGCAACTCGTCCAAGAAAAGATTGGATAAACCAAAAGATCTGAAAACAGAAAGACGAACTCCATGCTTTCTCCCTCGTCTCCTCATCTTTGGAAACACAGAAGCAGCCTAATCAACTCAGCTTTGAGCAATATGTCTTTGCTGTGCCTTTATTAATCCATGCTTCCCGTGCACGGCAGGAAAACATCGATCGACAAGGCTCCCCGAGGATTTAAAAAGGTTGTCGAGACAAAAGTGCCTGAAGCAACAACTTTCCCCAGACAGTTTTTTAAAAAAGGTACATCAACAACAGCCCCTGTGGCGACTCTTATTATTTTATAGGAATAGAAAAGCACCGTTTGCAAACATGTAAGCGCTAAAAAAGGCATCTTTTAAGTGCACTGTTGGACAACCTTGTCAAATTTCCGGCCGGATAAGGATATATAAATAGCTCGAGATGGAGTTTCATGCTGTCCCTTTTTCAAAGACAGTGTGAGTTCCTGGATTGGGGGGGGGATCATTTCTCACTTCCTTGTTCTTGGTTTTACTGCCTGTCCCTGAACCGCCAAATTACAGGTAGTCCTCCACTTACGACCAAAATTGAGCCCCAAATGACTGTTGCTAAGTGAGATATTTGTTAAGTGAGTGTTCCACCATTTTACAATGGTGCCGCAGTTTCTTGCCACAGTTGTTAAGTGAATCACAGCAGCTGTTAAGTTAGCAACATGGTGGTTAAGTGAATCTGGCTTCCTCATTGACTTTGCTTGTCAGAAGGTTGCTGCTGTGATCCGCCAGCAGCCTGCAGAGCTGGCAGCAGAGTCGGACAGTGAGGAGGCTGGGGAGGATCATGGGCCAGCCTTGGAGTCTGGGAAAGGCCCGGACGAGGGCTCTGCGTCAGAGGCAGAGATGGAGCCAGGGCCATCTGGGAGTGATGCGTGGACTCCGGAGTCCCCAGAGTTGGACAGCAGAGAGGCAGAGGAACAGGAGGAGCCTGTTCCTAGTGCACGCATGCGCAGAGCTGACAGAAGGCAAGAGCAGTTAAAGCAAAAGGGACGACTCGGGAGTAAGGCCAAATGATTGGCCCCTCCCATAAGGCTTAAAAGAGAAACAAAGGCACTTGGACCTTTTGCAAGAAAGCAACGTTGCTAACTCTGTTTCCAGTCAGCATTTCTTGTTTGTTTCTGAACTCTGTGGGGCTTTGCCAAGTAAGGCCTTTGGCAGAGTATCAAAGAAGATAAAGGTTGGTGATTATCCCGAAGGACTTCTTCCGAAGGACTTTTGTTGCAACTAATTGGGACTCAGCTAGGAATGAAAATAATTCTCAGCTGTTACAATAAAATACGTTTTTTGGGACTAATTGTGTCTTGTAATGACTAGGTCACAACAGTCGCAAAAGGTGTTCGCATGACCTTGGGACACTGCAGCCGTCATGAATATGAGTCAGTTGCCAAACACCAGAATTTTGATCATGTGACATGGGTATGGTGCAACAGTCGTAAGTCTGAAAAATGGTCATAAGTCCCTTTTTTCAGTGCTGTTGTAACTTCAAACGGTCACTAAATGAATTGTTGAAAGTCAAGGACTACTTCTACTCTACTTTTATTAATGAATGGTTTAGATCCGTGATGGCGAACCTATAGCATGCATGCCAGAGGTGGCACACGGCGCCATCTCTGTGGGCACACAAGCTCAGCTCGGCCACGCATGCGTGCATACCTCCCACTGGCCAGCTAGTCTTCAGGTCTCTACTGTGCATGCATGGGGGGCGGGGGGCACGCGGGTTGCTGCACGCACGCGTTGGGGGGCGGGGGGGCATGCGCAGGGAGTGGAACGCATGCAGGGGCACGTACGTACAGTGCATTTTGGGGGTTTGGGTGTGCGCTTTGGGCACTCGGTCCGGAAAAGTTTAGCTATCACTGGTTTAGATTGTCAGGACAATTCACGATCACCCCGAATTACAGGTAATCCTTAATTTACGACCACAACAGAGCCCAAAATTTACCTTGTTAAGTGAGAAATTTGTTAAGTGAGTTTTGCTCCATTGTATGACTTTCCTTGCCACAGTTGTTATGTGAATCACTGAAGTTGTTCACTAAGTCACCCGGCTGTTAAGTGAATCAGGCTTCCCTATTGATTTTGCTTGTCAAGAGGTCGCAAAAGAGGATCACATGACATTGCAATCGTCATAAATACAAGGTAGTTGTCGAGTGTCCGAATCACATGATCACGGGGATGTTGCAACGGTCGTAAGTGTGAAAACCGATCCTAAGTCACTTTTTTCAGTGCCACTGTAACTTCGAACAGTCACGAAATGAATGATTGTAAGTTGAGGACTGTATTAGTCTGGGCAAGTCTAAGGTTAAATATTTGCTATTTATTTATTAATTGTTGTGGCCCGCCAGCGGCCATTGGAGCTGGCAGCAGATTCGGACAGTGAGGAGATTGGGGAAGAACATGGGCCAGTCCTGGAGTCTGGGGAAGGCTCTGACGAGGGCTCTGCGTCGGAGGCAGAGAGGGGGCCAGGGCCGTATGCCAGTTATCAGCTGCCTTTGGAGTCAGACATCAGTGAGGCAGACAAACAGCTGGAGCCTGTTCCCAGTGTGTGCATGTGCAGAATTGCCAGATGAAGGGAAAAGCTAAAGAACAAGGGGCGACTCAGGAGTAAAGCCATAGGTGGATGGTGAATGGCCCCTCCCATAGGGAATAAAAGAGGAGCAAAAGGGGAGTGGAGTTTGCAGGAGACAATTAGTTCATTCCTGCATTCTTGCCAAGTACTGCGGGCGTCTGAATGATATCAGCCTGGCCACTCTCCAAGCCTGATAAAGGTCGGCAATTGTGAACTATCTTGAAAGACTGTGGGAGAAGACAGACTTTGCTGGAGAGGAATTCACTGTCAATTAAAGGGGTTTATCGGGACGAGGACTCGGCTTCGTGCGGCTGGGGAAGCCTAGGTCAGAATGTTAAGAAAATTTACATGCCTCCCCAACTCACAGTGAGTGGGAGATATTTGTCTGAAGTGGTGTAGGGTTTCCTGCCTGGGCAGGGGGTTGGACTAGAAGACCTCCAAGGTCCCTTCCAACTCTGTTATTCTATTCTATTCTGTATAACTGGGAAAAGGCAACCCTTCCAAGAACCTTGTTTGAAGCCACATAGGGCTTAAACGCTGACAACAGCACCTCGAATCGGAGACAAATTTGCAGCCAACGCTGCTGCTGCAAGACATTTGCACACAAATTTGCACACGTGGGAAAATTTAAGACTTGCATCAAACCATGTGGGTTGCCGCATTTTAAATCGATCGAAGCTTCCGGATAGATTTCCAGGGGAGCCCCAGGGCAGATTTCATTGCAGTAGTCAAAGATGTCAACGGGATGCAATGTTGATAGGGAAATATTTTTAAAAAGCACCTGAATGAAAGCTTTCTTTGTTGCCGTTAGCTGCTGGGCTGGGATGCTTTTCCAGAGGGAGGTGAAGCGATTCGTCCATCTTAAGGACTAGAGACTTCCCGTTCTCCATCACTCAGGCCAAAGTCGGTTTGTTCTTCATCCCAGAGCATGACATTCCTTTAAAAATAAAAACAAGAGCCTTAAAATAAACTTTTCTCACTGTAAAATCTTTTCCCTTTGCTCTTTCCTTCTGGGAAATGTTTCTGGGGACGTTTGGACCGGATATCCTAAACCAGGGGTTAAACTCAAGACCCGCGAGCCGGATCCGGCTCGCGGGGTGCTTAGATCTGGCCCGCGGAACTGGAAACAGTGAAAGACTGTCCCGCAGTGCCTCTGCCAGTGAAAATGAAGCTCAGGAGGGCCACACGTGTCCCTCCCGAGCTCCGGTTTTGCTGGCAGAGGGTTGCAGAAGGTTGTTGCAGCCGAAAACAGAGCTCGGGAGACCGTTTTCGCTGGCAGAGTGCTGGGGCCGCCACAGGCACCCCAACATGAGTGATGTCAAGCTGGCCACCCCCCCGCCCCCCCCCCCGAGGTCAAACACAATCTTGATGCGGCCCTCAATGAAATAGAGTTTGACACCCCTGCCCGAAACCAATGTTTTTCAACTTTGGCAACTTGAAGAGTTTTAAGTCACTCCTTCAAAATGCTCCATAAAGATACAGTAGCGGCCAAAATTGTGGAAACCTTTTGGGAAAAGTGTATTTTTGAGGTTTGATGGCTGATAACACCACTTTTTTTTTTGGAGTTTCAAGATAATCCTATTCCACTGCTGGAATGGCCTGGAAATAGCCCAGACCTTCACCCAATGGAAAATCTATGGAGCCAAATAAAGAAACTTTGTTAGTCCGACCCAGCAATAAAACCCAGTTAATAGAAGCCATCATTCAATCTTGGTTTCACATTAAAACAGCTGCAGAACTAAAAGACTTGGTTCACTCCATGGGAAGACCTTGTAAGGCCGTAATTCATGCTAAAGGTTACCCAATGAAGTATTAACTGACATAGTGATAATTTTTGTATATCTCATTTTTTCTATGGTGATCATTTTTGTATATCTTGTTTTTCTACGTGTTTCACTTTTCTTCTTTATACTGTAACTGCTATTCTAATAGCAAATCCTTCATAAATGTTATTGCATTACATTCTTGATTCAATTATCTTTCCATTGATAAATAATTTTATGGTACTATTCCAAAAAAAAAAAATTGTGTTATTAGCTAGTTTTAGAAAATACACTTTTCCCAAAAAGTTTCCACAATTTTGGCCACTACTGAAGTCCTTGATTTACCACCATCCGTTAAGCGACTGTTCAAAATTACCACACCCCTGACCAGTTCTTGCATTTACGACTGTCACTGCATCCCACCCCAGTCGCATAAAGCTGGATTTGCTTAACGACTATGTGATTCATATAACAACTGCAGCAGTTCAACACAAAAAAATCGTCAAATCAGATGCAACTCATATAAACATCTTCTTAGTAAGCAACAGAAATGCTGGTCCCAAATCTGGGTTATCCCTCATTAGCATTCCACATGCTTTGCACCAGGGTTCCAAACTTGGCAACTTTTAAGAGTTGTGGACTTCAACTCCCAGGATTCCTCAGCCAGTCATATTAGCTGGGGAATTCTGGGAACATGAAGTCCGCAAGTCTTAAATGTGGATTTTGGGGGGATTTTTTTTCCCCTTGAAAAACCAAGAAAGTCCAGTTGCCTTTTGAAAAGCACTTTTGGGACCAGAAGGACCTGGATAATTGAGAATTTCTGGTTTCTTTGATTTGGAAAACCTGCGTTAAGAATCGACTTTCAATTTAATGAGTAGATTCTTTAAAAGAGGTTTGGAAGGAAATCAGCCAAGTCTAAAGTGCTGTGCTGGCATTGGTTCTTTCCAATCATTTTTTAAAGCGTGCACATAGCTATAATATGCAAACATGTATGTGTGTTCGCACACACGCAGAATAATAGTGTCACTTAAATGGATGGGGGGGAGAGAGAGAGAGAATGTTGGGTTTCTCTATTAACAGACCCAAGACTTCAATTCAAATAGTCTACAAGTAGTCCTTGACTTACCACAGTTCATTTAGTGACTGGTTCACAGTTACAACGGCACTGAAAAATGTGACTTATGACCGTTTTTCAGTTACGACCTTTGCGGCATCCCCATGAACATGTGTTCAAAATTCAGATGCTCGGCAACCAATTCATATCTACGACCGTCGCTGTTGTAAATATCACGTGATCCCCCTTTGCGGGGAAGCCAGATTCACTTAACAACCGGGTGAGTGACTTATCAGCCGCAGTGATTCACTTAACATCTGCAGCAAGGAAGGTCATAAAATGGGGCAAAACTCACTTAACATATGTCTCACTTAACAACAGAAATGTTGGGCTCAATTGTGGTTGTAAGTCGAGGACATGTTTTTTTCAGCAACCCAAATTAGATAGCAGCTAGATCAGCAGCTCAACCTGTGGACTTCAATTCCCAGAATTCCTGAGCCAGTCTGATCTAGGGGTGGGCAACTATGGCTGGCTCAGGAAATCTGGGAGTTGAAGTCCTCAGGTCTTGTGGTAAAGTTGCCATAATTACCGTATTTTTCAGAGTATAAGATGCACCTAAATAATCACCCCCTTTTAGGGGGGGGCAAGGTGCGTCTTATACTCCGAAAAATACGGTACCTATCTCTGATTTAAAGCATAAACTGGCTGGGGGATTCTGGGAGTTGAAGTCCACCCATCTTCAAGCTACCAAGGTTGAGAAACACTGCTCTAAGTAAGGGATCTGTAATCCCAGAAGGATTCCCACTCCACATTTGGTTGCCAAACGACCACACACACAAACACACACACACACACTTTTACACATACACAAATCCTTCTGATTTTGCAACCACACACGACCCCAGTTCCCGCTTCTCCCTTCTTTTGCAAAAAAAAAAAAAAAAAAAAGAGGGAGGGTCGTTTGCGCAAGGCGCGCGATTCAAACCTCCGCTGGATTCTCCGGCCCCCTTTCCCGTCCCTGGCCTGGAACAGCCGTCTTAACCCGGGAGAAACCGAACCAGCATCTCTCTCCGAGACAAGCCTGGATCGAATCCCGCATTCACACGTGCGCGGGACCTGGAAACCACCAACGTTATAATTCCCGAAGATCCTCCCTCGAATGCAAGAGGCGGGATTGCGCCACCCCAAATCCACACCGCGCCCACCCGGTTTTACAAGCGTCGTCTGGAATAAACCGCCTCCCCCCCCGTTTTACAAGCCACCAATCCTTGGTTGCCAACCTAACGGCACACACGCTAAGCCTTCATTCATGGACTGGCTTGCTTTATTGCACGGCTGGGCTCAGCCTTGCGAGCTCCCCAGCCTGCTCAGTTGCGGTTTCTTGTGCAGGCTCAGAAAATGTAATTTGATCTTGCGGGTTACACGGGTCGTGTGAACGCAGCTAGCCATCCGCACCCGCATTCTGTCGGGAGCCAGCGATCTCTTTGCTCAATGCGATCCACCCGCATGATCGCAATTTTTTTTTTACGGATGCACGCAGGAGGTCCGGACATCCCCCTCCTCCTCCTTTCCAAACACGCTTTCCAGCAAAGAAGAGCAGCCCGTAACAGGTTGGCACGTCGGGATTGAGCGATCCGAATGGCAGTTCTAGCGTTCGCAAGACAAGTGGATCATCCCATCCAAAAGTTGGTTGGATTTCGCGATCGAAGCGTTTTTTTTTTCCTTCTCCCGGGATCTGTTAAAGAGTCGAGTATCTCTACAGAGGTTTAGCTATACAATTTGGGATGGGTACCCTTGGAATGGGGTGGGAGTAGGAATGGATGTCCAGAGGGGGGAAAAAATTGCAGTTTACAGGAACCAGTTGCACTACTCAGGTGACCGTGAGGATACAGATAAAACCTCCAAGAGGGCTTCAAGGACCCTCTAAAACAGTGCTGAAATCAAAAAAATTTTTTACTACCGGTTCTGTGGGCGTGGCTTGATGGGCGTGGCTGGGGAAGGATAACTGCAAAATCTCCATTCCCACCCAATCCAGGGGAAGGATACTGCTAAACCCCCATTCCCTCCCTACTCCTGGGGGAAAGATATTGCAAAATCTCCATTCCCACCCCACTCGGGGGCTAGCCAGAGGTGGTATTTGCCGGTTCTCTGAACTACTCAAAATTTCCGCTACCGGTTCTCCAGAACCTGCTGGATTTCCACCCCTGCTCTAAAAGGATGCAAATGACCAGCTGTCTGCGTGATGCATTTCGAGTCTTCGGAATATTTGGGTTGTTAAAACACGGGTGTTGGAAATCTGCTAGAGATCATGCTTGAAACAGAAAAGCCGGCAGGCTCCCAACTGAAGGCTTCAATCTTTGTCCCGATTGCTTGTTCACACGAGACGTCTAAACCCGCCTTTAAACCAAAAGACACATTCCTGCGTTCCTAAGAAACGCCTTGATAAATTGGCGTTACGGACATCACACGCGAATCCGAAGACTCAGTTGTCTCCCAACTCGCTCCGAGTCTAGAGAGTCGTGTGAACTCGTCCTCGCTGCTTCCACGGAAAACAACGCCACTCCCTTAACAACGAGGGGGGGGGGAAGGATATGTAACGGCCAGAGTAACTTGCCGAAGAGCGGTTACCCCGCTTGCACAACCCAGAACGTGTGAGCGAGTCCCAGGATGGAAACCAGCGGATTCCGCCCCTGAAAAAGGACAGGGTGGCGAAGCTCCAACCGCTTTTAGGATCGCAACTTGCGACTTCCCACCACAAGGTCCCGATCCTCGCTCTTGTGGACTCGGCAGAAATTGAACTGGCTTGCTTCTTTTTTTCTTTTCTTTTCTTTTCTTTTCTTTTCTTTTCTTTTCTTTCTTTCTTTTTTTTTGAGCTCGCCATGTTGAAATAAAGCCTTATTTCCATGCGAGGCATAGAAATTCATGAAAAACAGTGGATGAGTCCCTTGGGAATGATTTCTGCAAGTTTGGAAGTGGGGGAAGAGAGATGCGTTTGTGCACGTGTACGTGCCGCGTTCACACAATACATTTCCTCCCGCTTGCAGAACTGACCAGTTTTATTTGGGTTCACACAAGACACTCCGGAGCTCACAAAACCAGCAGAGGTGAACCTAAATCTCCTTCCTCCCAAATGTTAAACAGAATGAAGAACTAATGAAGATTAATTAGTGCGTTGGGCGAACGCAGCCGAGTCTCTCTTAAATTTTCCCGGTTTAAGAGCCTCGTGGGGAAATGAGTCATTCTAGCCACCATCTCCCCCCCCCCGTTTTAACATGCCACGCCGTCCCTCCTAAATTGACTTTCCCCCTCCCCAAAGAAACCAAAACCAGTCCACCTTTGCTGTTGCTGCGCTCCTGACACCATTATTTGTACCCTATGACTATCATTAAGTGTTGTACCTTATAATTCTTGATGAACGTATCATTTATGTACTCCGAGAGCATATGCACCAAGACAAATGCCTTGTGTGTCCAATTGCACTTGGCCAATAAAGAATTCTCTTCTCTTCTCTTCTCATCCTATCCTCTTCTCTTCTCATCCTATCCTCTTCTCTTCTCATCCTATCCTCTTCTCTTCTCTTCTCCTCTTCTCTTCTCATCCTATCCTCTTCTCTTCTCTTCTCTTTTCTTCTCATCCTCTTCTCTTCTCTTCTCATCCTATCCTCTTCTCTTCTCTTCTCTTCTCATCCTATCCTCTTCTCTTCTCATCCTATCCTCTTCTCTTCTCATCCTCTTCTCTTCTCTTCTCATCCTATCCTATCCTCTTCTCTTCTCATCCTATCCTCTTCTCTTCTCCTATCCTCTTCTCTTCTCATCCTCTCTCTTCTCTTCTCATCCTCTCCTCTCCTCTTCTATTTTATTCTCTTCTCATCCTATCCTCTTCTCTTCTCATCCTCTTCTCTTCTCTTCTCTTCTCTTCTCTTCTCTTCTCATCCTATTTTTATTCTTATGGTTTCCTGCCTAAGCAGGAGGATGGACTAGAAGACCTCCAAGGTCCCTTCCAACTCTGTCCTTATCCTATTCTTATTCTTAGGGTTTCCTGCCTAAGCAGGGGGATGGACTAGAAGACCTCCAAGGTCCCTTCCAAGGATGATGGGGACTGTAATGCAACGTGCCTGGAAAAAGAAGGCGGGTCTGGTGGGGGGGGGAAACCCCAGCTTTCGCTCCCACCTGTCAACTCCGAAGAGACCAGCGAAGCGCACCTTCAAACATACCCAGTCGGGAAAAAAAAAAAAAAAAAGAGGGTCACCCCAAAGCCCAGAAGATGCGCGGCGCACCAAAAGCGATCCAATACCGTCTCCTGTTAAGGAAGGGGCTGCAGATTCCCCACCCACCCACCTTCTTTCCTTCCTTCCCGAGAACTCAACGTAGCCAAATCCGCGCAATGTGCCCCGCAGGTCTCCAGAGTCGGGATCTTAAAAGGGCGTGGATTTGGATCTCCGGATCGGCTCTAAATCCCCAGGGCTGCTCAGTCGTCTCCTTAAAAAGGGGAGGTTTGACGGGGGCTCCCCACAGCCGGGGCGACCACCCTGGGAGGAAGGAGCCCAGGGGCGCCCGCGCTTCTCCTCCTGCGCAAACGGCAGGCTGGCGGCTTGCGCGGCTTCTAGGGAAACCCCACGAGGGGGGAAAAAACCTCCTCCTGGAAAGGCAGGCGGACCCCGGAGACCCCCTCCCCACCCCACCCCCCCCCCACCTTCCCTTCCCGCAACTGGGCGATCAATAAACCCGTGCCAAAAAATGGGAATCGTGGGGAAAAAAAAAAGAGAAAGGGGAGGAAGGAAAAAAAAAAGAAGAAGAAGAAGACCCCAGCCCCACCATCCAGGCATCTTTCTCTCTCCCCCCCCCTCCTCCCCACACGAGATCTCGCGTCCTGCGTGGCATCAACCTTCCCTTTCGGGGGCCAGCGGAGGGGCGGCCTTACCTTTCCCTGCGCGAAGTTTGCGATCCTTCTTGCCCTCCGGCGCGGGGACCACATTAAAAAAAAAAAAAACCCACGGCCCCCCCCCCCCCCCCCCTCCCGCCCCCCCGCCCCCCCCCCCCCCCCCTCCCCCTTCCACCTCCACCCCCACCCTCCTTCCAGTATGGCATCCGCGGACTGCGCAGGGGGTGCCCTGCCTCGGCTGGTGGGGGGGGGCTGGGGGACTCTCCCCGCGTGCCTCAGAGTGTCTGTGTGTGTGTGGGTGGGTGCGGGCGCGAGCGCGCGTGCCTCCTTTGGCAGCCCTCATCCGAGTGGGCGGATATTCCACTCGTCCCCGGTGGAAGCCGCCCACCCGGGGCGAGGGTTAAAAGGGTGCGCGCGTGGGCTGGCGGCCGCGCCTTAACGAGCCAAGGCGGGGGCTTCCCGTGGACGGCGGGGGGTGGTGGTGGTGGTGGTCGCGCCTTCGCCCGGATCTCCCGCGGAATGCTGGCCAGGGGGTGGCTAAGAAGTTTTTGAGCGCGCAAAGGGTGAAAAGGTGCGGCGGGCAAACCTTGGAGGAGGTTAATAAGCTGTAGGTTCTAAGCGGGTTCGGACGGCCTCCTTGCTTGTCTGAAATGGTGGAGGGGTTTCCTGTCTGAGGAGGGGGTTGGACTAGACGGCCTCCAAGGTCCCTTCCAGCTTATTCTATTCTATTCTATTCTATTCTATTCTATTCTATTCTATTCTATCCTATCCTATCCTATCCTATCCTATCCTATCCTATCCTATCCTATCCTATCCTAATATTCTCTCCTCTCCTCTTCCCTTCTCTCTCATTACCCATGGTAACATCATCAGTGCAAAAAGAGAGTGAGGTTTCTATTCTGTGCTATGCTATGCTATGCTATTCTATCCCATCCCACTCCTCTTCCTCCTTATCCTATCCTATCCTATCCTATCCTATCCTATCCTATCCTATCCTATCCTATCCTATCCCATCCCATCCCATCCCATCCCATCCCATCCCATCCCATCCCATTCCTCTTTCTCTTCCTCTCCTCCTTCTCCTCCTCCTCCTCCTCCTCGTCCTCCTCCTCATTCTATTCTATTCTATTCTATTCTATTCTATTTTCTATTCTATTCATTCTATTCTATTCTATTTCATCCCACTCCACTCCTCTTTCTCTTTCTCTTTCTCTTCCTCCTCCTCCTTATTCTATTATTCTATTCTATTCTATTCTATTCTATTCTATTCTATTCTATTCTATTCTATTCTATTCTATTCCATCCCACTCCACTCCTCTTTCTCTTCCTCCTCATTCTATTATTTTATCCTATCCCATCCCATCCCATCCCATCCCACTCCTCTTTCTCTTCCTCTTCCTCTTCCTCTTCTTCCTTATTCTATTCTATTCTATCCTATCCTATCCCATCCCATCCCACTTCACTCCTTTCTCTTCCTCCTCCTCCTCCTATTCTATTCTATTCTATTCTATTCTATTCTATTCTATTCTATTTCTATTCTATTCTATTCTATTCTATTCTATTCTATTCTATTCTATCCCATCCCACTCCTTTCTCCTCCTCCTCCTCCTCATTCTAGTCTAGTCTAGTCTAATGACAGGAATTCCTGCAGGCTTAGGTCATTTTCCAACTTTCTCCCTCTGGATCTGGATGAGCTGGACTATATTTCCCATCATTTGCACACAGTACAAACGCCACGGAAGTCGGGACAACTCTTGGATGCTACAATCCTGTGATTTTTATGGAAATGATTCTTTCCGCATGTAATAGACCCTATAGAGCACTGCACACCAGAACAACTAGACACAAGGACAGTTTTTCCCCGAACGCCATCACTCTGCTAAACAAATAATTCCCTCAACACTGTCAAACTAATTACTAAGTCTGCACTACTATTAATCTTCTCATCGTTTCCATCACCCATCTCCTCCCACTTATGACTGTATGACTGTAACCTTGTTGCTGGTATCCTTAAGATTTACTTATTTGTTCCCTACGGCTATCATTAGGTGTTGTACTTTATGATTCTTGACGAATGTATCTTTTAAACTAAGTCTGCACTACTATTAATCTTCTCATCCTTCCTATTACCTATCCCACTAATTACCTATCCTCCCACTTATGACTATAACCATGTTGCTTGTATCTTTACAATTTATATTGTTTTTATTGTTTCCTAGTACGATTTGATTGCTTATTAGTAACCCATGACTATCACTAAATGTGATTCTTGATGACAAAAAAACATCATAAATTTCAGTCCTGTCACTGTAGGATGTTACAAAACAGCTGTAGATATAGGATGGTTCCCGAGTGGTCAAAATAGAATTCTTTATTGGCCAAGTATGATTGGACACACAAGGAATTTGTCTTTGGTGCATACGCTCTCAGTGTATATAAAAGAAAAGATACGTTTGTCAAGAATCGTAAGATACAACACTTAATGATAGTCATAGAATAGAATAGAATAGAATAGAATAGAATAGAATAGAATAGAATAGAATAGAATGGAATGGAATGGAATGGAATGGAATGGAATGGAATAGAATAGAATAGAATAGAATAGAATAGAATAGAATAGAATAGAATAGAATAGAATAGAATAGAATAGAATAGAATAGAATAGAATAGAATAGAATAGAATAGAATTCTTTATTGGCCAAGTGTGATTGGACACACAAGGAATTTGTCTTTGGTGCATACGCTCTCAGTGTACATAAAAGAAAAGATACGTTTGTCAAGAATCGTAAGGTACAACACTTAATGATAGTCATAGAATAGAATAGAATAGAATAGAACAGAACAGAACAGAACAGAACAGAACAGAACAGAACAGAACAGAACAGAACAGAACAGAATAGAATTCTTTATTGGCCAAGTGTGATTGGACACACAAGGAATTTGTCTTTGGTTGCATAAACTCTCAGTGTACATAAAAGAAAAGATACAGCTTCCCTTCAGAAGTTGTGAGTGCTTCATCACTGGAGGTCTTTAAGAAAAGACTGGACAATTGTCTGAAATGGAATAGGGTGTCCTGTTTGAGCAAGGGGTTGGACTAGAATAGCAGCCCCCAATCTTTTTGGGCATCAAGGACTGGTTGAACGGAGAGTGTTTTTTTCACGGACTGGAGATGTCATGCCATAGCCCGGTCCATAGACCAGGGTTTGGGTACCCCTGGACTAAAAGACCTCCAAAGTCCCTTCTGACTCTATTTTATATCCTATCCTTACAGAATTTGATCAAGACATTCATACGTTTCAAATGTGTAATGATCCTGTCTGTAAATTCCAACTTACCAGGCAGCTGCAGATGCCCACCATCCAAGATGTAAAATATCTGCTATGGTAGGCTAGAAAAAGAGGAAACAAAGAGCAGAATTTTAGAAGAATCTTTGAAAACACCAATGGATTCTCTCCATCCAACCTCCAGATGTGGATTGACTGATTTATTTATTTTATGGAATTTCACTGTCACCTCTGGTTTTCTGGGAGGCTAAGTTTTATTAGTTTTTTTTTTTAACATGCTGATATTGTTAATGCTAATAATATCTTTACTGTACCTCTTAATACCCAAACAATTATCTAAAGAGGTTCTCAATCATCCAAGACATGGTTGTCCCCAAAGGTGCTTTTTCCAAAAGACAACTTTTGATATATGGTATAGGTTCTTCTGCTTGAACAGGGGGTTGGACTAGAAGACCTCAAAGATCCCTTCCAACTCTCTTCTCTTCTCTTCTCTTCTCTTCTCTTCTCTTCTACTCTACTCTACTCTACTCTACTCTACTCTACTCTACTCTACTCTACTCTTTCTCTATTCTATTCTATTCTATTCTATTCTATTCTATTCTATTCTATTCTATTCTATTCTACTCTACTCTACTCTACTGTATTCTTTCTTTATTCTATTCTATTCTATTCTATTCTATTCTATTCTATTCTATTCTATTCTATTCTATTCTATTCTATTCTATTCTATTCCATTCTATTCCATTCCACTCTACTCTACTCTACTCTACTGTATTCTTTCTCTATTCTTTCTCTATTCTATTCTATTCTATTCTATTCTATTCTATTCTATTCTATTCTATTCTACTCTACTCTACTCTACTCTACTCTATTCTTTCTCTATTCTATTCTATTCTATTCTACTCTACTCTACTCTACTCTACTCTACTCTATTTTATTCTTTCTCTATTCTTTCTCTATTCTATTCTATTCTATTCCATTCCATTCCATTCCATTCTACTGGACTTTCTTGAAATTTTCTTTGAAAACGTTTCACTCCACATCCAAGAAGCTTCTTTGGTTCATTTCAAAGTCCAATTGCCTTTTGGAAAAAGCAGCTTTGGGATACCCAAACATTATACAACTGTTGACTCTTAGTGACCACATAGATTTTTCTCCATGACATTCTAACCCTAACCTATCCCTGATCCTCATTGCTACTGTAACTGTACTGTAAGTGAGGCCATCATCCATCTTGCTCCTGATTGTCCTTCTCTTTTCTCCCACCTTTCCCCTCCCACTGAGCCTTCTCCAGAGAGCTGGGTCTTCATATCATGTCCGAAGTAGCATAATGTAAGCCTGGTCATCTACACCTCAAGTGAGAAATCTGGGTTAATTTGTTTCATAGTCCATCAGCTTGTTTCCTTGGTTGTCCATGGTATCTTCAATAGTCTTCTCCAACACCAAAGTTCAAAGGCCTCAATACTCTTCTTATTTTATCTTCTTTGAAGTCGAACTTTCACATCCATGAAGTAACACAAGTCTTGTCCCAAAGATGCTTTTTTCAAAGGCAACGGGAGTTTGTTTTTTTTCTTAAAGACCTTTCACTTCTCATCCAAGAAGCTTCTTCAGATGTTTCACTTCTTGAAGACCTTTCTCTTCTCATCCGAGAAGCTTCTTCAGATGTTTCACTTCTTGAAGACTTTCTCTTCTCATCCAAGAAGCTTCTTCAGATGTTTCACTTCTTGAAGACCTTTCTCTTCTCATCCGAGAAGCTTCTTCTCAGAAGAGAAGAGAAACATTTTCAAAGAAAAAACAAAGTCTAGTTGCCTTTGAAAAAAGTATCTTTGGGACAACCATAACCTGGATGACTGAGAATTTCTGTAGACATCTAATGCAAGGCTTACACAGTTCTGATCTTTATAAGTGTAGACACATCATGGCATCTCAATATCATTTCCAAGGCCTTTATAGCTGTTTTAGTGTGTGATATACTGTATTTCTTGACTGTTGATGGTTGATCATTAAAAGCAGAAGCTATTCACCATTGCAATATCTTCTTCATCATCATTTCTAAGGCTGGGTGTTCTACTTGCTGCCAATCTTTTAATCTCTTTTTAATACCTTGTAGACGTCACTTACTAGGACTAGTGCTTAGATTTATATACCACTTCACAGTGCTTTGCAGCCCTCTCTAAGCGGTTTACAGAGGCAGTACATTGCCTCCAACAATCTGGGTCCTCATTTCACCAACCTCGGAAGGATGGAAGGCTGAGTCACCTTGAGCCAGTTAGGATCGAACCGCAGGCAGTGGCAGAATGCAATCTTGCATTCTAACCACTGCGCCACCATGGCTCCTTACACCCTTTCTATGCCCTTCTCAATATGTATTTTCTTTCTTATTTTCCTCGGTTTTTCATCATTTTAGATTTGACACCGGCATTAGTTAGCGATCGTAACAAAGCCAAAGCGATATGAATCAAAAATGAATCAAAGCGATAGGAATCAAATTACTGTTGCTAACTGAGGCATTGGTAAAGAATTTTTTCGGAAAGGTGCAATGCCTACTGACCACATTGACGGAGCGAAGTCCTGCTCCTTGTTTCGGTTCATCTTCTGGATCGCACACCGACTGATAGTCGTAAGACTTGTTGAAGGCATACAAGGACATATTAATGAGATTTCGCATGAGGCCTGGGTCAATCTCCCCAAAGAATTTTCCGATCTAAGGCACAAAGAAAGGTCAGTCTTCAAACAGAGATCAAGTAACTCCTGGATCAGGGGTGAAATGCTACCGGTTCACTCCGGTTTCAGGCGAACCAGTAGTGATAAAAACTACCAGTTCAGGCAAACCGGTAGTTTAAAAAAGCTACCGCTTCCTCCGAACTGGTATTTCCGATGATCAGCTGTGCCGCACGGTTTGGCTTTGCTAGAAAGCAGGAAATCCTGCTTTCTAGCTAAGCTAAATCACGCGGCACAGGTGATCCCCCCCCCTTGCTGTCTGTTCTACTTACCTTGCCAAGCCTCCTTTTGGGACATACTGTGCATGTATGCACATAGCATGCACTTAGCGTGCAGCAGGCATGCATGGCCAGCAAACTGGTAGCAAACCGGTTCAGATTTCACCACTGTCCTGGATGTATTTCCTAAAAAAATACTGCTTAAATAATAAGGTATTCTGCATAGGGCTTAATTCAATCACGTACCTCTGGGACATAGTTATCTTGGTTTGTCATCAAAAGAAAACCCCCATCATCAAGAATGACGCAGTCAATGTGCTAGAAGAAAGAAGAATCACAGAATATAACAAAACAATTATTGAAATTTACCTTCCCGTCGAATGCAGGTCCCCCTCGACTTACAACGACAACCGAGCCCAAAATGTTGCTAATTCGTTCAGTAAATTTTGCCCCCATTTTACGACCGTTCTTGCCACTTGTGGGTAAGTGAATCACTGCAGCTCTTAAGTTAGTAACATGGCTGGTTAAGTGAATCTGGTTTCCCCGTTGTCTTTGCTCATCGGAAGGTCGCAAGAGGTAATCACATGACACACCCCCCCCCCAGGACACAGCAACCGTCATAAGTGTGAGTGGGTTGCCAAAGGATCTGAATTGTGATCACGTGATCCTGGGGATATTTGCAACGGTTGTGTGAAAAGCGGCCGTGAGTCCCTTTTTTCAGTTGCCGTCGTTACTTTGAACAGTCACTAAATGAAGTGTTGTAAGTTGAGGACTACCTGCATTAACAGAAAAATAATAATGCAGGATCTTATTCACAGGTTAGATAATCATGTCCTTTGGAGTATAAAACACTGCCAGTTATACCCTGTTTCTCCAAAAATTCTACCTACCCTGAAAGTAAGTCTTAGCTTGATTTTTACACGTGAGCCCAATATAAGCCCTACCCCCCAAAAAAATAAGCCCTAATTAAGATCCCACTTACTCCAGAGTGCATGGGTAAAAATTAAGCTAAGGTGGGGATGTGGGGGTGGAGCTGCCCTACTACTTACCTTTGGACAGTTGTAGCCATGCCTTGCACATCCCGACACCAGAGATCTGAATGGTAGTTAAAAAGGCAAAGGTACCCCTCGCACATATGTGCTAGTCATTCCCGACTCTAGGGGGCGGTGCTCATCTCCGTTTCAAAGCCGAAGAGCCAGCGCTGTCCGAAGAAGTCTCCGTGGTCATGTGGCCGGCATGACTCAACGCCAAAGGCGCATGGAACGCTGTTCCCTTCCCACAAAAGGTGGTGCCTATTTTTCTACTTGCATTGTTTTTTAACGTGCTTTCGAACTGCTAGGTTGGCAGAAGCTGAGACAAGTAACGGGAGCTCACCCCGTTACGCGGCACTAGGGATTTGAACCGCCGAACTGAATAAATGATAGTTAGAGACTATTAATAATAATTTTAATCCCAAATGAAGGCGAATATACGTGTCCCAGAATAATATTGCGGGATCCAATCTGGGTCAGTCACCGGAACCAAAGGTTTGGTCTTCTGAGCTTCGGGACTCGTCCCAGAGCCCATCCTGAGGAAACTTCTCTCTATTGCAATACATGCTTTGGACTATTCTGTGTGTGGTGCTTAAATGGTGCCTATTGTGTATGGCTTTTTAGATGTTAGTTGGAGTGTTGATTAAGGTATTAACGACTTAATACCCAGCTATCAACACACCCCAATCAACATCTAAAAACTTACACACAAAAGGCCATATAAATACCACACACACACACACACACACACACACACACACACTGTGTGATGACCCAGGGCACACCACAGAGGTAACACAGGCATCTGGCAGCTCAAACCGCCCTTTTATTGCTCCAAATTTCCCCAAACGGCCCCTTTATTGCTCCCATGTTTCTGGCAAGTCCCAGAGCGAAGTGATGACACACACACACCTCAAGCAGCCTCTAGAAGAAAATAGTCCAGCCCAACTGCTGTGAGCACCATGGCTGCAAAGCAAGAAATCCAGAAAGAATGCAAAGAATCCAGAAAAGTTCAAACGCTCAACACTCCAGGAATTCAGCATTTGTTCTTGAGAAACCTCCCCACAGCGTCTCCTTAAGTCTCAGTCCTCAGGTGTGCCTTGTGAAGAGGGGCTTGGTGCTGCAAGTCTGTGCTGTTCTCGCCTTCTCTCCACTCTCCGTGCTCGAGGATCAGGAGGGGGTGGTCCTTGCGCATCGCTTGAGCTCTGTCTCTCATGTTCACTGCTTAGCCTCCCCTGGTCATCCTGCTTCCCCTTCCTCCCTGCCTACAAGCCATCCCAATCCTGAAAGGCCCTGGCCTGACTCAGCGTGCCCCTCCCCATTTTCCTCCGAAGCCAACAAAGCCGCCCCCTCGATTTCCATCTGCTCCAGTTCCGGCTTGACTTCCTCTGCAGATTCAGGCTCTGATGGGGGCATGACACACTGCTAAGAGAGAAATTCTCTGAGGAAGGACTCCAGCACGAGTCCGAAAGCTCAGAAGACGAAACCTCCGGCCCCAATGACCGACCCAGATTGGATCCTGCAATAATATTAATGCTTAACGCTGACATGGCTGCTTCGAGAGTCCAAAACTACATGACATACTGGTCCCGTTATCAACCTTTAAAACAGATGAGATGTTAACGACAAGTTTATTCGGCTGAAAGAAATCATCTATTGCATCTCTTACCGGACTGTTCTTTTCACATCCGCAAAGCTCACTTCCACTTTTACACTGAAAAAAAATGTAAGAAACAGCGCATTCATAAAACCACTCCTCTTTCGAAAACAACAGACACAATATGCACGGCATTACCCAAGTTAGTTAGTTTGTTTGTTTGTTTGTTTATTGATTGATTGATTGATTGATTTATTGCGATTTATATGCCGCCTTTCTCCCTAGGGACTCAAGGCGGCTTACAAAATGACAACTTCAATACAAATCACAATACAATACAAAATTAAAATCAGTAACCCAATTAAAAACAATTTAAAATTATACCAGTGTACCCCCAAACAGATCAGTTTAATTGGCGGAAGAGCCACGTGTTCAGCTCGCGACGGAAGGAAAGAAGGTCGGGGGCTGTCCTGAGCTCGGTGGGCAATCCATTCCAGAGGGTCGGGGCTCCCACAGAGAACGCTCTCCTCCTGGGGGCCATCAGCCGACATTGTTTGGCCGACATGGTCAAGATTGCACATGTCCCTGTACAGACATGGAGAGGCCTTAACCTGGCTGATGCTTTCTCGGGATGGTTTCCAAAACTACCTGGTTTACAGGCTATTGTCGCTCTCATCGGTCTCATTGCTGCTGGTTGTGTTATCTTGCCTTGTGTGCTTCCAATCTTTATCCGCACCATTACCAGCACCTTGTCTTTATTGGTGGACAAAAAGGCCACAGCCCAGGCAATGGCCTGGTGGGAATACCAGAAACTTGCAGACATAGAGGGGGGTAACTCCACGGAAGGTAACCCCGAATATGAAACTTTGCAGTGACTGCAGCACTTGGCAAAGTCTCAACAGGGGGGAATGAAGGAGAGCCCCTCATAGGGTATATCCTAACAGTATGTATTACAAAGGCCTTGCTTTTGTAACATTTATAACGAATCGCTCTTTATCCTAAATCTGTACTCTCTGTAGCAATCTGTTGTAACTATAATGTTGTAACCATTGTAACCACAAGATGTTCCAAGATAGTATTGTGCAAACCCTATAGGATGGTATACTCATAGACTTCTGCTTTTATACTTTTCCATTATATACTTCTGTATTTGTACTTTTCCAGTTTAACTATCTGTATGTATGCATATTGAGGAACTGAAAGTATGCTATGATCATGAAACCTATAAAACCTGCCTCAGGGCGTTGCTCGGGGCTCAGTATTTGTCAGGTTACTGCACTGGGCCTATTGCTAGCAATATTCAATAAAAGCCTGTTTTCTCTGGATCTCTGTGGTCTTGTCTCCTGATTAATTTGGGATTAGTAAATCCCGCTTCATCTCTCTCTCTTTCTCCCTCCCTCCCCCCTCTCTCTTTCTCCCTCCCTCCATCTCTCTCTCTCTCTCTTTCTTCCTCCCTTCCCCCCCCCACCTCTCTCTCTCTGTCCGTCCAAGCGGCAAGCAAAATATTTTCTCTTTAAATGGAAGTGACCTTTACAGCTCTGATTTTTTTCCCCCCTTTTATAAGAGCAGTGTAAAAATGGTCATTCGCTGGGCTTTTCCTCACGGCTGTCAAAATTGCTGTAATTCCTCCCCCCCGTCCATCCCTTCCGCCCCCCCCCCCCCCCCCCCCCCGAGCAAGTGCTGGCGAAGATTGATTTTACTCTGGCTCTTTTAAAAAATGGAGGTTAATGCGTAGTGTTTGCTTGGGGACTTGAAATCAAGACAAGATTTTAAATAATTTTAGCGTTCGGATGAAGGACAACTGAGGCATGGCATGAAGTTTGGGGCAAGATTGTTGCGGAGGAAAAGAAAAAACCCTAGAAACTCTAAATATCTATGGAGATTCTCAGCCCCCCAGGTCATGGTTGTCCCAAAGGTGTTTTTTTCAGGAGGCAACTGGACTTTCTTGTTTTTTTCTTTTGAAGACGTTTCGCTTCTCATCCAAGAAGCTTCTTCAGCTCTGACTGGATGGAGAGGAAGGGAAGGATTGATACTCCTTGCAGACAGCTGGTCATTTGCATCCTTTTAGAGGGTCGTTGAGGCCACTTTATCTGTGTCCTCGGGGGCCACCTGAGTGGTGCAAAGCCTGAGGACACGGACAAACCTCAAATGGCCTCAATGACTCTCTAAAAGAAAGCAAATGACCAGCTGTTTGCAAGGAGTATATTTATTTATTATTTATTTATTTATTAGTCCAATTTATATGCCGCCCTTCTCCGTAGACTCAGGGCGGCTTACAATGCATTATAGCAATAGCCTGCATACTTTTTTGTAGCCTGCTTATTAGGGCTTTCCCCTCCCCCCGCCCCCAAGCGGTGTTGTTCTATACAAAGTCAGCTTATTGCCCCCACAATCCAGGTCCTCAATTTACCTACCTCGAAAGGATGGAAGGCTGAGTCAACCTTAAGCCTGGTGAGATTCGAATTTGCACTAATTGCAGGCAGCTGGCAGCTAAGTGCTAGCACTTAAAAGCACTTTAGTCCGCTGCACCACCGAGGCTCGCTGATCGTATAAATTAGTGGTGAAATCCTATCGGTTCGCACCAGTTCGGGCGAACCGGTAGTAATAAAAAAGCTACCGGTTAGTCCAAACCGGTATTTCTAATGATCAGCTGTGCCGCGCGATTTATATTCGTTAGAAAGCAGGAAATTCTGCTTTCTAGCGAATATAAATCGCGCGGCACAGCTGTTTCTCCCCCCCTCGCTGTTCTACTTACCTTCAAAGGGCTCCTTTTTCCCGCGTGAAGCATGTGTTTGGTGCACACTGCACATTCGTGCGCACGCAGTGCATTTGGTGTGCACTGTGCATGCACACACACGCAGCGTGTGTCTGGCGCACATGCGTGGGCAGCGAACTGGTGGCGACCGGTGGCGGATTTCAAAAGTGGTATAAATCCTTCCATTCCCTACCATCCAGTCAGAGCTGAAGAAGCTTCTTGGATGAATCCGATCAGGTTTTTTCGCTTGTATTCTTCTGCCTGCAGTTACTGCCACATCTTCTACCCCGGAATTCTTTTGTCTTTCTTATCGATAATTGTGAAGTCTGGGGGGGGGCGGTGTTACGTGGCAGGTGCTGGTCTGTTTGAATTCCAAAGTCCCAGAGCACGTTATCTTCTACGTTTCCTATTACTTAGTTCTATTTTGCGGCCCTACCCTTGCAGTATTATGTATATAAACAAAATACCAGCATAACTACAGTAGACCTCTCAATTATATGCCATCAACTCAATGTCGAGGCTTAGCAAAGACGCCTCCCCCCCGCCCCCGTAGTTGTTTAAAAGTGGGTGTAATTTGGCGTACCTTGGGGGTTAGTGGAATCATTTGTAGTGACTTGTTTGTGAGTAACCGTTGTGAGCGCGGCTGCTGAGATACTTGCGTAAAACAACTCTCTAGGGCAGGGATCTGCAACCTTAAACACTCAAAAAGCCGTTTGGGCCCGTTTCACCACAGAAAAGAAAACACCGGGAGCCACAAAAACCCTTCCCGTGCCTGACTATTCTTTACGCAGCCAGAAAACTAGCATCTGTAGTTGAATTAAGTGTTCTGTTTTCTTCTGAAACTTTTATTTTCTTGGATTTATCCAGGGTTGGCCTACCGGGGGGTTGAAAAGCTCAATAAATTGTATGCCAGCGAGTGTCGCACATTGGTGGTTGTGATGCATATTTTGAGTGACAGGGAGCCGCAGCAGAGGGGTGAAAGAGCCACATGCGGCTCCAGAGCCACAGGTTGCTGACCCCCTGCTCTAGGGGGTAGCTGTGTGGGGGTGGTGACATTATTTGAGATGAAGAAACAGGATAAGTGGGTCAGACAGTTTAAGAACTGTTAGTCACTGAGTGCTAAACAGGTACGTGCTTCGCTTATGTGCGGCTCCTCTCCTGGGCGCAGTGCGCACAACCAGATTTGCGCACCGGCTTTTGTGTGTGCTCCCATGCACTGCGAACGCAAGCGCACAATCCACACATGTGCACGGCTTTCCCACGGCTCCCCCCATGCACTGCGCATGCAATTGCATCATCTGTGCATGCGCACAGCTTTCATGTGTGCAGTGCACACGCACGAACGCCATCTGCGCATGTGCACGCTGCATGCATGCATAAGAGAGCTCTGAAGACCAGCGGGGTCTCTGGAATTGCATGCATGCGCACTGGAGGCCTGAAAACCAGCTGGGGCGCACATACATGCGCAGCTGCAGGTGAGTTGGTGATAGCTCGCGTGCCCGGAAAGATGGCTCTGCATGCCACCTCAGGCACGCGTGCCATAGTTTCGCCATCATGGGCATAGATAGACAATTGCTATGCAAGAATTGGGTATGTCTAGTTGAACGATAAGAAGGACCAGGGGAGACATGATAGCAGTCTTCCAATATCTCAGGGGCTTCCACAGAGAAGAGGGAGTCAAGCTATTCTCCAAAGCACCTGAAGGCAATGGATGGAAACTAATCAAGGAGAGAAGCAACTTAGAACTAAGGAGAAATTCCCTGACAGTTAGAACAATTAATCAGTGGAACAACTTCCCTGCAGAAATTGTGGGTGCTCCATCTCTGGAGGCTTTCAAGAAGAGATTGGAGAATCATTTGACCTGGATCATATAGGCCAGGGATGTCAAACACAAGGCCCGGGGCCTGGATCCGGCCCGTGAGGTGCTTAGAACTGCCCCGCGGGGCAGCCATGGAAACCGCGAAGGACCACAGTGCCCCTGCCAGCAAAAATGGAGCTCTGGGAGCTATTCCAAGCTCTGCGCGTGGCCAGGGGTGGAATTCAAAAATTTTAGCAACAGGTTCTCTGCCCGGTTGTGGCCATGGTGGGCGTGGCCTACTCGGTTTCCTGCACCACAGTGGGGGAGGGGCGTTTTTTCCCTCCCCAGGCTCTGGAGGCTTTTCTTGAGCCTCTGGGAGGGCGAAAACAGCTTCCCCTGGGCTCTAGAGGCCCTCCAGAGGCCGGAAACAGGCCCGTTTCCGGACTTCCAGAATTTCCGGGAGGCCTGTTTTTTGCCCTCCCAGAGCCTCTGCACGGGCCCTGCACTTTCCTGGCATCCAAAACGGGCCGCGTCTAGACTCCTGGGAGTGGCGGGGCAGGGTGGGCAGGGCCAGCCAGTCCTTTCAACTACCGGTTCGGCGAACCAGATGTAAAATTAGCATCTGGTTCGCCTGAACTTGTCCAAACCGGCTGAATCCCATCCCTGCGCGCGGCCCCCCTTCAGCTCTGTTTTTGCTGGCAGAGGGCTAGCAAAACAAACTAAAAGCAAAGCAAAAGGAGAAATGTTTCCCCTTTTGCATTTGAGCATCCAAGAAGGGACAGGAAAGGAGAAAGGGAAAAGAGGAAAGACGAAAGAAAAGAAGGAAACATGGGAAGAGAGCAAGGAAGGAAAAAAGAAGGAAAGAGGGGAAGGACGAAGAAAGGAGAATGAAGAGGGAAGGAAAAACAAGAGGAAGGTAGGAAGGAAGGAAAGGAAGGAAGGAAGGAAGAAGGAAGGAAGAAGGAAGGAAGGAAGGAAGGAAAGGAAGGAAGGAATCAGAACACATCCCCACAGCAGCCAACATCCAGATAAGCAGGAATTAACACCAGATAAACAATCAAGCAGAAAACAATATTGTAATGAAGGAACTATCAAGGAGAAAGTCACACTCCACTAACACTGGCAGGGGAAGGAAGGAAGGAAGGAAGGAAGGAAGGAAGGAAGGAAGGAAGGAAGGAAGGAAGGAAGGAAGGAAGGAAGGAAGGAAGTCCTGCCTTAGCACTTGGCCACCAGCAGACGGCAAGGCTCCTCTGAAGGACAGGGTTTGGCGCTCTCCCTGGTCTCGCCTTCCTCCGTTGGAGACAATGGATCCCCCCCAACCCCACCCGGGCCACCACAGGTGCCCCCCGCCCCGACACAAGTGATGTCGAGCTGGCCACACCCACCCTGGCACACCCACCTGTTTCCCCTAGGTCTAAAACAACCCTGATGCAGCCCTCAATGAAATGGAGTTTGGCACCCTTGATGTAGGGTGTCTTGACTTGAACCCGGGGGGGGGGGGGGCTGGACTAGAAGACCTCTGAGATCCCTTCCAGACCTACGATTCTATGTTCTTATACGTTCTTGGCTGTCCCTTTGCTGGGAATATAGACGCTTGGCACCTTTCCCGGGGTTGTTCTTTGCTCATCCCTTCCAGGATCATTTTCCAGCTGGTGCAAGTAGGCAGCCTTGTAGGACGACTTGAGGCTGATATAACTCTATTAATACTTCTTGTTTTTGTTTTATTTTTTAGTTCCTTCAAGTTATTCTTGACTCTTAGCAATTATGTGGACAAGTCCCTGCAGATGTCTTGGCAGACTTTGGGAGGATTAACTTGCTCTCGCCTCCTCTTTCTTCTTCCCAAGGCTGAGCGAAAAGGACTGACCCAAAGTCACCCAGTTAGTTTCATGTCCAAGGCGTGATTAGAACTCATGATCTCCTGCTTTTTAGTCCAGCTCCTTCATCACTAGACCAAACTGGTTGTCAATCACGGGTGAAATGCAGCAGGTTCTTTATATTAGCTTTTTTTCTCCACCCCAACCAGAGGCCATCACAAGTTTTTCTAACAATATAGCTGGAGGAATAGTAATAGGTCAGGGGTCAGCAACCTGCAGCTCAGGAGCCGTATGTGGCTCTTTCACTCTGCTGCAGCTCCGTCACTCAAAATATACGTCACAACCGCCAATGCGCGACATCCACCAGCACACGATTTATAAAATAAATTTATTATTTATTTTCAACCCCCAGTAGGCCAACCATGGATGAATCCAAGAAAAGAAAAGTTTCAGAAGAAAACAGAATATTTAATTCAACTACATATGCCCGTTTTGTGGCCGCTCAAGAAATAGTCAGGCACGGGAAGGATTTTGTGGCTCCCGGTGTTTTCTTTTCTGTGGGAAACGGGTCCAAATGGCTCTTTGAGCATTTAAGGTTGCGGGCCTCTTGTATAGGTTGTATTTTGGCGTAAAAGAGGAAAAAACCGGCAGCATTCTTTTTAAAAACCTTAAAATCATTTGCTGGATAAATTTCTCCTTCACAACTAATAACTAATAAACAGTTTGCAGATGGACCTGACTAAAAATACTTTGTATATTCTCTGAGGACAAATCCATCTTTTTTTCCCCTCCAATGTTTTCCAATTTGAAGCTGCTGTTCCTCCTTTCTGTCTTTCCTCCCTGGACCAATCTTGGACAGAAACAAATTAGAAAATAAATTCTTCCAGATTTGTGGATTGGCTGAATTCTAGTATTCCAGCTCAAGATATTGTTTGGTTACTAAATTCCCAGAGAAGACTTGGTTTGGCTCTCTTGCAACTCAACGCTGGGAATTTGTACGGGATCTGAAAAAATTTAATAAATTCCTTACGGGCTGAAGCATTTCTTAAAGCCACTCTTGAAAATTTAGGCTGTGAATGTTGGCTAATGTATAAAAGTTTGTGCCACACAACTCCGCGCTACAGGTAATCCTCAATTTATGACTGGTGACTTAATGGCTTAATCTCCATCTGGACAATGGATTTGCTTAACGACCATTGTTGGCCTAAGGTTGTAAAAATGGGTGCAGCCATATGGAGATCCAATTAATGACCAGCACGCCTTACAACTCTAATTCCAGACTCAATTATGGTCGTACGTCGAGAACCCCCTGTGCTACAGAGCAGTGCAACCTTCCCAGCCAGCTTTCGACAAGCAAAGCTAATGGGGGAAGCCAGATTCGCTTAATGACCGAATGATTCATTTAACAACAGCAACGATTCGCTTAAAACAACCAGGTCCAAAAAAGTCTTAAGTGAGGCAAACTCACTGACTTAACTGCCTTGCTTAGCAACAAACATATATATATATATATATATATATATATATATATATATATATATATAACGTGTTTTTCTGTCGAAGCACCTGGTCTACCCCAATACTGCTTCCCTTTCACTTTTCAGCTTCAATCCAGGAGCCCTCAAGCAGTTGCATTCACGACAAACCATTTTATACCAAATTTATATTTGGTATAAATTTAAATATAAAATATAAATATAAATTTGGTATAAAATATATGTATGTGTGTGTTCTGTCCCCGTCCCACACGCACACACACCAACAGACGTTCAAGAGTTAAAGACCAAACCAGCCGGCAAAATCCTTTTCCTTATGATAACGGAACTTGGCAGCAACCTAGTGGCTGCCTGCCAAGAGTTTATTACTTACGAAGAAGAGAGATAACTTCTCCCCGCTTCTGGTACATCAAAAGAAACAGCTCAATAATTACAGAGTCAATCAAGTCCAGAGATAATCCAGCAAAGTCTATACCAAAAGTCCGGCAATGCAGAATGGCGTGGAAGCTTTCAGCTTTGTTCGTCACAAACTTTGACTGGCCACCACACTCCCTTTTATATCCTGTGGGGTGTGGTCCAGTGACTCAGCCTAATCTCAGGCACGCCTTTTCTTCTGTTGCGCGCGCTTATCTCTGCGACGCTGGCGTGGATCCAGCCAAGACTCATTACCCTCATCACTGTCCACCTGTGGCTGCGTGGACATGCTTGGCCCCGGCCCTATCTCTTGCCCTTCGGCGGATACCGAAGGCATTGCCAGAGAGGAGGGTCCTGGAGAGGGAGGCCTTGCCAACTCCTCTCCTTCACTCTCGGAGTCCTCTCCTGCCAATGACACAGGCACAGGTAACGGAGCCACAACAGTGTGTGTGTTATACATTTTTTTTCTTTAATCAACATAAGTGCTTTTTTAAATAGTGTATTATCTGAGTCAGTTTGCTTAAACAGGCTGATAATAATAATGTTGCTAATGATGATAACAATGATAGTCATAATAATAATCATAATATATTCTTATACATGATAATCATAATATATTATTTACTTATACATAATAATAATAATCTTTCATCATGTACTTGTACATAGTAATAATCTTTTACCTTCTAATTTCGACTTCTATTATCTAACCACTGATAATAGTTAATTTTTTTCCTACAGCATTTCTTTACCATTTTTAAATTTTTTTGGCATTTTTTTTTTTAACCAAGTAAAAACTTTTTTGGGGAAGGAAGGTGCCGGCTTTCATCCTTGTCCTGCAGGACTGGTCTTCATGTCCTCAGAAACCTCCATCCAGATGTTACGTTCATGCTGGCCTGTTTGTTTGTTTGTTTGGCTTAGTCGAGAACTCGCATGGCAAAGCATGGCCGGGCCCCGTTCCTATGCAAGCAACCCCACGGGCTGCATCAGGTGGGTGGCTCCCCCTTTTGCAAAGAGACGCAGCCTCGGTGCAAGTCAGAACCCACATCTGGAAAGGCTTAGCTGAACAGCTGGGAGCCTCTAAAAGCTTTTGTGGTTGTTGGGGTTTGTTTTTTTTCAGTTGGCTAACCCGTTGTTCCCCTCCGAGGATTTTTCCGTGCCAGATGGAAGTAGATTAGGAGCGTGAAAGAAAAACAAAACAGAGAAGAAAAGGAAGCAATTCATTTGGGAAAGGAGGAGATTGGGGGCGGTGGAAGGCATTTAATGCAAAGCGCCCCAAGAAGATGCCTTTTTTGGACTAGAGGAGGCTAGAGTGTGGATTTATCATGCATTCAGGGGTGGGCTGCAGGGGTTCGGGAGAACCTCTAGCTGAGATTCTGTGCGGTTTGGAGAACCCCCAAATCCCACTCCTGGCTGGCCCCGCCCCTCCCAGGAGTCCCCACGTGGCCCGTTTTGGATGCAGGTAAGTACAGGGCAAGTGCAGAGGTTCGGGGAGGGTGAAAAACAGGCCTACTGGAAGTTCAGGAAGGCCGGGCCTGTTTCCGGCCTCCAGAGGGCCTCCAGAGCCTGGGGAGGCCTAGTGGAAGTTCAGGAAGGCTGGGCCTGTTTCCGGCCTCCAAAGGGCCTCCGGAGCCTGGAGAGGCCGTTTTTGCCCTCCCAGAGGCTCAAGTAAAGCCTCCGGAGCCCGGGGAGGGCAAAAACACCCCCACCACCATGGTGCCTGAGACCGACTAGGCCACACCCACCATGGCCAGGCCCACGCAGTAACTGGGCGGAGAACTCCTTGCTAAAATTTTTGAAGCCCACCCCTGCGTGCATTCGTTTAGAACTTAGAATCGTAGAATTTCACAGGGCTGGAAGGGATCTCGGAGGTCTTCTAGTCCAACCCCCTGCTCAAGGTAACAGACATTATATCATCCTGGTCAAATGGTTGTCTGGTTTATTTTTTGGAAACCTCCAGTGATGGAAGTCTGGGGAGATTCTCAGTCATTCAGTTGTCCCAAAGGTGCAAATGCTTTTTCTGCGCCAACTCAAACTGCCCAAGGAGCTGCTGATCCAGTTCTACAGAGGAATTATTAAGTCTGTCATCTGCACCTCCATAACTGTCTGGTTTGGCTCTGCAACCCAACAAGACAGACGGAGACTTCAGAGGATCATTAGAACTGCAGAAAAAACAATGGCTACCAATCTGCCTTCCATTGAGGACCTGTCTACTGCACGAGTCAAAAAGAGGGCTGGGAAAATATTTACAGACCCCTCACATCCTGGACACAAATTGTTTCAACTCCTACCCTCAAAACGACGCCATAGAGCACTGCACACCAGAACAACTAGACACAAGGAAAGTTTTTTCCCAAACGCCATCACTCTGCTAAACAACTAATTCCCACAACGCTGTCAAATAATTTACTAAGACTGTATTACTATTATTCTTCTCTTCCTTACTTAGTATCTATCTCTTCCCACTTATGACTATAACCATGTTGCTTGTATCTTTCAATTTATATTGTTTTTATTTGTTTCCTAGTATGATTTGATAGCTTATTAGTAACCTTGACTATTACAAAATTGTATCTTTTTAGTCTTGATGAATGTATTTTATTCTCCTTATGTACACTGAGAGCTTATACACCAAAGACAAATTCCTTGTGTGTCCAATCACACTTGGCCAAGAAAGAATTCTATTCTATTCTATCCTATCTAGAGCTACATTGAATTTTTCTGGACAGATTCCAGACTGCTCCACCAATACTCCTACGTTATATCTTTGGACGGAGGTGTGATCGAAGAAGCCAGAGAGATGCCTCTAAAATTGCATGCGTCATGTTTGGAAATATCAGGGCTTATTCTGTATTCCCCCAAAGAGAACATCTGGAGTTTTTCTAAAGAGGTCAAAAGGTTCTTTCCACCAAAGCTGAATCCAGAAAGAATCGTCGTTAACTCATAGCAACAAATTCTTCCACAACATTCTTCCTCCATGCCGAATTCCTCTCGTTCAGCTGAACCATGAATTCTTGCATTTGACTTCAGACTGGGGGTGGGGGAAAAAAGACCAGGTGGCTCAGTGGCTAAGACACTGAGCTTGTCGATCAGGCAGTTCGGCAGTTCGAATCCTAGTACAGGACTCCTGCGTGAGTAGGGGGTTGGACTAGATGACCTCGGCGGGTGGTTCAGAGAACCAGTAGCAAAAATCCCTGCCCCCCCCATGCCCAGCTGAGCCGCGCGATCATCAGAGGCTTTTTTTCTTTTAAATGGCTCTGACGATCCAAGCTGAGTTGCCTTTTTTAAAAAGCCTCTGCCGATCAGGCAACTCAGCTTGGATCGTCAGAGCCTTTTGAAAGCATTTTTTTACAACCTCTTCATCGAAGAAGTTGTAGAAAAAAATAGTTTTAAAAGTTTTTTTTTAATGGCCACGCCCACCCAGTCACATTACCCCCCAAGCCACGCCCACAGAACCGGTAGTAACAAATTTTAGATTTCACCACTGCAATAAAGTTATTTATTTATTATTTATTTAGTCTTGGCCATGTGATCAAAATTCAGACGCTTGGCAACTGATTCCTATTCATGACGGTCGCAGTGTCCCGGGGTCTCGTGATCCCCTTTTGCGACCTTCTGTCAAACAAAATCAATGGGGAAGTCGGATTCACTTAACGACCATTTGACTAATGGTGCAGCGATTCACTTAATAACCGTGGGAAGAAACGTGGTAAGACGGGTCGAAACTCACTTAACAAAATGTCTCCCTTACCAACAGTAATTCTGATTACTCAATTATGGTCATAACGTCAAGGATTATCTGTAGTTGTGCCGATCAAACGGCATATGCACAGATTTATTTGCTTGCATCCAAAATCTGACAGATTGAGGTCTGTTAAATTGAGAGTTTTTGGGGGGTTTTGGGTTTTTTTTTTTGAAATACATTTTTTTTTAAAAAAAATACATCCGTCTGGAAAGATCATCAAAGCCTTTCTAAGAAATTTCTGAGTGTAAAAAAATTTAGCTGAATTTGCACCAGAGGTGGTATTCAGCCGGTTCGGGCAAATTAGTGCCATCCTATTTAGGCACGTTTTTGAGGCCAGGTGCATGTGCGGAAGGCACACGCGTGAACATAGTGCATGCACAGAAGGCAGTAAGAGGCATCTGGCGTTACAGTGTTTGCATAAGATGCTGAATTTGTTCAGTGTTAACCTTGGTTAGTTTTTAATGTGGCGTTGGGTGTTGCGTGCACCAGGATCAATTCTATTTGGTTAACCTTTCTCTTGGGAAAACCCAGAAAATACAGTAGGTGAATACAACGACCAGGTTAAGCACGTCGAGTGAACACAACAGCAATTTCAAATAGCACAAGTATCTAAAGAAGATGTACATGTAGAAGAAGAAGAAGAAGAAGAAGAAGAAGAAGAAGAAGAAGAAGAAGAAGAAGAAGAAGAAGAAGAAGAGTAATAGAACAAGGGATGGGATGGGATATAGACTAGAATAGAATAGACTAGACTAGACTAGACTAGAATAGAATAGAGTAGAATAGAATAGAATAGAATAGAACAGAAGAAGAAGAAAAAGATAAAGAAAAAGAAAAAGAAAAAGAAAAAGAAAAAGAAAAAGAAAAGTAATAGAACAAGGGATGGGATGGGATATAGAATGGAATGGAATGGAATGGAATAGAATAGAATAGAATTTTTTATTGGCCAAGTGTAATTGGACACACAAGGAATTTGTCTTGGTGCATATGCTCTCAGTGTACATAACAGAAAAGATACATTCATCAAGAATCATAAGGTACAACACTTAATGATAGTCATAGACTACAAATAAGCAATCAGGAAACAATATAAATCGTAAGGATACAAGCAACAAAATTACAGTCATGCAGTCATAAGTGGAAGGAGATGGCTGGTGGGAACGATGAGAAGGTTAATAGTAGTGCAGACTTCGTAAATAGTTTGACAGTGTTGAGGGAATTATTTGTAATGTATTACATTACATATAATGCTTCTTACAACCATTTGTTTACCCAAAAGTGCTTTTTTCAGGAAGCAATTGGACTTTCTTGTTTTTTTTTCTTTGAAGACGTTTTGCTTCTCATCCAAGAAGCTTCTTCAGCTCTGACTAAATGGTGGGGAATGGAAGGATTTATACTCCTTGTAGATATGCTGGTCATTTGCATCCTTTTAGAGAGGCGTTGAGGCCACCTGGAGGTTTATCTGTGTTTATCAGGCAACCTTCACAGTGCTTTACTGTGAAGTAAAGCTTTACCTCTCTAAGCGGTTTATAATGTCAAACTTTTGCCCCCAACAATCTGGGTCCTCATTTTACCCACCTCAGAAGGATGGAAAGCTGGGTCAACCTTGAGCCTGGTGAGATTTGAACTGCCAAATTGCAGGCAGCCGGCAGTCAGCAAAAGAAGCCTGCAGTACTGCACTCTGACCACTGCGCCACCGCAGCAAGACAGTTGTTAACTGAGTTTCCCCCCATTTTATGACCTTTCTTGCCACGGTTGTTAAATGAATCACTGCAGTTATTAAGTGAGCGACACGGTTGTTAAGTGAATCTGGCTTTCCCCGTTGACTTTGCTTGTCAGAAGGTCACAAAATGGGATCGCAGGACCCCAAGGGACTCTGCAACCATCATAAATGTGAGCCAGTTGCCAAGTGTCCGAATTTTGATCACGTGACATGATGCTGCAACAGTTATAAGTGTAAAAAACAGTCACAAGTCACTTTTTTCAGCGATGGTGTAACTTCGGTCACTCAATGCACTGTTGTAAGTCGAGGACTACCTGTAGCAAAGTAGTAGTACCATGTTATCTCCTGGAGGCATGCGTTGAAAGGAAGCCATGGATTTGTGAGGCTAACTCTTAATATAGTGGATGTATAAATCATGGGTTTAATTCAGTGGTGAAATCTAAAATTTGTTACTACCGGTTCTGTGGGCATGGCTTGGTGGTGGTGGGGGTAATGTGACTGGGTGGGCATGGCCATTTTTTTTTTTTTACTTTTAAAACCATTTTTTTTACAACCTCTTCAGTGAAGAGGTTGTTAAAAAATGCTTTCAAAAAGCTCTGACAATCCCAGCTGAGTTGCCTGATTGGCAGAGGCTTTTTTTCTTTTAAATGCCTCTGCCGATCAGGCAACTCAGCTTGGATCGTCAGAGGCATTTAAAAGAAAAAAAGGGGTTTTTTTCTTTTAAAAGCCTTTGATGATCCCAGCTGAGCTGAGCGATCATCAGAGGCTTTTTTTTTTTACTTTTAAAAGCATTTTTTCGTTGGAAGAGGTTGTGGAAAAAGTGCTTTTAAAAGTAAAAAAAAAAAAAAGCCTCTGATGATTCTGCAACTCAGCTGGGCACTGGGAGCATTTCACCCCTGGTTTAATTCTATTTTTTGTTTCCTTTATTTAGGGGATCCACCACAGGCAGCTGCTTGGATTGGCCAATGTTTTCTCTACTTGCTCATAATGATCTTCGAGAAAACGGCAGTCGCTCTCGTCTTACTTATTCCCGGTTGGACAAAGGTAAGGAAGAAGAGCCCGATTCTCATCTTCGGCTAACTCATGAACGTTACTGATTTTTCAGGGGCAAATAAGCACATGGATTTAAATGCCTCCTTTGAGGACATGCATTAGGGAGAAAAATCCATATTTGGCAATATTTTGCCACAGCTAGAAGATCGATCCATCAGAATAGAGCTGGAGGGGGACCCTGGAGGTCTTCTAGTCCACAGGTGGCACGCGTAGCCATATCAGTGGGCACACGAGCTCAGCTCCGACCAGCTGATTTTCGGGCCTTCTGGGCCCACCGGAAGTAGGGAAAAGGTTGTTTCCTGCCTCCGGAGAGCCTCAGGGATGGGTGTGGAAGGCCCTTTTTTCTCTCTCGCCTGGCTCTGGGGCCTCTCTAGGAGTCTGGGGAGGGTGAAAAGGGCCTCCCCCCCTGGAGGCCCTCCAGAGGCCAGAAACGGCCCATTTTTTGCTGTCTCCAGCCTCCAGAGCCTCTCTAGGGAGTCTGGGGAGGGCGAAAATTGCCTCCCCCCACCCCCGCGGAGGTTCCCTGGAAGTTGGCAAACGGGCTGTTTCTGGCCTCCAGAGGGCCTCCAAGGAGGGGAGAGGCCATTTTTGCCCTCCCCAGACTCCTAGGGAGGCTCTGGAGCCAGGTGAGAGAGAAAAACGGGCCTACCGGGCCATCACATGCCAGGAGCGGGGGCGGGACACATGTGCATGTGTGAGGGCAGGGCGCATAGAATTATGGGTGTGGACATGCGTGCATGCAATCCCCACCGCCCCCCCTCCTGGCACGCAATAGCAAAAAGATTAGCCATCAATGCCCTATATCATTTCAGACAGGTGGGTATCCAGTCTCTTCTTGAAAACCTCCAGTGGTGAAGCTCCCAAAACTTCTGGAGACAAGCTGTTCCACTGGTTAATTGTTCTAACTGTCAGGAAATTTCTCCTTATTTCCAGGTTGAATATCTCCTTGTTCAGTTTCCATCCGTTGCTTCTTGTCCAACCCTCAGGTGCTTTGGAGAATAGCTTGACTCCCTCTTCTTTGTGGCAGCCCCTCAGATATTGGAAGACTGCTATCATGTCTCCCCTAGTTCTTCTTTTCTCTAGACTAGCCATCTCATTTGCAGCTCATGTAAAGAAAATTGTGGCTGTGTGCAGCCAAGGCAGTGATTGTCAGTCGGATTAATTGGCTAACCCCTGCTGTGGTACAACATTTCATTTTCATTTTTTCATTTTATTAAATTTGTATACCGCCCTACTCCCGAAGGACTCAGGGCGGTGAACAGCCATAAAATAAAACATATAAATACAAAATTTAAAATGGAGATAAAACAAATTAAATAAATTTGGCTGAAACATAACAGAACTATGGCTGTTGGAGTGCTTCTAAGTGTATAAAATGGACATAGGTCACTTTTTTAAGGGCCTTTGTAACTTCAGACAGCCACTAAAATAATGGTTGTAAGTCAAAGACTATCTGTAATTGTAGAAGGTGTTAGCCATTGCTTTCCTCCGCGTTATTTTTTTCTTCCAATTTCCCAAACTAATTGACCGCCCTGTGATCTCCTGGTGGTCTCTTATCCAAATATTATTCAGGCCTAGCTCTTTTCTTCTTCCGTAAAAGGACTCTGATTCTTTTTTTTTTCTCTCTCTCTCTCTCTCAGCTTCAGGAAATCCTCCTGGATTACATCCCTTCTCCTCAGCTGGAGCTGATCTTGGTGATTCTGGTGGTTCCTTTTATAGTCAACGTGAGTAAAAGATTTGGAAGGAAATGATTCTTTCGTCAAGGGAACCGATGAAAGGGGAGAGAGAGAGAGAGAAGGACGCGGGGTTTTCCATCGGTCATCCGACGGTCGCAAGGGACAGAAAATCTTTGCCTTGGAAAATGTGACTGCTTTATAGATAATTTAGAGCACAAGGCCATCCGATTCAGCAGCGCTTCTGCATAGTGTACCGATTAGAACAGCAGCGCCAAACCGGATGCGACCTATGGGGCGCTTAGACCTGGCCTGTGGGAGCAACATGGAAACAGTGAAGGATTGGCACGCGGTGCCTCTGCCTGCGAAAACGTGTGCAGCCCCTCCCCAGCTCCATTTTCACTGGCAGAAGGCTGCAGGAGGCCGTCACAGCTGAAAATGGAATCTGGGGGCTCCTCGAGCTCCATTTTCACTGACAGAGTGCTAGCAAAACAAACTACTAGCAAATGGCGCTCCCATGTGACACCTCTCCTGCCTGAGCTGCATTGGCTTCCAGTTGTCTTCTGGGTGCGCTTCAAGGTGTTGGTTACCACCTTTAAAGCGCTCCATGGCATAGGACCTGGGTATTTGCAGGACCGCCTTCTGCCGCCGATAGCCTCCCACCGACCAGTACGCGCCCACAGAGAGGGACTCCTCTCAGGGTGCTGTCAGCCAGGCAATGTCGGCTGGCGATCCCCAGGGGGAGGGCCTTCTCTGTGGCAGCTCCCACCCTCTGGAACGATTTGCCCCCGGAGATAAGAAGGATATCGGATCTCCGGGTCTTTCGCCGTGCCCTAAAAACTTTTCTTTTCCATCAAGCAGGGCTGGCGTGAAACACCCCTCCCCCCTTTTTAGTCTTTTTTAGTTTTTTAGTTTTAAATTGTCATGGGGTTTTAATTGAATTGTTTTAAATTGGGCCAGTTATATAATTCTTTTAATAATTTTAAATTTTGTATCTGCATGTGTTTTAGCTCTGGCTGTTCACCGCCCTGAGTCCACTAGGAGAAGGGCGGTATACAAATTGAAATAATAAATAAATAAATAAAAGTGAATCCTCCCAGCTCCGCCTGGGCCACCACAGGTGCCCCCGATACCAGTGACGTTGAGTGGTGGTTGTGCCCACCTAGGCCACGCCCACCTAGACAGGTCCACCTGGACACGCCCCCTCTCCCCCCCACCCCCGAGATCAAACACAACCCTGATGCGGCCCTCAATGAAATCGAGTTTGACACCCCAGGATTAGAAAAAGGAAGGGACAGAAAACAGTCCTAGCAGCAAATATAATGGGGAAGACAATTATCTTAGCCAAAACAGGCATTATTTTATTATTTTAGTTATTTGTATCCTGTCTTTACTAGTTTTACAAGTAGTTCAAGGTGAGGAACATATTCGACACGGCTTTTTCCTCCTGTTTTCCCAACGACAACAACTAGATGAAGAGGGTTGGACTGAGAGAGAAAGACTGGCCAAAAGTCATCCAGTTGGCTTTCGTGCCTAAGGGGAGACTAGAACTCACCGTCTCCTGGTGATTGGCCCAAAGTCACCCAACTGGCTTTGATGCCTAAGTTGGGACTAGAACTCACCGTCTCCTGTGTTTGGGCCATGGTCACCCAACTGGCTTTCATGGCCAAAGTGGGACTAGAACTCACAGTCTCCTAGTGATTAGCCCAAGGTCACCCAGCTGCCTTTCATGGCTAAAGTGGACTAGACTCACAATTTCCTAGTGTTGGCCCAAGTCACTCAGCTGCTTTCATGGCAAAGTGGTACTAGAACTCACTGTCTCCTAGTGATTAGCTCAAGTCACTCAGCTGGCTTTCATGGCTAAAGTGGGACTAGAACTCACAGTCTCCTAGTGATTAGCCCAAGGTCCCCAGATGCCTTATGGCTAAAGTGGGACTAGAACTCACAATTTCCTAGTGATTGGCCGAAGGTCACTCAGCTGGCTTTCATGGCTAAAGTGGGACTAGAACTCACCGTCTCCTGGTGATTGGCCCAAAAATCGCCCAACTGGCTTTGATGCCTAAGGTGGGACTAGAACTCACTGTCTCCTGGTGATTGGCCAAAAGTCACCAGTTGGCTTTCGTGTCTAAGGGAGACTAGAACTCACCGTCTCCTGGTGTTTGGCCCAAAATCACCCAACTGGCTTTGATGCCTAAGTGGGACTAGAACTCACCGTCTCCTGGTGTTTGGCCCATGGTCACCCAGCTGCCTTTCATGGCTAAAGTGGGACTAGAACTCACAGTCTCCTAGTGGTTGGCCCAAGGTCACCCAACTGGCCTTTCATGGTTAAAGTGGGACTAGAACTCACAGTTTCCTAGTGATTAGCCCAAGGTCACCCACCTGCCTTTCTTGGCTAAAGTGGGACTAGAACTCACAGTCTCCTAGTGATTAGCTCAAGGTCACTCAGCTGGCTTTCATGGCTAAAATGGGACTAGAACTCTCCTTCTCCTAGGAATTGGCTCAAAGTCACCCAGTCGGCTTTGAAGCTTAAAGTGGGACTAGAACTCCCAGTCCCTCATTTTCTAGCCTGGTACCTTAACCACTAGCCCAAACTGGCATGGGACAGGTGGGTGAAACAGGTTGTCAGAAATTGTTTAAAGCAGAGTTTTTCAATCTTGGGAACTTTTAAGACGTGTTTCAAGTCCCAGAATTCCCCACCCAGCGTGTATGGACTTCAACTCCCAGAATTCCCCAGTCAGGAATGCTTGCAAGATTATGAATATGAAAGTTTGAATAAGAGAACCATAAACTCCTATGTAAAAAAGTTAATGACTTTTCCCCCCACCTCCCATCCAACAATGCAGTATAAAATTATGTCAGGTTATTGGACAGGACATTGACAAATTTATTATTAAAATAACAGGAAGCCGACACCCTAGTTTGTTCTGTCAAGACATAAATTACATTAAGAACGGAAACCGAAAACGTTGGTGGAGCTTCTGTTAACCAGATGTTAAACCAGTTAAAACAAAACAAACAAAAAAATAAAATTAAAGCTGCCAGAAACCACAACAGCATAGGAAGACCGGGGACCTAACATTAGTATAGGCAGGTGGTAGCTGCTCTTAGGTTATGTATAACGTAAAAGCTACAAAAGCCCAAATCTTGCTAACCCACCAGAATGAAAGCAAACCATTAAGAGAATCAGTGATCCCAACTATTATAAGTGTCTGCGAATGTCTGTAAAATATATAGATAGATTGAGCCCCACTGGTGTATATTTGTGTCTCTTTAAAAACAGGTAGTCCTTGACTTAGGACCACAATTGAAGCCAAAATTTCAATTGCTAAGTAAGACAGTGGTTAAGTGAGCTCTGCCCCATTTTACGACCTTTCTTGCCACGGTTGTTAAGCGAATCATTGCAGTTGTTAAGTTGGTAACACAATTGTTAAGTAAATCCGGCGTTCCCATCGACTTTGCTCATCAGAAGGTCGCAAAAGGGAATTGTGTGACCCCAGGACACTAAAATCATCATAAATACGAATCAGTTGCCAAGGATTTGAATTTTAATTCCATGACCACGGGGATGCTGCAATGGTCATAAGTGTGAAAAATGGTCGTAAATCCCTTCTTTCAGTACCGTTGTAATTTTGAATGGTGTTGTGACCCAGGCCCACGTACTTAATAGTAAATGCAAAACAGTTCCAAAAAACAAACAGATTTTATTCAAACAGCTGAGAATTAACTCACTCTCAGCCTATTCCAAATTAAATGAAAGCAAAGTCCTCAAAACAGTTTATCTCTGACCTTGGGATAATTAGGCAAACTGCCAAAGGAAAGGCTTTTCTTGGCAACAGTTCAAGAACAGAAGACGCTGAGAAGAAAGAAATATAGCCAAACACGAAGCAAATCTCTCAACAGTTGTTTTCCAGCAAAGAGGCCAAGAGCTGTTGCTGGTCTTTTAAGCCTGATGGGAGGGGCCAATCATCTCTTGGCCTTACTCCTGAGTCGTCCTCTTTGCTGTAGCTGCTCTTGCCTTCTGGCAGCTCTTCTCATACGTGCACTAGGAACAGGCTCTTCCTGTTCCTCTGCCTCTCTGCTGTCAGCCTCTGGAGGCTCCGAAGTCCGCGCATCACTCCCTGATGGCCCTGGCCCCATCTCTGCCTCCGACGCAGAGCCCTCATCCGGGCCTTCCCCACCCTCCAGGACTGGCCCATGTTCTTCCTCAGCCTCATCGCTGTCCGACTCCGCTGCCAGCTCCTCAGGTTGCTGGCGGATCACAACAAATGGTCACTAAACGAAAGGTGGACAGCTGCCTGTAGTTTTATATCTTGCTTCATAAAGCATGGCTGGCTGGGGAATTCTGGGAGTTGAAGTCCACCCATCTTAAAGTTGCCGAAGACTTCCTGCCTGGGGGAATTCTGGGAGTTGAAGTCCACAATGTCAGGGTTCCAAGTAACAGCTCCATAGAAGGCAAAACTCCGAGGCAGGTAAATTCCTCAAAGAATAGCTTTATTGGATATATCATATTGGCACAGATTTGGTGAAAACCGACTCTGAAGGTTCCCACGGTTTTCACCTAAAAGTTTTTTCCCCTTCCCCAAACAATCAGTCACATGATCCAATCATGGCTCTGTCTGGTTGCCTGGTGTTATGGCCTGCCAGCGGATCTGGCAGCAGATTCGGACAGTGAGGAGATTGGGGAAGAACATGGGCCAGTCCTGGAGTCTGGGGAAGGCTCTGACGAGGGCTCTGCGTCGGAGGCAGAGATGGGGCCAGGGCCGTATGCCAGTTATCAGCTGCCTTTGGAGTTGGACATCAGTGAGGCAGAAGAACAGCTGGAGCCTGTTCCCAGTGTGCACATGCGCAGTTGCCAGGAGAAGGGAACAGCTAAGGAACAAGGGCCGACTCAGGAGTAAAGCCATAGGTGGACGGTGAATGGCCCCTCCCACAGGGAATAAAAGAGGAGCGAAAGGGGAGTGGAGTTTGCAGGAGACAATTAGTTCATTCCTGCATTCTTGCCAAGTATTGTGGGCGTCTGAAAGATATCAGCCTGGCCACTCTCCAAGCCTGATAAAGGTCGGTAATTGTGAACTATCTTGAAAGACTGTTGGAGAGGAAAGTCTTTGCTGGAGAGGAAATCACTGTCAATTAAATAAAAGGGGTTTATCGGGAAGAAAACTCGGCTTCGTGCTGCTGGGGAAGCGTAGGTCAGAACACCTGCTGACATCACTCCACCTTCCTCTGACCAGGTGGGAGAATGTCCTTGGTTCCCAAGAGAAAGTATTTTGTTTTGGCTACAAAATCCCAGCTATCTAAAAATCCCCCCTCCCTATCCCTCAGCTCCAGTGTGGCAACAACACTGAAGCTTCCAAGATGGCTTCCATCAGGTCAGCTTCAGGATTGATACACCCCCCCAAGTAGTGGGTTTCAAAAAATTTTACTACCGGTTCTGTTGGTGTGGCTTGGTGGGCATGGCTTGGTGGTGTGGCAGGGGAAGGATACTGTAAAATCTCCATTCCCACCCCACTCCAGGGGAAGGATACTGTAAAATGGCTGGTCCAGAACGCAGCAGCGCGGGTAGTGACGGGAGCAGCATGGCGCTCCCATGTAACACCGCTCCTGCGCGAGCTGCACTGGCTCCCAGTTGTCTTCCGGGTGCGCTTCAAGGTGTTGGTTATCACCTTTAAAGCGCTCCATGGCATAGGGCCTAGCTATCTTCGAGACCGCCTGCTGCTACCAACGACCTCCCATCGACCTGTGCGCTCCCACAGAGAGGGCCTCCTCGGGGTGCCATCAGCCAGACAATGTAGGCCGGTGACCCCCAGGGGGAGAGCCTTCTCTGTGGGGGCACCTACCCTCTGGAATCAGCTCCCCCCAGAGATAAGGAGAATCCATGACCTCAGTGCCTTCCGTCGCGCCCTTAAAACCCATTTATTTAAACAAGCCGGGCTGGCTTAAGATGAAATTTTTAACTGTTTTTAAATGTTTTAAACGTTTTTAATTGGTAAATGAGTTTTAATTGGGCCAAATTTATATATCTTTTAATTGTTTTTAATATTTGTTCTGCATGTTTTTTAATCTGGCTGTACACCGCCCTGAGTCCTCAGGGAGAAGGGCGGTATAGAAATCCAATATAAAATAAATAAATAAATAAAATAAAATAAATAAAATAAAATCTCCATTCCCACCCCACTCCAGGGGAAGGATACTGTAAAATCTCCATTCTGTCCCCATCAGCTGGGACTCGGGAGGCAGAGAATAGATGGGGGCGGGGCCAGTCAGAATTTTTACTACCGGTTCTCCAAACTACTCAAAATTTCCGCTACAGGTTCTCCAGAACTGGTCAGAACCTGCTGAAACCCACCTCTGACACGCCCATCTTATAAAGTGGCTAAGGTTGAGAGACGCACTAGTCTACCCGTACAAGCATATATGTTTTTCTCTCTTTTTTTCCCCTCCGTCTCCTTTTAAGGCTGTTATGTTCTGGGTTGTGGACAGCTTGACGATGAAAAAACACAAGGGGAAGGAAAAGCTGGAAGTCAGCACGACGGAATATCCTGAAGCTTTGAAAGATGACGATATCCAGGTAAAGGAAGACTCAGGAATGTTGGCAGGAGAGAAACAAAAAAATGGGCCAGTTGCACGCTGAGCTTTGAAGAATCTCTTTGATGGTTGCTCCGTGGAAGCACATTTGACTTGGCCTGCAGCATGTGACGTCTGTGGGTGTGTCGGTGTGCGTGTGTGCATGTACACAAGCATTCCTTTCCCCGTTAAAGTGGAGATAAACTAATCCCCGAGCTGCCATCATCAAACCCACTGATAAATATTTCCACGCCAAAGCGCGGTTGAAGCAAGGGAGAGAACTTGAGGCAGGCCGATATCGCAGTGAGCAAAGTTTGCGTTCAGAGGGGGAAAAAATAAATAAATAAATCAACGCACGTTCGCTAGGCTTGGCGCAGAAAACGGCCAATAATTATTTGCAGGAAAGCCCCAAGCTCAGCAAAACGCAGCCTCCTCTATTTGGGATATCCTCTGAGCACCTCGTAGGTTCAAAGTGGGGAGGAAATAAAGTGCCTAATTTTTTTTCCAGCCAGCTTTTGTTCTCTGTTGATGCACACAAAGGATTGTGTGCTCAGCATCTGGCCGTCTCTGTTTGCAGATGTGCTGTCTGTGCCAAAGGGCGAAATTTGGTTGGGGGATGGTTATCGATGGTGTCTCTGCCTTCACACACACACACACACACACCCTGCAAGTCTCCACATCCTTCAAAATGTTTACAGGGATCAAGGCTGCAACTGACTCTCCCTCTGTGTGCAGTCTTCTTTTTCTTCTTTGTCTTCGTCTTCCTCCTCCTCTTCTTCTCCTCCTCCTCCTCTCTTCTTCTTCTTCTTCTTCTTCTTCTTCTTCTTCTTCTTCTTCTTCCACTGTATTTACCTGGCATCCAAAATGGGCCATGTGGAGACTCCTGGGAGGGGAGGGGCGGTGTCGGTGGGGCCAGCCAAAAATCAGCTGGCGCGCTGGAGCCAAGCTAGGGCAACAGCTCACGTGCCTGCAGGTAATGGCTCCGTGTGCCACAGGTTCGCCATCACGGACCTATACCATTTCAGACAAGTGACTTTCCCGTCTCTTCTTAAAAACCTCCAGTGATGGTGCACCCACGGAAGTAAGCAGGAAAACTCTTTATCGAATTTGCCTTTCCTGCTCTTCAAGCGTCAGGAGACATTAAAAATCCTTCTTCCTCTTTGCTGCTTGCCCCTATTTGCTCATGAATAGTTCTAATTGGCAAATGATAAGAAGAAATGGCCTGTGAAATTCATTTGTGAATGCTTTTCCCCCTTCCCTCCACAGGTCCTCCTTTGTCCCACTTTGGATTTTGACAGTTCCAGGAGTGACGTCGATCTCCTGGAGTCTCTTCCTCAGAGCAGGAGCCCAAGCTTAAAAAACTGAGATCATTGAGTGGCCCTTCAATAATTCCTAATTCAACAACAACAACAACAAAAGAAACTTCATTTTAGAGACCACACACTGGAGACACTGTACAGCGTGAACCACTGAAGCATCCTAAGGCGGTTTGCACCCATGGCCTGCTGCATTTTGTAATATGGCGCTGGGTTGTTTGAGGGGCTTAAAATTGTGGGGTTTTTGATTGTGTATTGTCCTGCTGATTCTAGATGGACTGTTTATTCTGGCTGGCCAGTTGGCAATAGTTTTGGATTGATTCTACACCGTAGCACTTTTTTAAAACAAAAAAAAGGAAAAGAACGAGAAAGGAAAGAAAGCAAGCAAGAAACAAAGAAAGAGAGAGAGAAAAAGAGAGAAATAAAGGAAGGAAGGAAGGAAAGAAGGAAGGAAAGAAAGAAAAAGAAAGAAGGAAAGAAAGAAAGAAACAAAGAAAGAAAGAAAAAAACAAAGAAAGAAAGAAAGAAACAAAGAAAGAAAGAAAGAAAGAAAAAAGAAAGAAAAATGAGAATCAAATTGAATTTGCCCTGTGCAAACCTGAACGACTCACAAAAGCACAAATCATTTGTAAATAGAATCTGGAAGAAGTTTGTATTTAAAAAAAACCTTGCTGTTTGAGCCTTATTGACTCAATTTCTTTTTTACTCCCATTTTGTAAGAATAATAAATATTTCATATTCAAATGGCTACAGAAACTATCACTGTGGTGTGTTCCGAGCTCTGCTTTCGGGGGAAAAAATTATAATAATTATTTTTTATAATAATTATAAAGTAATTATAAAATTATTTTATAGCTTTATAGTATAGAACAGTGGTGAAATCTGAACCGGTTTGCTACCGGTTGGCTGGCCTCGCATACATGCTGTGCGCCAAGCGGGCTCTGTTCGCGCATATACACACCAAACGCATGCTGCATGCACAGTGCACACCAAAGCTGCTATATGCACATGCGCAGTGCACACCAAACATGCGCTGCGCATTTAAAAAGCTACCAGTTTGGTCGAATCGGTAGTTTAAAAAAGCTACAATCCGACGATCAGCTGTGCCGCGCGGTTTAGCTTTGCTAGAAAGCAGGATTTCCTGCTTTCTAGCGAAGCTAAACCGCGCGGCACAGCTGATCCCACAGCTGATCCCACCCTCGCTGCTCTACTTACCTTCCCAAGTCTATGTACTTGATTATACATATAATAACAGCTGCAAGAATTGTTTTATGCTCAAAATTGGAAAGCAGAGAAAATACCTTTGGAAGAAGAAGTAATAAAAAAAAATTAGATTGTGCAGAAATGAATAGATTAACTTTGATGATTAAGGATAGGGAAGAGTCAGAATATTTTAAAATATGGAATTATTTTTATTGTTGGTTGGAAAAGAGATATAAATGATTAATATTATAATTATGTATAAAAATTTGATGACTAGAATATTGTTTTAGCAATGAATTGTTAGAATGGCGCGGATGAAGATCAAGATAGAAGAAACTAAATGGAAGAAGGAGAAGAATTTTGGAAGATAGCACCGAGATTTCCTGCTTTCTAGCAAAACTAAACCATGCGGCACAGCTGATCGTTGGATGTTAGCATTTTTTTACTACCGGTTTGCCCAAACCAGAGCGAACCGGTAGCATTTCACCCCTGATATAGAATGCTCATAGCTTGACAATACCGCCAGGGGAATTCTGAGAGTTTGAAACCCATCCATCGCAAAGTTGCTCAGTTTAAGAAACACCGGGCTAAGTTTCAGCCTTCATTTGTAAAATGGGATTTGTGATCACTTTATATAGCTCCAAGGGAAATTACAAAATCCAGATTCGTATGCTTTTTTAAAAAAAAAAACAAATCCTCTTTCTTAGCCTCTTGTAATGAGCAAAAATGAAGAGGCAAAACTTTTTACAAAGTTATCCTTCCACGCAGTGTGCATTTTGGCTTTTTTAGGGTGGATATTAAAATCACTGGGTTTGTGAGTTGGCCCACTTAATAACCAAGAGCTCTTTTATTGACGTGTGCCATTGGTTACCTTCCCTGAACCCGCAGCCGCTCCTTGTGGAGTTCTTCTTCAGCTCATTCTTTGGCCTTGGAAAACAGCTGTTTAAATGAGCATCTCTTCCACCTCATTACCGATTGTTTGCTTGGCAAGGTTTTTGTTTGATCTTTGAGCTAAATTGCTCTGCGTGGGTTTTGGTTTTTTTTCCCTTTCAGTTTAAACAGGAAGCCTAGACATAAATTATTTTTTAAAAATACATTAACTGTGTTTGTTTTTCCAAAGAGACAAGCAAGGGAGTGTCAGACTTCCAAATTCTTTCTGTGTTTTTTAAATAGTTATCTCTAATCTTTATGACATGGTTTCTTTGGCTGCTGTTCCATTCTGCTTTCTATCCTATTTGCGCTCAGAGGACCTCTGGAGTGGTCAAAAAAGTCAAGATGGTAGCCATGACAGAACTGTCCTATTCCTATTCCTATTCCTATTCCTATTCTATTCTATTCTATTCTATTCTATTCTATTCTATTCTGCTCTGCTCTGCTCTGCTCTGCTCTACTCTCTCTCTGCTCTACTCTGCTCTACTCTACTCTACTCTACTCTACACTATTCTTCATTCTGTTCTGTCCTGTCCTGTCCATTCCATTCCATTATTCTATCCTACTCTACTCTACTCTACTCTACTCTACTCTACTCTAATCTAATCTAATCTACTCTATTCTTCTATTCTATTCTGTTCTGTTTCTGTCCTGTTCTGTTCTGTCCTGTCCTGTCCTGTCCTGTCCTGTCCATTCCATTCCATTCCATTCCATTCCATTCCATTCCATTCCATTATTCTATCCTACTCTACTCTACTTTACTCTACTCTACTCTAATCTAATCTAATCTACTCTATTCTTCATTCTGTTCTGTTCTGTTCTGTTCTGTTCTGTTCTGTCCTGTCCTGTCCATTCCATTCCATTCCATTCCATTCCATTATTCTATCCTACTCTACTCTACTACTCTACTCTACTCTAATCTAATCTAATCTAATCTAATCTAATCTAATCCTAATCTATTCTGTTTCTGTTCTGTTCTGTCCTGTCCTGTCCATTCCATTATTCTATCCTACTCTACTCTACTCTACTCTACTCTACTCTACTCTACTCTACTCTACTCTACTCTAATCTAATCTAATCTAATCTAATCTAATCTAATCTAATCTAATCTAATCTAATCTCTATTGAATATTTGTATCTCAGGGTTGAAATGAGGGGTCCTTGTTACTCTCTGAGCTTGCTTGTTTTCTTCCAGACATTTCGTTACCCAACTTGGTAACATAATCAGTGCAAGAAAGGAGTGGGGTTTCCACTCCACTCCACTCATCTGGTAATATATAATAGCAGCACCCCATTCCTCCCCTCCCCAAATTAGGTTAAAACCCCAAAGCCCAGCAAAAGGGAATCATTTAAATTTCTTCCAGAATGTTTCTATTCCCCCCCCCCTGATTCTAGAACAAAAGCAAACAATGATGGTTGAGGGATTCTGGGAGATGAAGACCACCCAACTTAAAAGTTGCTACGGTGGAGAAACACCGGTCTTTGCCGATATTGAATTAGAGAACAAGACTTTTGACACATATCAAACAAAAGTGACCCTTGAATGGAAAAAGTGAAGTGAGCTGAAGGGAGGCTAATTTTGTTCTGTTAGTAGGCTAATTCTGGAATGATGATATATATAGCGTGCATTTTTGAGAATCTTGGACATGTTTGCAAGATTCGGATTCTTTCAAACGTAATAACAAACGCAGGAAATTTGGCACTCACTTTGGAAGAGATTCACTGAGAACAGTTGTGTTAAGAGTTGTGAGATGTGACCCTTTTCTAAGTGGTACCATAAAGTTATTATTACATGCTAAACACAGCATGTGGATCCAGATTGATTTTAAGATATAAACAGGGATTAACAGCACCACAAAATAAGAGAGTTGGAAAGGACCTTGGAGGTCTTCTAGTCCAGCAGGAGACCTTATAACATTTCAGACAAATGATTGTCCAGTCTCTTCTTAAAAGTCTCCCATCTTGGAGCAACACAACCTCTGGAGACAGGCCGTTCCACTGATTATTTTAATTATCAGGAATTTTCACCTTAATTCCAGGTTGGTTCTCTCCTTGATTAGTTTCCATCCATTGCTTCTTGTCCTGCCATCGGTGCTTTGGAGAATAGCTTGACTCCCTCTTCTCTGTGGAAGCCTCTGAGATATTGGAACACTGCTATCATGTCTCCCCTAGTCCTTCTTTTCATCAAACTAGACATACCCAGTTCCTGCAACCGTTCTTCGTATGTTTTAGCCTCCAGTCCCCTCATCCTCTTGGTTGCTCTTCTCTGCACTCTTTCAAGAATCTCAACATCTTTTTTTATATTGTGGCGAAATAACATTAATTAACTAAAGAGTCACATCACCCCAAAAATGTCAGTGGCTTCAACTATGCACAAATGTCTTTATCACGTGCAACTTTTTTGTGAATGGCTACCCTCAGTTGGAAATTATCTTTGACTATATCTGCAATTTTGCAATGTCTGCATCCCCTGTTGATCAATGCATTTTGAATTTCATCAATGAATTGCATCAATATATAAAGAAATTCTATTTTTATTTTTAAAATACCACCCTAGTTTAAATTTCCCCCCCTACATTAAGGCAGCTACTTTCTGCAAACTGTTAAATTTGTGAGCGTATGTGTGATACCCATCCATACCCATCCTGCTTCGTTACATTACAACATTGGCGCTGTGTAACTGAGTTTGCATAACAGGCTAAGCCACAAAATGCTAGCCGAGTTTAGCAGGTTGTGTGAATGGAAATACTAGCCTGGTTACCACGATTCCAATCCTGCTTAGCAAATTTACAGTACAACAGTATTTACAGTACAAACAGAATATATTTACATTCTTAACGGTCTCCATTGAAATTAAAATGGCTTCATTGTTTCATTGCCATTTAATATCTGAGCATAATTTCCCACGATATTGCCATTTAATATCTGAGCATAATTTCCCAAACTTCCCACGCTGGGAGCACTCGCTCGCACACTGCACAAACAAGTGCAAATACATTTTTAAAAAAATGGTTGTGTGCAACTTTTACCAAGCTGTTCCAACTGAGGAGTGATTTTTCAAGAACAATTTCTTAACTAGATAATAATCATACATTAGATTTTGCTATAGCTGCTTACGATGATGTCCTTGGTTAACCTGTTGTGGCCCGTTAGCAGCCTGCGTGGATTGTAGCTGATTCTGACAGCGAGGAGGCTGGTGTGGTGCTGCGCCAGCAGCCTGTGCAGCTGGCACTCGAGTCAGACAGCGAGGAGGCTGGAGAAGATGTGGTGCCAGAGGCGGGGATTCAGCCAGGGCCTTCAGAACCTCCAGAAGCTCCCATAAGTGAAGAGG